TGAAACCTCTGGGTAATGGCTTTTGAAAGTGCAGCTAAAATTACCCATTACAGGGAGATGTGCTGACATCACTGACTTGTATCTCCCCATCTAGAGGCACTTAATCTCAGGACCGTGGGTTTGATCCCGTGTCGGGCGAAAAGATTATTGCATTGCAGGGGGCTGGTGACCCTCATGGTCCCTTCCAACTCTGCAATTCTGTGATCTATCTGCTTCTCTTTTGTATCATGGAGTTGAAAATGAGGGTATCCACTTACACATCACCAAATAAGAGGGCATGCAGCTTCAACAGCAGCAGCAGCAACAGCAACAAAGAAGAAAGGGGACACAGATTTGCATATGCTAATGTATATATAGATAAAGGTAAAGGGACCCCTGACCATTAGGTCCAGTCATGACCGACTCTGGGGTTGCGGCGCTCATCTCGCTTTATTGGCTGAGGGAGCCGGTGTACAGCGTCCGGGTCATGTGGCCAGCATGACTAACCCGCTTCTGGCGAACCAGAGCAGCGCACGGAAACGCCATTTACCTTCCTGCCAGAGCGGTACCTATTTATCTACTTGCACTTTGACGTGCTTTCGAACTGCTAGGTTGGCAGGAGCAAGGACCAAGCAACGGGAGCTCATCCCGTCGCGGGGATTCAAACCGCTGACCTTCTGATCGGCAAGTCCTAGGCTCTGTGGTTTAACCCACAGGGCCACCAGCGTCCCATAATTTATATATACCTAGGTGCAAATTCATAAATAAAAATAATGACCGTGTTTTAAATAGAAATGCATCTCACCATAGTGACCAGGTGTTCTGAGTGTGTTTGCAATGCTACCGCTTTTCCTCTGCAAAGGAAACACATGACCACCCTTTTCAAAATATCATTAGTATTTCCCCAACTACAACCACTCTGCTTCAATGATCTACCTGTGATGTGGGAGGTGATTCCTTTTCAAAGTGTAGTTTGGGTCTAAGCAAGGTTAGGCTGCCATCCTAAACACACTTACTTGGGAGTAAGCCACGCTGAACTCAATACTTCCGAGTAGGAGTGGGAGAGAAATTCAATTCAATTTGCATTTATGGGTGAACCTAACTAATTTGCCCTTTCCGAAACAATACACAAACAATCATAACACAGCTACCCCTCCAAACTCAAATGTCTCTGAATTTCTGTAGCCACAGAATGTGCACAAAAATGCTTATACTGGGGTAAATTGTGTATTAACGTTCCTAGGTGAATGAAACTAGTGTTAAAAGACCAATTACATAAAGTGCCTTCCAAAAATGTGTATATTGGGCAAAATTGTTTGCCGTAATAATGTGCGTACTATTCTAGGAAAAGTTCGCACTAAAATGCTGCTGAATTTTCACGAGAACTTTAAAACAAAAATTACAAAACTGATGTGGAAAAGTGGAGAACTTGAGATTGGGAAAATAAGAAGCTGGAATTTACACGTTTGCACACCCCTGCTTCTAAGTAAACATGCCTAGGATTGTGCTGTAAAACAGCTTGAGATATAGCATGGATTGTTGTTTTTCCTCCCATTCAAGGAAATAAAGCCAAAAAATGCCAGCTGAGTGCATATCTTTGGATACTAGCCAATATGTTTAAGACCTAGAAAAGAGCCACATGACAATGAATTAAATGTGTGCAAAATATACAGTGTGAAACCCTCAACCCCACCGGCATTAATCCCTGTTCGCTAAATGCCAAATGCCAGCCCACACAGGAAATTTTTTACAATGCTTCCTGGAGATGTTCAGTCTCTATGGAAAAGGAGCTCTAGGGTTGCAGAGTAGCCAGGAATGCTTCTCTAGGCGTGCACAGTGTTGCAGCTAGAATGAGGGCAACTGCTTTGAGAAACATTATGCTGCAAAAGCAGTATTAAGGTTTCCTGAACCACCCTGGTATTACTCAGATGAATATATAAAATGAATATATGCTCAGCTGAATATGTGTGTGTGTGTGTGTGTGTGTGTGTGTAGAAATATTGTTAAATAGCTATAGGACTTTGCAATACAGTCTTACCTCGGCTCCCGAACGCCTTGGGAGTTGAATGTTCTGGCTCCCAAATGATTGAAAACTGGAAGTGAGTGTTCCGGTTTTTGAATGTTCTTTTGGAAGCTGAACGTCCGACGGGGCTTCCGCAGCTTCCGATTGGCTGCAGGAGCTTCCTGCAGCCAATCAGAAGCTGTGCTTTGGAAGTCGAATGTTTCGGAAGTCGAACGGATTTCCGGAACGGATTCTGTTTGACTTCCGAGGTACAACTGTAGTATGTAAAGGAAGAGGCTTTTATGTAGCATACTTTGAATAATGGATTTATATTTGAGAAAGTGGTACGTATGATACACTATGAGAGAGAAGGTGATAGATCTTTGTTTACTGGTTTTGTACACAAAGCAAACAGCATGGTATACTAAAAGACTGGCCACAGCAACAGATCACAGGAATACATTCTCGCTTAAGTGTGAGAAGGAGCCAATGTCCCAGTGTGACCTTGGCAGCAGTCTTGGAAGGGGAAGATTTGAGGAAGCAGATGCCATCTCCTAATAATTAGGGGTTGCATTTTGAATTTTTCCTGCAAAGCTATATCAGCTTGCAAAAATATGTTGCTGCCAAGAAGAGTTTCCTACGAGTAATCGATGCATTTAAGGACTGGAATATCAGATTTTATTATTATTATTAATTAAATTTATAAATTACTAAGTTGATATACTGTCCTTTATCTAAAGATCATGGGGCAGTTTACAACATAACAATACAAACTGAAAACACAAAATACATAACATATATCCATAACTAATTAGCAGCCTTGTATCTGGCATTGCTCAGGAATTCTAACCCTCTGCCCCTGCAAAACCAGTGTTTTGAAAGGTTAAATTCACCATCTTGATTCAAAATGGCATCTAATTGTATCCCAGCATAGATAAAACCAGCTCCTCGAATTGAGGAACCACCATGCAAAATTTGGTTACCCTGTTACAGTATCATAAGGAATGTCCAGTTTCAGAGCCAAGAGACGAAACAACTTTCCAAAATATATAGTAGAAGAAAGAATAGGTTCCAGTTTATGTCCAATGCTGTTAACTGAAGCTAAAGTTGGTGTGGACCTACCTTATTAGGGAAAGTTTTAGTTTTTACATTCAAGCTAGCTGCTCAAAGACTCATGCAAGACAATTATGAAGGCAGTCATCTGAGGACACAAGGATCAGGCAAGGGCTACTGAGCAGAGTCAGAAGCAAGATGAGGAAGAAAATACAGTGTGTCAGTGGGGAAGACCACATTTGTTTTGTTCTAAATTGTAAGACTGAAGGACCATACATAGGCGCCAATCCTATGTACAGTGATAACTTGGGTTACATATGCTTCAGGTTACATACACTTCAGGTTACAGACTCTGCTAACCCAGAAATAGTACCTCGGGTTAAGAACTTGCTTCAGGAGGAGAACAGAAATCGCGCGGCAGCACCGCAGCAGCAGCAGGAGGCCCCATTAGCTAAAGTGGTGCTTCAGGTTAAGAACAGTTTCAGGTTAAGAACGGACCTCCGGAATGAATTAAGTACGTAACCAGAGGTACTACTGTACACACAGCAAGCGGTAAGGCCCACTGAATTTAGTGGAATTCTCTTCCGAGTAAACATGCACAGGACCAGGCTCTTTCAAAACAACAACACTGCCTCACAAAAGGTGAAATCCAAAAAAAGCGGGAAACTATAGCAGCGAAAATGCAAACCCCCTAGCAATTTCCTCCTGGCCTAGACTGGAACAAACTCGAGTACTTCATCTCAACGTAAGGGGTGTGAACTGAAAAAGGACTGGGAAAAGAGACTTACAGATCTTCATAAAGAAACAAAGCAAACCTTGTCTGTAAACATTGGTACTAGAGACTGTGCGCTGAAGCTCCACTTTAGATGCAACCTTATTTAGGACAAATCCCTGGTTCACTCACACCAGAGCCCGAGATTGCTCAAAAGGGAACCATTTGTAAATGGCAGCCAAAGACATTTGCTCTGTCACATATTCCAGATGAAGGGAAGGGTGAGGGTGCATGTATGGCATCAAGGCATTCAAACTTAGTGTATCTGCAGCAGCTGCACTGGCAGCCGACCAGGTGCCCAACGCTATTTTTAATTACCATAAAATGGAGCAGATTGCAGCTGGCCTCGCTGAATAGCGAGGTTTGGCTTATGAGATGGAGAGCTCCTTGCAGCTGGGACTTGTCACGCTGCAAAGAGAGGACAGGTCTCAGAGGCAGCATCATGCTGTCAGTCACCATCTAAAATGTCAGGCCGCACACTGTTAGGCATCATCCTTTTTCTTCCCTGAGCCCAAACAATACTGGGAGTGTAAGAGCCACCATTTCACCGAATAAGAAGCTAGTTCAAATGTACATAGGAAATGGGGTCCGCTGCCATCCACAGCTGCGGCCTCATCACATCAGCTCTTTTCTCCAGAGCCATGGACTGAACATATTGGTGTCCATGAGACTCCAGATTCCCCTTCTTCTTCTGCATTCTGAGTTGGGGATGGGAACATGATCTGCACCTTTAAAAACAAAAAGCAAAACTGGATCTTTAGGAAATTCGGGGGTCAGGGTTTGTGATGGCTACACTCCCCATGTCAAGGCACTATGTTGTTGTTGTTGTTTAGTCGCGTCCGACTCTTCGTGATCCCATGGACCAGAGAACGCCAGGCACTCCTGTGTTCTACTGCCTCCCGCAGTTTGGTTAAACTCATGCTGGTAACTTCGAGAACACTGTCCAACCATCTCGTCCTCTGTCGTCCCCTTCTCCTTGTGCCCTCCATCTTTCCCAACATCAGGGTCTTTTCCAGGGAGTCTTCTCTTCTCATGAGGTGGCCAAAGTATTGGAGCCTCAGCTTCAGGACCTGTCCTTCCAGTGAGCACTCAAGGCTGATTTCCTTAAGAATGGAGAGGTTTGATCTTCTTGCAGTCCATGGGACTCTCAAGAGTCTCCTTCAACAACAAGGCACTATATGCACTTCTTAAAGGCATGAGACTCAATTGGTAGAGCATGAGGCTTTTAATCTCAGGGTTGTGAGTTTGAGCCCCACGCTGGGTGAAAGATTGCTGCATTGTTGGACTGGATGATCCTCATGGTCCCTTCCAACTCTATGATTCTATGAAGGCCCACCTGCAGAAGATAGTAGCATGGTGGGCAGACAATTCGCCTTGCTGGGGCTAGCAAGTGAAGGTGGCAGGCAAGGGATGGCAGGTCATCAAGTGTGTCACATGACACCAAAAGATGCTGTCTCTTTAACCTTACCCTTCACACCTAAACCATGCATGTGGGTGCCTCTAGAAAACTCGTGTTGATAGTGTTGTTTGGCCCACAAACAGTGCCAACTTGTTTTATGTAACTTATCAACAAGCAGATTTCAAGACTGAACCAGGTCTCTGGTGCTTTTTCAGTTACCTGAAGTTTTCAGCATTAATTGCAGCAAAGCATATAAGCTTTTCTTTACTATTAATGTTCATGTTTAATTGCATTCATTCAATGGCTGTGGGAACCTTGTGCCCTGCCCACAACATTTACTTGTTAGTCACAGTTCACGAAGTTTGTGCAGAAGAATATTGACTCAAGAGCAAATTGAAACCTACGTGACATGCTTCCTGGGTGTGTTGAGGGTTGCAGCCCTAACTGTGCCTCCTTATTCATATAACTCTGTGGCCCCTGAGGTTATCAACTGCCTCTTATTCAGAAGTATAGGCAAGTTATACTGGAGTGTCATTATCCCAGAAAGTACCATGAATGATTTGCAAGGTTTGCATTTCTGCAGATCCCCATTTAACCTTCCACTCCAAACAGTCACTTGGCGAACATTTGCAAGTGATGTGTGTCTGGATCTGTGCCCACAGTGGAAACCTGAAATCAGAGTCTGCGACAGATATTAAATATAACTGTCCTGCTGATCACTCTCGCCTCTGCAGAAACATCTGCAAAACTCTGCGGATATGTTAAGCGGCGTATCGCTGGAGAACGATATGCAAGCTGTAGGAGGCCATTCAGAGCAAGTGTTAATAAATAACTTTTTAAAAACCGCGTGCAAAAAAACCGCGTGCTTTTAATGGAAGGATGGCTGCAGCACGCCTATAACGCCGCTACCTTCCCTGCCCATAAATGCACGTGCACGTCCATACACACGTGCGTATAAACACGCACGCATACCGGGACGCAGCGGGACTCCGCGCACATTTAATTATTCCCCGCCTGGCCTTTGCCACAGCCCCGTGGCTGTTCAAGGTTAAGGCGCTGCCGCTGCCGCCGCTGTCACGGCTCCAGCCCCGCCCCGGACTCGAAGAAACAAAGTCAAGCGCTTCGGGCCAACTTCGGCCATTTCCGTGAGGTTCTGACTTCCGCCGCTCTCCTTCGGTTGCATAAGAGTGAGCGAGCGTGACGCGCGGCCGACGAGCGTTCGAGCAGGGAGGGAGGGGGAGACGAAACAAAAAAACAAAACCACCTCCACAGTGTCCTCGCAGCACCTTCTTTCCCCAAGCACGTGACGGTGCCGGGAGGGCGGGGGAGAGTGAAAAGGGGCGGGGCCAACGTGTGCCTGTGACTTCACCCGCCCGCTGTTCTAGAGCCCCGCCTACAAAAAAGAGGGGAGGGGGAGAAAGAGAGAGATGTGTGCGTGAGGGGAAGAGGAGAAGGATGTGTGGCGGCACGTGCTTCTCTCTCTCTCTCTCATTGTCAATTCAGAGCGAGACCGGGAGGCGGGGCGAGCGGGCTTCCGGGCGAGGGAGAACTTTTATCCCTTTTGTGAGCGCGCGCGCGCGCGCACTTGACGCGTCGTGAGAGTTCCATGCCTTCTTGTTTCCTGCCGACGGTTCCGCTCTCCACACACACACATACATCCCGCCCCTCCTGTCGCCTCCGCCCGCCCTTCACTTCCTCCTCTTTAAGGCGCATGCTCGGCGATGTACCTTACGTGACTGTCCCTCTCCGCCGCGCGCCCTTGCCGTTTGTCCGCTCTCGAGGGAGGGAGGGAGGGAGGGAGGGGTATCGGCCGCGCGCCCAATGTTGGAGCCTAACGCACGCGCACGCGCGCTCCTTCCCCCTCTCCCTCTGGATACGGGAGCCTAGCACGCGCGCTGTTGTTATTGGTGCTGCCGACTGACTGGCTGGCTGCTGGCTGGCTGGGCTGGCGGCGGCGGCGGCTGTTGGTTGGGGCTGGCGGGGTGGGGGGAGGAGGCGGCGAGGGAGGAGGAGGAGGAGAGCAGGGCGGCTCAGTCAGTCAAGTCAGTCAGCCAGCCAGCCAGCCGGGCGAGAGAGTGAGCGAGCGAGCGAGTTCTTTAAAGATGGCCGGGGCGGCGGCGGCTACGGCGACAACGGCAGCAGCAACAACAACAACGGCGGCGACGACCCCCGTGTACTGCGTGTGCCGGGAGCCTTACGATGTGAGCCGCTTCATGATCGAGTGCGACATATGCAAGGACTGGTTCCATGGCAGGTAAAACACGCGAGGGGGCAGCGAGGAGGAGGGGGGCCGGGTCTCCTCACGGGTCTCCTCGCGGGAAAACAACAACAAAACAGTGAACTGTGTGAGGGGGGGGGTCCATTATTCAGAGGAGGGGGGGAAATACGCTGAGGGCCGTGAGGGAAGGGGGTGGCCGGGGGGCGAAACAAACAGAAGGACAATGAGGCGGGGAGAGAGAGAGGCGGTGTGCGCGTCGCGATGCGTGTCTGCGGGAGAGCTGTGTGAACGGGGCTTTTCGGCGTACCAGGAAGCGGCGTCGGGCAGCCGCCGGCGCTCCTCGGTTCCCTTCTCTCTCTCCCCCCACCCCCTTCTCCAAACAGTGTTATATAAGGGACTCCTTGGCCGAGCTTGAGGGGCTCTTCTGAGGAGTTTGGCGGGACGAGAGATGCCCGGAAAGTTGAGTTGCTTTTATTATTATTCGCATTGTTCGAAGCGCGTCGCGGCTGAGGTGCCTTTTTGTGTGTGTGCGCGTCTTTTTATGCGTGTTCATCTCGCCGTCCCGTCCGCTTCCTGGGCTCGTGCTTCCCCCGGCCAGAGAGTTGCGTGCGCCTCGCGGACGCTTTTCTGACGTTGCGCTCGCGTGTGTGTCCGGGTTGGTGTTTCACCCCTTCCTTCTTTTTCCCTTTGCGCAGGGAGGTTGGGTCAGTTATGTTGGGAAAGTGCGAGCTCCGAAGAGGAGGCCACGCCGGCGCCGCGGCACTAGCTGCAGCCTCCCCTCGGCTGCGAAGGGAGGAGGTGGGGTGGCTGGGTGGGTATCCATGGGCATTTAAACAAAGGAGCAAGTTTCGGGGCTGCCGCGGCGGCGCGAGTGGCTCTCTTTCGGCCGCCCTTTGATCTCCCAGCTGGCCGGAGGCTGGATGGCGGCTGAAGTTCGGAGGAAGGGGCATCGATCTGGGGGAATATTTGTCCGAGCTGCTGCTGCTGCTGCTGCGGCTGCGGAGGGGAAGTGCGCTTTGATTGACAACAGGACATTTAAATACCCCCCATTTAACAAAAACAGAGTCACGATGGAGCTGGCGAGACAGCCTCATCTCCCTCTGCTGGCTTCCGAAGGGAAGCTAATTTAAAGGGACATGGTTCATGCTTCAGATCGTGCCCGGATCAGAGAGACATATACTCCCTCTCTGGTTTGTTTGGGTTTTTTTAATCTCTCTTGTTTTAAAGGAGACAGATAACACAGAGAGAAGGTCTGTAACTGTCCTCGAGGGTCGAGCCGCACGCGCGGTGATTATTGCGAATACATTGTTCACATTTAGAAGCTAGGCTGGCTCGCCGTCTACAAAGTGCACCTGCCTGCCATTGCAGGTGCACATGTGGTTCTGTATTCGTCTCTGAATAGATTCCGTGTGTTCCGTGACAGTGGGGCTATTATAGATTTAAGTGTTTTACGGAGGAGCCTGACAATCTCCTGGTGCATTGCTGCAGATGTAAGCATCGGTGTTTTAATTCAGAAAACTGCAAAACCAAAAAAGGAAATAAGCTTCTATTGTTGCTAAATTTCTGTGAGTATATTGAACAAAGCATTTATTTTTTTTCTGAATTACTTCCAAATTCCTAAGCCTACAGCAGTGAAATAGTTATGTAATCAGTCTTTTGGTTGTGTTAAAGAGAACATTGCTGGAATAGTCTGTAGAAGTCCTATTAAACAGTAGGAGAATTTGAACTGATATTTGAAGTTGTGATTTAAAAAAAACCCCTTTGAAATCTGTTCCAAAATATTGATCCATGCTTTTAAAAGTTAGGTGAGCTTAAAGTGGCAAGAAGGCAGGGGAATGGGTTGGGCAGTAGCAAACTAATGCATTAGGACAGAAAAAATGGGTTTGATAAGGTGGATGTAGAAGTGTACTGTATGGTAGCATTTTAATTTCTTTTATTTATAAGTGTGCAACCAGCTAAAAGTTATTCCTAAGAAAATGCTTTCTTGTGGAAAAGAGGGAAAACAAAGATCTAGTCTCTAATGTTTATCTAGGTAAGTCCCATTGAACTCTGTGACTTACTTCTGAGTAGGTATTCATAGGATTGTGCTGTCAAATAATTTTGCTTCTGCACACGGCTTGGCTCCTGAAATCCAAATTACTTGGCAACTGAACTATAAACAGATTTGCTATTGCTATAGCGCCCGGCAGTATCCCACAAGGAAGATAATAAACAAAACATCACAATTTTGCTAAATACAGACTGTCATAGATACATTATTGCTGGCTGTTTGATCCTTTTCCTGATAATTTATCTTAATTTTTAAAATAACCCCCTGAATTGTCACTTCTGCAGTGCAATACTTTAAAGTTTACTCTGAAGTAACTCCAGTTGGGGCTTATTTACAAGAGTGTTTAGCATTGTGGCCTGTTTCTGGCCTCAAGAACTGTCTCCTAATTTACAGTTCAGAAAATGTTAGTCTATGTGTAGTTGAATTATATGTTCAGTTGCTATTTTCTTAATACTTTTTTTCTAATTTGAAAGGAGCTGGAGTATTTCATTTTGCTTTGGATGTTAGGGTTCAAATGTTTTGTACTTGAGAGAGCTGGACACCTTTCTTATGTTGTTGGATCAGTGAATATGTTTTAAAGCATTGGCTCTAGTGGTTCTTACAAGATCCTGGACTGTTTTGAATCTTTTATGTGAGTTGTCCACTTGCATGGACCCTTTGTTTTCTGTCTTTTATAATGCAATACATCCAATAGAGATCAGAAGGCATCTTACAATCCTTAGCCTTTCTTAGGAGCTTCCTGTGAGTGGAATTTTAAATTCTTCTTGAAATCATATGTACTGTATTCTTTAGAATACCACTTTGCATGTATGGAATTTACATTAGGTTTGGCGCTTTCACATGATTTCTTTTAAAATCTGAGGTTTGATTTCTACTTGTAGCCATGCCCTATAGCAGGGACGGTTAACTCCTGAGACTGCAATCTACTCACAGAATAAACTGGCAGGTTGGCAGTTCAGATCGAAGCTGTTGAGTGAGCTTTTTTTAGGGAGGAAAGTGCCTTTTTTTAGGGGTTCAGGTCAAAGTTGTTGACTGGGGGGGAGGAATGTCCCTTTTTTAGGGGTTCATGGCAAAGTTGTTGAGCTATTTTAGGGAGAAAGGGGGAAAGTCGCTCACCATAAGATTGCTAAGGAAACAATCAACATCACTATTATAACTCAGTCTGTCATTCTGGAGATCGTGCAACAATGGAGGGTGGGCCGAGGGGGCAGGGCCGGATTTTACCACCACTAAGGAAAGGGAGCCAAAAACCTCCCGGGGATATGCCAGTAGATAGCGATCAACCTGTTGGACATCCCTGCCCTATAGAATTTTAGCTGGTTGCACAAACCAGATGAATTGTCACTGAGTGACTTGTCCTATAGTTAGTTCTTTAAAGAGTTAACTGTAGTCATCTCCAGTTCCTGAATCTAAATCTGTTTTTAAACTTTAACACGTTAATTATCTCTTTGAATGCCAGGTTAAGGGCAGTACCTTTTATATAACTTGGCTATACAGTGGTACCTCAGGTTAAGTACTTAATTCGTTCCGGAGGTCCGTTCTTAACCTGAAACTGTTCTTAACCTGAAGCACCACTTTAGCTAATGGGGCCTCCCGCTGCCGCTGCGCCGCCAGAGCACAATTTCTGTTCTCATCCTGAAGCAAAGTTCTTAACCTGAAGCACTATTTCTGGGTTAGCAGAGTCTGTAACCTGAAGCGTATGTAACCCGAGGTACCACTGTAATACTTTTGCCCCATACAATACTTTTTTTACAAGCCAGAGGAGAATTAGACTTGTTTTAAATGTGACACTGGTAAATAACAATAACTTAAATATGCACTATTCTATATACCAGCTGGTGTATAGAACGCGGGTGGCACTGTGGGTTAAACCACAGAGCCTAGGACTTGCTGATCAGAAGGTCGGTGGTTCGAATCCCAGCGACGGGGTGAGCTCCCGTTGCTCAGTCCCTGCTCCTGCTCCTAGCAGTTTGAAAGCATGTCAAAGTCCAAGTAGATAAATAGGTACCGCTCCGGCGGGAAGGTAAACGGTGTTTCCATGCGCTGCTCTGGTTCGCCAGAAGCGGCTTAGTCATGCTAGCCACATGACCTGGAAGCTGTATATCTCGGCCAATAAAGCGAGATGAGCGCCGCAACCCCAGAGTCGGTCACAACTTTACCTAATGGTCAAGGGTCCCTTTACCTTTACCTTATATACCAGCTGTTTCATTTAAGCCAAATTACCTTCTTGCATTTGCTGCACTATAATGGCTAGAACAGAGTCGGTCATGACTGGACCTAATGGTCAGGGGTCCCTTTACCTTTACCTTAATGGCTAGAACCTGTGGCTCAAGCGGATACCATAGCAGCATGCTAAAGGGAATGCTGTGGTCATAGTCTGTCTTGATTTCAGTAAGGTTTCTGACAAAGTCTGACAGTATTCTTGCAGAGAAGCTGGTAAAATTTGGGCTGGATCAGGTAACTGCTTGAGTGACCAAACACATAAAGTGCTCACTGGTGGTTCCTCATCATCCTGGAGAAAAATGACAAGTGTGGTTCCACAGGGTTCTGTCATGGGCCCTTTTTTCAACAGTTTTATAAACGACTTGGATGCAAGAATTGAGGGGATGCTCATAAAATTTGCAGATGGCACCAAGTTGGGAGGAGTACCTAATGCTGCAGAAGACAGAATTAGGATCAAGATGACCATAACAGATTGGAGAACTGGGCCCAAGCTTACAAAATGAATTTCAGTAGGGACAAATAAAAGGTTCTGCACTTAAGCAGGAAGAACCAGCTGCACAAATATAGGGTGTGGGATCACTTGGCTTGCCAGTAGTTTGTAGGGATCTGACCAGGATTTAATGAGGATGAGCAGGGGTTAAATCCTGATGCTTTGGCCAGCAAGAGAAGTGGCACATGTGGCTAAACTGAGCAGGATTTAACTACCGCATGAGCCAATATTGCTTTGTTTAGCTGCTGGGAACAGGCACACAGGTCAGTGCAGAATTAAATCCCAACCTTCCCATTGGCCAACAACTGACATCATCAGCCCATCAGAGTGATATAAGCTGATTGGTCAGTGGGCATGTTTTTGGACTTTATAGGCCAGACTGGACCCTCTAAAGGGCCAGTATTGGCCCACAGACCACTATAAGACAAACAGCAGGTTTTTCTCTCTCTAATGGTCTAGTCCAGTGTTTTTCAACCTTTTTTGGGCAAAGGCACACTTGTTTCATGAAAAAAATCACGAGGCACTCCACCATTAGAAAATGTTAAAAAATTTAACTCTGTGCCTATATTGACTATATATAAAGTAATTCTCTTGAATAGGAATCAAATAAACACAAAGAAAGTATTTTATAATTACTTTATTATGAAATAGTAAGTAAACAGAAATATGAAAAATTATAAAATACTTTATTCAGTGCGCAACCTGGAATAGGCATGGCACAAGTGATGGAATAGGCATGGCACAGATGGTATAGGCATGAGGAGGAGGAGGACTGACAGGAGGACTCACTTACCGGGCTGCTGCTGCTGCACAGGGCTGGACTCACTCGTCTCTCTTCCGAGACCCGACCGTGACCGACTGGTTCCAGATGACCTCCTCACCTCACGCTGCACCTGCGGCCTGGTCTGGATCCGGATGCGGTCTCTCTGCAGTGCCGACTCCCGCCGAGTCCTGGTCTCCGTCCGTCTCCTCCTGCTCCGGTCCTCCTGGTGACTCGAGTCGCGACGTCTTCTTCTCTCCGCTGCTGCGCACACTGTGCTCGGGCGGGAAGGAAGTCGGAAGATGATGTCCTACTGTGATAGGTCCAGGCTGGAGTTTGGACCAATCACAGCCCGGACATCAGAAAAGTGGAGGGTGTCCCCCTGAGGAGCGCCAATTGGCGCCCCTGCTGGCAGAGGGTGGGGTCAATCCCCCCCATACCCAGGACACAGTCCGGCGCCCGCCTAGTGGGCGAAAATTTGAATTATTTTTTTTTAATCTTTCGAATTTTTCAATTTTTCCCACAGCACACCAGGCAACAGTGGTTGAAAAACACTAGTCTAGTCACTGTCTTCTCAATACTGTGACAGTTTTCGTTTTTCCCCTTTAAATAATTTTGAAATTTTCCATTTGTGTCAGAACACTGATAAAATCATGTAGCAGTTACTGGTTTTGTTACTGGCAAGAAAAGAGAAATATGTTTCTTTCATTCTTTAGCGTGGTCACATTGGTTATTCCCTACCCTGTACTGGCTAAGAGGCAGCACTGGTAAAAATGACAGGCAGAGTCACTTGATTAATGAAAAGGCTCCGGCTGACTCTGGTCTGCAGGGCTTGTTTGTAGATTGGTGGCTGCAAGGCTAATTTATGCAGTCTTGCTATTTGGACCCAATTTTGCATGCCAGCTCTTTGGGAACATGTGTCCATGTATATCCATTCACATCTGCACATGTGTACAGTCAACTGCTGCTCCATGTATATCTAACTGCACATGCGGTGGTAGAAAAATACATGCGTCTACACTGAGGACACTGAGCAGTTTTTCTATCTCTCCTGGGTTCATATCTTCCAGTTGTGCAGTAGGTCAATAGCATAACATTTTGGCTAACCCTAGTGCTTGAAACAGATACTTGTATTTACCTGCTTGTCTGGTAGGTCAGGTAAGTGACAAGGAATTCCATACTGATGAATGAGTGGCCCAGCAGAAAAGGAATGACTCTCTCAACCTTTCTCCACCAATCAACTTGGTTTTCGTTCTGGCCATTGAGGAAGGGAAACACATTCATTCTCTGCTGGCCTGCTTGGTAAAAAGCATTTTAAAAAACTAGTCACTATTAGTAGTCCTCGGTTCTATGCTGTCATGGAAAATAGGGTTCCACTCCTCTGTAATGAATGTGGAAATACAGGCTACTAGCCTCTTAGCAGACTAGTAAAAAAAGTAGGCTAGTAATTCTTGTAGGCCTATTTACAAGGCGATCATGTCACTTTGTGACAGTTTTATGTAAAAAGTTTCCAAGGAATAAATAATTAAATGCAGTTTCATTAGCAAAGTGTTATGTCGGTTAAGGATTAAGCCTTATCAGTTTTGCAACTACATCATTTGCATATTACTCTGAAGTAAGTTTCACTAAGTATGAAGGTGTTTACTTCCAAGTAAGTGTGCTTAGTATTGCAGCCTTAGAAGCTAATTTTGAACAGTATGGATATCCTAGGCCAGATTCACAGAGATAGAAGTGTAATGACAGTTCCATTTCTAATTATGTACATTAGCATTGTGTTGATTGTCATGTTGTTGATTGTTGTCCAGTACATCCACATCAGTACTGGAAACAATGTTTAAATGTCAAGAGAAGGTAGCAAATACTCTGAATTTTTAATAAACACTGGTTCTCTTTCTGCCATATTAAAACCAAGGTTACTTATGTTCTGTAAATAAATAGGACTGAATCCAGAGTAAAGGGTACCAATGCAGTTTCAGTTTAAATGTGCAAGTGCAGTAGAGCAAGTAAGGCATAGTATTTTAAAAGATTACCTGGAAATAAGTTACGGTCTTGTAGTCTTGGATAATAGATCTGTGCTTGCATATTTGCATTTCACATTTGCCTTTAACTGATGTGAGTTTCAGTTCTGTATCTTGCCAAGTGGGGGGAAAATACTTGCCTTGTGTATGTTAAGCAACATGAAGTGGCTGTTACATAATTACAACTCTGGATAGTTGAATTGGTAGGGGGAGCTATGTTTATTATTGAAACTTGCTATATTATTAAAACATGTGAGCAGTGTTTCTGTGGCAGTAAAGCAGGATTATTTTAAACTATAAGGCACTCTTAATTTCCAACCTTCCCATCGTTTTAACGGTATTTAATGTATTGTTTAAAATATGCTTATGGAGTGTTATATTTGAGAAATTCAGCTTTGGTTTTTGATTGCAGAAAATATTTGATAGTACTAATGCAAAAGAAAAAAATATAGCCTAAATGTTCAGCATGATACAGTGAGGGGGGAAAGTATTTGATCCCCTGCTAAATTTGCCCATTTGCCCTCTGACAAAGAAATGACCAGTCCATAATTTTAATGGTAGGTTTATTATAGCTGTGAGAGACAGAATAACAACAGGAAAACCTCCAGAAACCCAGAAGACAAAAGTCAGAGATTGATGTGCATTATAATGAGTGAAATAGCTATTTGATACCCTGTAAACCAGCCAGATGTCAGGCTACCTGGTATCTTCACTGTATGTAACGAGCTGAGATTAGAAGCACCTGCTGTAAGGGAGAGGTCTTACCTGTAATCCCAGCTTATTACAGTACCTGTATAAAAGACACCTGTCGACAGAAGCAATCAATCCAGCAGATTCCAAAGTAGTCACCATGACCAAGACCAAAGAGCTGTCCAAGGATGTCAGGGGCAAGATTGTAGACCTGCACAAGGCTGGACTGGGCTACAAGACTATTGCCAAGCAGCTTGACAATGACCCAAAACACACGGCCAAGGCAACAAAGGAGTGGCTTAAGAAGAAGCTCATTAAGGTCTTGGAGTGGCCTAGCCTGCCTCCAGATCTTTATCCCATCAAAAATCTGTGGAGGGAGCTGAAGGTTTGAGTAGCTACACATCAGCCTCAAAATCTTACTGACTTGGAGAGGATCTGCAAAGAGGAGTGGGACAAAATACCTCTTGAGATATGTGCAAACCTGGTGGCAGCCTACAAGAAACATCTGACCTGTGTAATTGCCAACAAGGGTTTTGCTACCAAGTACTAAGTCATCTTTTGCAAAGGAATCAAATACTTATTTCGCTCATTATAATGCACATCAATCTCTGACTTTAGTCTTCTGGGTTTCTGGGGGTTTCCCTGTTGTTATTCTGTCTCTCACAACTACAATATACCTACCATTAAAATTATGGAATGGTCATTTCTTCGTCAGAGGGCAAATGGGCAAATTTAGCAGGGGATCAAGTACTTTCCCTCCTCACTGTAGCATCTTGTAAAAGTGCTTTGTAGAGAGTGTTACAGAAATATATATTGGTATAAATAAATCCCTGTGTAGCACTGATTTGTTTAATACAGTGCTTGTTTCAAAAGTGAATTAGTTCTCCTCAAATTCATGTTGTCCAAAAAGGAGATAGTTCGGTTAAAGTTCACACTTTTACAAACTGTCTTTTAAATACCTAGCCATGCACCTGCATACCATGATTTTGGCACTATATAAAGAAGCCTCTGGTTTTCTCTTCCTTCTGCATTGTCATTCCCTCCTGGCCTCCATGGTTTGTGGCAAAACATAGGTTCCCCTTCCTTTCAAATCAGCAAGCCATGCTTTGGAGCAGGAAGTTGGAGAGAAAAAATGCAGTATGCATGGGGGGAAGGGAGCCCAACTGTGGCTCATTCTATGATGATTTATTTAGTGCAGGGGTCGTCAAGGTTTACCTCGCCTGGGCTGGTTCACTCCTGCGGAGATCCGTCTGTGGGCTGGATCGCACACATGCATGAGCGCACTGCGTCTGTGTCTGCGCAGACGCAATTTCTGGCAACATGGAAGTGAGTCCCTGCGCCACGTTGCACTGGTTTAGCGCAGTGTGCGGGGACTCGCCAAGTGGGTGGCTCGGTTTGGGGGCGGCTCGTGGGCTAGTTAAACGACCCTCATGGGCCACTTGTGGCCCATGGGCCTTAGGTTGCTGACCCCTGGTTTAGCACCAAACCATGATTTGGTATTACATTTTGATGAAACCAGAATGTGGAGGCAAGAGATGCAGATCTCCAAATGAATGATCATGGCCCAATGCAGTATCTTTGGCTCACATTCGCTGTATGTAGGAGATATATATTCCCTTTGTTATGCATTACATTTCTCCTCTAGGGGACAAATATAAGCACAACTACTGCTGCAAAATAAAATTTCTTAGTGTAGCCTGCAGCATCTCATGTAACTCTTGAAAGTGTGCCTTCATTTCTTGGCAAAACTAGAGCAGCTACATCACTCTTCTGACAGTTTAGTACTGTCCAGGCTGATTCTTGAGGTTGGTAGTGTTACATCGTACAGGTGACCACCATAGGTGTTGCGTGATGTAGTTACATACAGTGAAATGTCAGCAGGACTAAATCCTTGGTGGCATGGTATGACTGAGTGGCATTTTCCAACCCTTCCCTTCTATATTCACATATAGCACATTTTTTATTAACATGGTCTAGTGGCAGTCATTCTTTTATTGAATTATTTTTGTTGAATTAACATTGGATCATGATATGGAAGTGTTAGAATCCTTTTTTGAGCATTTGTGGTCAACATAGCCTGGCAGAAATCTGTTGTCTAAATCTGGCAGCGTATTGTGCAGTTTAGATAAAATCTTATTTGGGGTATGTGTGACTAGCATGGAAATTGTTTCCAATTACCAAGTTAAGCAGACCCACATGTATACTCAATTTTTTCAGAAACTTTAATATGCTGAATGCAAAACTATTGAAAATGTAGTTAAGCATTTTTATATAAAATTGTTTTAATTGTTAGATCGGTTTAAGATTTTACAGGAAATGATTAATAAATGGAATGAAAATAAATAACGGTAGTGAAAACTATGGTTTAATTAGTAAAGTGTGTTGTAGTTGCAGATAAACTGCCCATGTGTGCGTGTTGATGGCGGTCATAGGAAATGTAGATGTGACAAAAGACATTGATCTCTTGCTCCCACCATTTCCTATAATAAGCCCAAACGGTCATGTATCTCAAGTACCGTATTTTTCGTCCCATAGGACGCTCCATCCCATAGGACACACCTAGTTTTTTGGGGGGGAAATAAAGGAAATTTTTTTTCCCTTGATTCCCCCTCCCAAAAATCAGGTCGGGGAAACCGAACCAGGTCGAGGAACAGCGGGATGGCGGCGCTGCGCCTCCTTGCTGTACCCCGAGCTTGTGGGGCTGGCCGATGTCTGTCCAGCGCGTGGGGCGCTCTGCTTCAGGGCGCGCCGGGCGGCAGGCTGCTATCCGCAGCTTGGGGAGTCCTGCGGGGAACTCCTAGGCTGCGGATGTGTTCCCGAAGCGCCAAGCGCTCTGCTTTCAGCGCGCCCGGCGCTCCGGGAAGCAGGCTGCTATCCGCAGCCTAGACAGCCCTGCGGGAACTCCCGCAGGGCTGCCTAAGCTGCAGATGTGTTCCTGAAGCCTGGAGAGCGAGAGGGGTCGGTGCGCACCGACCCCCTCGCTCTCCAGGCTTCAGCGAAAGCCTGCATTTGCCCCATAGGACGCACCCAGATTTCCCCTTCATTTTTGGAGGGGGAAAAGTGCGTCCTATAGGGCGAAAAATACGGTATCTCCTGCCAAGTATTTAAAGCCCAGGATGTCTACCTGGAAAATGAGACATACATGAGCTACAGGCCACTCCCTCCAAGGATTGGGGAGAGAGCTTTTAAAAACTGGGCTGTCATTGCAGCTTTGTTCCTCCCACCATGGGGGGGGGCAGGCCAGATCTTCCTATGCACTGCTCAGAGAAGCTGGCCACAAGCTCTGCTAACTTGCAACTAGACGGACAGCATTAGTAAGTAGAATAGAAGTAATCAGAATTTGGGATCATCGGGCTACTTTTGCTTTGATTATTTTTATTGGATCTTACAGAAGTTTCACAATCAAACTAGTGGAGTCTTTGTGGGTTTTCCAGTCTCAGGATTCAGGAATCATCATATGCCTAGATCATTTTGGGTTTTATGGTACTATTGGAGATCTAAGACCAAAGAGTTGGTAATGTTAGGAATCTGCTCTATTCTCAGGGAGGCGCTGAGGACTGGAGCACTGGCTTTACGTTCTGCATAAATTGCTAGGAATTGGCTGGAGGTGCCAGGGTCTAGGATCCCCAAGTCTCATTGTTAATTGGACATACCTTGTTTTCTCTTTTTCTGGGGCTGTAAGTTACCTTCAGAAGTGGATGGTGCCAGAAACTACTGGATAGGAATGCACTGCAGAGCTGTCAGATGGGCAGTACTGAAAAGGCTTTTCTGAACCTCCTCCCTTATCTACAGTATTTACTGTGAACCCAATTTTGTGGCACAAAGTCTGTTTAAGAGGCAGACATTGCTGGAATTTGCAGTATTAGGACTTGCTCTCGAGTTCGAGGCTTATCAGTTATTTTACAGTTACTGCTTTATTGCCATGGCCTACAGGCCTCTGTTGAGAACTAGCTCTGCTTTAGACCAAATGTAGTTTCCAGAGCACCTGGTGGGCGACCACATGAAGGACTCAACTTGAAAGAGACCACTAGAATCCAGAAATCAGCACCCCCCTGCAATAATCAGTTTAACAGATTTTATATTTGATCTGCATAGAAAACATAGGTGTAATGGAAATCATTTTAATGTGTGGTTCCTTGTTGGTTTTCTAATTTGCAGAGACTGCAAGCTAGGAAATTACAACACACTATTTAGACTTCACAGAGTTGGCTGGTATCACTGATTATGTTAAAGTGTCTTCATTTATAATTTCTAATATTTTCTGACTACTTATATTATTGCCCTTATTGTTACTTAATATGCCTCATAGAATCCTCTAATCTATGCAGCAGTAATGAAATGCGTTACATATAAAACATGTCTTACAATCCTAGGATGTGTATATATTTTTGACCAGCATTTAGATTATATTTCAAATCAAAATTTTGAAAATAGTTTTTAATATAGAAAACTAGTATGAATAATTACCAATTGTTATGTAGGTTAAATCCGTTCATATTTAAAATGTGAGGATCTGTTGAAAAATTGAGGAAAATGCTGTCCTGGCCCCCCCCCCCCAAAATAAATCTTAAGTATAAAGGACTTGAGCTTGTGATATACTTGGGCTATGTTCATGAGATTAGTCAGCATTAGACATCTAGAATACTTTTAGCTGCTCCCTACCAGAACTTTTGATGAAATGAATGAATAAGAAGTTTTATTTGCTTTATTTATTGATAAATGACAAATTCCAGTGTGATAACCGAGTGAGGGTTTTTGTTTTGTTTTGTTTTTGCAGCAAAAACAAGTTATTGTGGTATTTTAAAGACTAAAATAGATTTATTATGGGTGTAATTCTCATGATCATTTGGCCCCATTGCTACTTTTTATTTTATTTTGCACTACCACACATGTGTGAAACTAAGGAGTTAATGCTTCATGCATCAGAAGTGAGGCTAGTTCTCTAAAGCTCATGCCCCAATATTTTTTTTACTTTTTAACGTGCCACAGCGCTCTTTTGGTTCTCTTTGATAAACTAACATTTATATATACCAAGGCTCCATTTGAGAGAGCTTTTACGCACTTGTAGCTGGAATATTATAGTAACTTCTAGCTTAGAATTCCCCGTCTGTGAAAATACTGATGTACAAATTGAAAATTAGATTGCATCAAAACTTTTTGCATAGTAGTTTGATAGATTTAATTAAATTAAATTAAAATATAATTTATCATAGTAATATATTTTAGGCACTGCTTGATTTAATCTGAATGCCTCAATGCTTACATTTCAAGAGGTTAAAATTTATTGTATTTGTCCTGGCTTTTAAAGTTTTTTATTTTATTTTAAATCAGTCAGGCTGAGAAAAATCTCTTTATCACAGGCTGTATGCCTACAAACGCAGTGAACCTCTGAAACTACAACCTGGCTTGAAGCAAGCCCTGTTACCTGGTATGTTGCATGGTTGCGGTAACTGTTCCATGCTTACTGCTCCTTGCATTGTCCTTATGGTCAAAGTAGATGTTTTGTATCAGTGTTAGCACAGCTTGTGCATCTCCCCATCAGGGGACATTAAACAGTGAGGTGAAACTGGAAACATGAGGCATAAGTCAGAATAAATTGAAACTGACTCATTTGAGTACATTAATATCAGTTATGACTGCTGACAGCAAAATATGCCAAATGAATGTTTCATTATTTAGAAAATTCGTGTCTTCAGGTCTGCCTCATACTGGTACCAGTGGTTCTAAATAGATAGTGCTAGTTTTCCAGGTCATGAATGCTTTGAATGGAATTAATATTTAATCTCCATTAGTCTGGCATTAAGTAAAGTAGGCCTTTAAATTGGTGATTCTTGCGGAAAATGTTGAGTTCATTCTTGTTCAGCCGGGTATAATGCTGATGTTGCCACTAAAGCAAAAAGCTTCTACATGAAATCACTTCTACATTATTTTTAAAAGGCAACTAGAGTAAGAAAGTGTTATGAATTTTTAATACATTGTGGTATAAAATCTATTTATTTTCATCTAAAGCTGTTGGGTGACATACTGCAAGGAGGTTGCTAAGCTCACTTCATATACTTCATTCTTTTTACATGTTTTATTCACTTTTAAGGCTGTATAGAGAAGTGGGGAATGGAAAGGATGTCATTCTGTGAACAAAAAATATATATCAAAGATTGGGACTGCTTCTGGCCTAGGTTGGTCATAAGCACAACACTTAATTTATATACAGAACTGTATTCTTCAGTTTATTAATGAATGTTTATGTATTTCTGGTGAAGCACCTTGCTCTCTCCACCACTGTCAGGGGCTTAACCCTCTTTCCTCATGGAATCTGAACCTCTCAAGCAGGGGCAGGGAACCTGTGGTCCTCCAGATTATGCTGAAGTACAGCTTCCATCATCCCTGACCTCTGGTAATGCTGGCTGGGGTTAATGAGAGTTGGAGTGAAATAATGCACAGGTTTCCCACCCCTCCTAAAAGGTAGTAGAAAATATGCTGGTACAGTGGTACCTCAGGTTAAGTACTTAATTCGTTCTGGAGGTCCGTTCTTAACCTGAAACTGTTCTTAACCTGAAGCACCACATTAGCTAATGGGGCCTCCCACTGCCGCCGTGCCACCGGAGCACAATTTCTGTTCTCATCCTGAAGCAAAGTTCTTCAGGTTAAGAAGCACTATTTCTGGGTTAGCGGAGTCTGTAACCTGAAACGTATGTAACCTGAAGCGTATGTAACCTGAGGTACCACTGTAGTTGGGTTAGAGAGAGGGTTGTATAAGGGAAGAAGGTGTAAAAAAGCAGTGTGGTGGAAGGAAAGTGAACATACGTTGCTGGTTTTTGTTACTACAGTGGAACCTCGGATGTTGAATGTCTCTGTTGACGCATGTTTTGGCTTTCAAATGCTGAAAACCCAGAAGTAACTGCTTCGGTTTTCGAACGATTTTTGGAAGCTGAATGTGCCTCACGGCTTCCTTTTTGAGTTTCCCTATTGTATTGAGGCTTCCACTTTCAGCTTTCAAATGTTTAGGAAGCCGAACGGTCTTCTGGAATGGATTACATTCGAAAACCGAGGTTCCATTGTATATACCATACCTTTGACAGAGACAGAAAGTAAGTGCTCGTTAGTTGTTTTGTAAGTGTTGCTAACTATATTTCATTCTTTCTGCTCTTGTGAAATGATCACATCAACCCATTTGTGGTGGTTTGCAGCAGAAAGTAGAAAGGATGTAACTCCTGCAGTAGTGAGTTTCCAGGGAAAAGGTAGTAAGAGCACTTCTGTGATTTTACTGGGAAGTAGTTTTAGTAATTTCCATACAACACCTCCTAAGCTGAAAAGAACTTGGAATCCTCTCCAAGTGTAATGATTCCTTCCTTTCATTGCCACCAACTGATTAGCCAATTGGTGTTCTGTTGTTGCCAAGCCAGGAAGAAGGCACTTTACCCTTTCCTTTTCTTCAGGCACAAGGCCTGCTTGTGGCAGTCGCCTGTGCTATTTGGTACAGGGAGGAGGGTTTCTATCTTGTGCTAGCCTTCCACTTTGAGAAGAGTATACTTTATCTAAAGGAGGATAAACTGGGGAGGGTGGGCAGAGAGAAGTACTAATGTGCTTAATTTATTTGGTTAAGATAATATTGCCAATTAGCATAAGGAAAGCATCCAATAGTGTGTGATATGTCTTCAGTTAATTGGCACTATCCAGTCACACTATTTGCTTCTTAGTTACAGAAGTCTGAAGCTTTTTTTTAACACACTCTCTCTCTCTCCCCCCCTCTCTCTCAATAGTTCCTTCTGTTTTAAAACTTGGCTTAATATACTCTTGCTTTGACCTCTAGTAATACTTACTGTCAACATAAAAACATAAAGAGCTAAGGAAGAAAGAAAGGCAATGTTTGTTTGCAGTTTTACAATCTAATGGAAAAACAGCTTGCTATGGAATACAATATACCTGTTTAATGGTGGTGTTCAGATTTGTTGAATAACAGGCTGCATTTTCTGCAATATTATCAAATAAAACTTTGCCACATGATTCTGTTATCTAGGCCTTATGATAATTTACCTACCTCTCAATTTATGCCCTTACACTTTGATAAGTGAAAGATTTACGAGTTCTCTACAGTTTACTGACTATATAATTAAATTATAGGCATACAGGTCACTTGCAATTTACATCTGGTTCGCCAGAAGTGGCTTAGTTATGCTGGCCACATGACCCAGAAGCTGTCTGTGGACAAACGCCGGCTCCCTCGGCCTATAGAGCGAGATGAGCACGCAACCCCAGAGTCCTCCGCGACTGGACCTAACGGTCAGGTGTACCTTTACATTGTGGGGATGGTGTGTATTCACAAAACCACATATAGTTGAGCCCCCCCCAAACAATCCTTACCTTCTGGAGGTAGCATGTGATACAGGTCTTAACCCACAAGCAAGGTAGAAAAGGTTTTGACTCTCTGCCTTGCTTACTGGGTTCTGGGAGGCTCAAGAGGGAACAAGCTCAAGTTCTTTATTTAGTAGATGTATACCTTGTCCACCAGACTTTAGCCCCGCCGAAAGTCTAGCAATAACATGCAGCACCACATAGAATAACATGGTTTGCTCTGTTTCATAATTGGATTTCATCTGTCACTTGCCTGCAGCCATTCCTTAAGGCTGCAGCAGAGAAGACAAGACAAAGGATACAGGGTGCCTCCACTTGTGCAGCTGAGACAGCAACTTTTGGTGTTTCCTTTCCTTGAACTTTTGCACCCCAGCTGGTGATGAGAAGAACTTGTAACTTGTCTTATGGTTATATATGTAACTTCTGATAATTTTCCTTAAAAGGTGCAGTTGCAACTTAAGAGTTCCTGAAGATTTTTTTTCTTCTTCTTTTAGTTGTGTCAGAGTAGAAGAGCACCATGCTGTTGACATTGATCTGTACCACTGTCCCAATTGTGCAGTTCTTCATGGACCCTCCTTGAGTAAGTAATGATTTATAAGCAGTGATGCATGTTGTGGTTTTTTTTTTAATAATAATTTAAACCTCACCTTTCAGTTCTTAAAAAGGCCCTTTTGGGGGCTTGCATGTATGAAAAACAGATATAAAAGCAAAGCCATTAATTACACATGGCAGAAAGAAGCTTAGAATAGGCCAAATACCTGGTGAAATAAAGAGAGTGCCCAAAAACTGTAAGAGGAGGCCAACTGAGGAGAGAGTTCCCTAAGGAGGAAGTTCCACATCTTTAGGTGCCATGGCCACCTAAAGATTATTCCCCATGTCCCATGTAACCGTACTTCTGAAGCTCAACAGGGCATGGAACTATGTGTAAGATAACATGTGCAGTTTTGTGTGGGTGGAGATGGTACTGCAGAAATCCTGGTAGCAAATCATTTAGGTCTTTTATATATAACTACTGTATATAAGCAAACCAAAAGCCAGCACAGATTAAACAAAACTGGAGTAATATCGTCGTACCTTGGATCTCAAATGCCTTGCAACTCGAACATTTTGGCTCCCAAACACAGCAAACCCGGAAGTGAGTTTTGCGAACATTCTTTGGAACTCGAACGTCTGACATTGCTTTCACGGCTTCCAGTTGAGTGCAGGAAGCTCCTGCAGCCAATCGGAAGCTGCGCCTTGGTTGTCGAACATTTTTGGAAGTCGAATGGACTTCCAGAATGGATTCTATTTGACAACCAAGGTACAACTGTATGCTAAAAAAATAAAAATAATTTTCAGCCATTCTGATTGCATTTTGCATTGGGAGCAATATGAGTTCTTTTCAAGGGTATTGTAGAATGCATTGCAGTCCAGATATAACAAAGGGAGGTGTGACAGTGGCCATATTTGTTTTATTGAGAAAAGACTGCTGCCATAGCAGCCTGACCTGTGCAAATAAACTGCATTACATGGGTTAGCCATGATGCAGCATTCCATACGCACCAGTATTCTTACACCTTTTAGCTCCAAACTGTGGTTTGCAACTATGCTTAAGAATTTTGCAAACTGTGATTTGAGTTACCTGCAGTTTGTGAAAGTTGACATAATGCTGCATCATGGTCAGCTCTGAACATGAAAGGGAAGTGGAGGAGTATGTGAGCATGTGGGGTCCTTCTGATCTCCTTTGCTGGCAAAGCTGGTTTCTTGACTTGGAAACATTCATCATAGATCATAGAATCATGGAGTTGGAAGGGACCACTTGGGTTCAACCCCCTGAAATGCAGGCTTTTTTTGCTCAAGGTGGGGCTCGAACCCACGACACTGAGACGAAGTCTTGTGCTCTACCAACTCAACATGTGTTTCTATAGAAACAGAAGAAGCATCTTTTTAGTCTGATGTTCACAGATTACATATAATACATTCTTATTCTAAACAAATAATGAGTTTACTGTCCCCAGCAATAGCTCACACAGGGAAACCCTTTCATCATCTGGTTCTAGAATGCCAAGTGCACTCTTAAAATGTGCAGTACTAGATCATGTTTTCTTTACTGTCTGTTCAGAATGAGCTATAGCTCTAAATGGTGAGCTTTCATTCAGGAGAGTTTTACTTACTAGATCTTAGCAATGCTATCCATTTCAGAATTTCCCAAAGGTTTGGTGGTTTTTTGCTTTTTACACATTCTGTAAAATGTGTCTGATCAGTAGCCCTCAGAATACCATCATTTCCAGTATGAAATTAACTATGCTATTCCTTGCTGAATCTTGATTGGAGTATCAGTTAAGCTCCCAGCCTCTTGGCCTGTTGCTCCAAATCTTCCTGTTGAGCTTGGTGTCCCTTTCAAGGCCCTGAAATAGGTTCCAGAATGCTGGAGCCATTTAGCAGATGGCTGTTAAGATTTGGTGCTCTCTAGCATGCACATATAGGGCCTATTGTGGTTGTTAGGAAACAGTCACACCCAGCAAAGAACAGAGGATTCCTTTACCATGCAAGAAGGCCAAGCAGACCAGTCAGCAGATCACTGGACTTTCTATGGCACTGTGTTAAAGGGTGATTGCCAGGCCAATCTGATTGTACCTGATGAAGGTACAGGGTGAAACACTCTGTTCAGGACTGAAAGTCCTGGCCTGCTTTGTGACTGTATTGTGATAAGAAATAGATCCATCCTGAATAAATAGATCATCCTGATTTCACATATCTTGATCTGCCCAAATAGCTGTAGTTGTGTAGTATCCTAAGAATCTTAATTTAGTTTTTGTCACTAATGGTAAAGCAAAAGAATCTGTTAGCTGCTTTCAAATATCATTGAGGAATTGCATTTGGAAAGCTGCAGGGAAGCTTCTAAGACAGGCAGATGTGCTTAAGTCACCTTCTGGCCTTCCTTCTCAATCTGGGAAAGTTGAGGAGTCGGGTGGGTGTGCCTAGGAGCCCCTCTCCAGTTTAAGCCTCAAATAATTCCCTTTGAGAGGTTAACAGTTGGAAGATGAAACTGAAATTAATGCTTCATGGACTTTTATCTATGATTTATTCCTGAATATTATTTGAACCCCCATTAAACATTAAGCAATGTTTAACATTGCTTCTCAGGGTAGGTTACAATGTTTATCTGTTTGAAAATGTGTTTTCTTAAGTGTCCTTTAGAAGGTGCAGTATAAAATTCATAGCTCGGGCTAATAATTTTAGGATAATTGCTTATAATATATTATACCACCTTGAACTTACAGATAAATGAGATGTTTGCCTTTCTGAAAGTTATTGCAAAGGTACACTGGACTCTAATAGATTTCTTGTTTTAATCTTTTCATATGTGTGATACTGTTGAATTGCGATTTTGTTTTTATTTCTCTTATTGAAGCTAACCTAATATTTGTTAGAATAAGTATTGAAAACTTTGACCACAGTAATCTTTACCTTTAAAAAAAATGCAATTTATAACTACTGGCAAGTAATACTAGCCTGTTAATCCACATACCAATTTGTTCTATAGAGAAGTTCAGTTACATCAGAGGCTTTGTCTTGTGTCTTTTGTAGTGCAGCTGCCCACCTTAATAACTGTCAGATAACATTGGCTGCTTTCCAAAGTGGTCACTGAGCTTGAAGAAACAGGTGTGTACACATGGAAAGAATGATATGCATCATTCCGCACAGAAATATGCACACCCAAGGCACACACGAAACGACTGCCACATGGAAGTCTCCCTTAAGTGGTTGCCTATGGCAGCTGCCTTGCTACAGCAAGCTGTTTTCATGTATACTACAGGCTACTACAAAGCTCTTAATATTTGCTATACAGAAAATGTACCAAGTCTTTGTGATGAGCTGCCACATAAAATGGTTTGGAGTATGAAGCCAGTTTTCGTTTTTGTTTTTTTAAAAAGAGCCATTGAAAGTGGTTTCTGTGTATCGGCCATCCTGTGTGCACTGAACCTTCTCTAGACTGTGATCCAGGCAAAGCATAAACTTTGTTGCCAGGCCCATATGACTTTGCATCCCTTTTAATCATGAAGTAGGACACAAGCTGTTTGACTACTGTGCAGTTTGGCTTGTGGTGTATGCCTCAATTTCTGCGTGACATGTTTTCCAACTTAAGTTTCAGATTTCATACTACTTCTGAGTAGTAAACTGCAACTTGCAGTTGTGTTGAGAGAGATGGATGACAGTCAAGCATATATTGTAGTAATGCCCTTCTGCTCCTTTGATTAGTTGGAGTAATACAATCCATTGGTTTTGAAACAATGAAAGCTTAATGAGTTCAGAATGCCCAGATGAAATTACTAATACTCTGTCAGCGGCTCAATGTGGAGAATTAAATTTATTTTTTTATTTTAAAAAAACCCATAAAGAACAGTAGCTTCAGTGGACACAAGATTTCATAAATAACAATTAGTAGTAAACTCTTTCAGATGTTCAAAATAATACATGCTTTGAAGCATGTTCATCTAGGCATGGTTGGAACCCCCCCCCCAATACCTTTCAGACCTTCCTACGCAACATGGAAAGGTTGGGCTGGAGTGGTGTGCCTGTAGCATGCTTCACACATTATTTTTGAATGCTTGAAGTGTGCTGTCATGGTTGACAGTTGGAAGGTGAAAGATAGGAATAAGATACTAGGTGGAATTCGATGTTGCACTCTTCCATTCGTTCCACCTGTGCATGCATTTCAACTTACCAAATAGAACAACCCTCCTCTCCTCCCACAATTTGCTATTCTGAGGGTTCTTCTGACCTTCCACTTGAACCAATTTTGGGGGGTTCAGATGGAAGAGGAGGGAAAGCTCTCTTATGCAAGTGGAAGCCCTTGCATAGGTCTTCCATTGACAGAGCTGGTTTAGTGAATTCTGTCCCCTGAGTGTAATGTTTGAATTAAGAATGGCTAGGGAAATGATATAAATTCTAAGTTTAGGGATTTTAATCAACATCTTTCTTTTACGGATATATCCACCACCTAAAATAATTAAATCAGTATACCTTTTTAGTGTGAGAGAGAATTTAAATAAGAAGCTTGCCCCAGATGGAAAATTGTGAACCCCATATAAACCATGCTGAGATCCTAGAGTAAAGAAGGGACTGCAAATTGGCTACTCCTGCTCTACAAGCATTTATAACAATGTGGTACTCTCCAGATGTTGTTGGACTACAGCTCCCATCAGCTCCAGGAATGATGAGAATTGTAGTGCAAGGGCTACTTTGGTTCTCCCTTTTGAGAGTACAGTATGGCCTGGTTCCAGGCATGTTTTTCTGAAATGGAGAACAAACCCTGAACAAGCACCTCTCTTCTAGCACTGCTCCCTTCAGTACTTTGTTTCTTGCTTGTATTAAGCCAGAGTTTCTCTTCTGTCTCAACCATGGCTTTATGGCAGTTTACAGACCAGAAATATAAGCTAGGAGTCATAAGCCAGAAATGATGCAGCAAGAGGGGGAGGGAATACTCTGCCCAATGTTTGTTCCTGTTACTATTAAACTATGGTTTATGAAGCCTGGAACTATTATCCAGCTGTAACTTTAAGAAAATGTTACGAATTGTAATATTTGGCTCGTAATAGATTTTTCATGCAGATGAGTTCTATTGCTTCAGTTCTGAGTGTAAATGTAGTCTAGACTTTATATTAGTTTCTTTAATGATGCCATCACCCAGCTCATTTATAAATGGTTTTTTTGTTGTTTTTTCCAGTTCAGGGCAGAGGATGATTTATTCACTAATTAATAGCAGGCAGCTTGTCAGAAACTGTCTGAGATCCAGTTTGGTGATGTGATACTTGGACTTGGAGACCTGGGGTCAAATCTTTGATTAGTTGTGAAGCTTCTCTAGGGTTAATCCACACTATTTAAAGCATATGGCTTCCCCTAAAGGATCTTGTGAACTGTAACTTGTTAAGAGTGCTGAGAACTGTAGCTTTTGGAGAAAGCAAGTACTTCAGTTGTATGATGTGCATATGTGACCTTGGACCCAACCATGCATGTTTAAGCATATCTTTCCTTATGGGATTTTTAAAAGAGAAAACTGGATAGTTCTCTTAAATGTCTTGAGGAAAGGGCCAGGTACAAATGTGGTAGTTGCAATTAATTTTAGAAGATAATGTTTTAATCCTTACTATCTAGTGAAGAAGAGAAGGAACTGGCACAGACATGACTATACAGAATTTGATGATGGTTCCAAGCCAGTACAAGCTGGAACAAGAACATTTGTTAAACAGCTACGTGCTCGCTCTTTCCCAAGGTAAGATAAGTTGCATTAGAACATATATAAGAGCAGGTGCAGAAAGTCTTGTCATTTTTTCTAGCTCCTTCAAACAACAGTTTTGTCTTCAAGCCATAAACTTTTAACACACTAAAAATAATGGGCAGCTGAATGTCTTTTTGGCTAAGACATCTAATGGTGATGGTGATATTAATTACTATTACTATTATTCATACAATTTGAAGTATTTATAATTAAAATTATTATTATTACATTTATTTATATCCTACCCTTTTCTCTGAAGGGACTCAGTATTTATAACCTGCCCTTCATTGAATGCTTTCAATCCCAGAATGGGGAACAATCAAATAAAGTAATAAAAATATGCAAAAAAGTAGTATACAAGAATTATTTAGTTTTCAAATGTTAAAAAGTATTGTTGTTTTTTGTAGTGCTGATGACATCATTTTGAAAATGCATGGCAGCCAGTTGACACAAAGATACCTGGAGAAGCATGGGTTTGATGTTCCCATTATGGTTCCTAAATTAGATGGCCTAGGTCTCAGGCTTCCTCCCTCTACTTTCTCTGTTCTGGATGTGGAACGATACGTAGGTATGGTCTGTTATGAAGAACAGGGTAAAAACATGTGCAGTAATTAAAATGGTAATAAAACCACGTTTACTGTAATTAGAAGTGGGGCTACCTAAACTGATGTATGCAGTCACTAATGGAGTTTACCCTTTGTCACCCTTTGTGGTATGCAGAATACTAACATGTCAACTCTTAGTCCGTGCAATGCAAGCAACTTTGTGGACAATTTGTGTGTAGCTTTAGGGCCCCTTCAAATTAGAACAAAAAAGCGAAAGCAGCCTTTTGGAAGGATGAATATTCACACCTGGAAGTTTAGACATTACATTTCTTTGCTTGCATCTTTACTGTGATAAGGTTTGAGAACATTTAGTTTAAGTTGAGTTCTCTACACTTTACAATTTCAAAGATGAAAGCTTTTAAATGTGTGATCCAGCGTTGTGCAGGCAGGTTTCTCTTTGCTTCTGTCTTGCTTCCTTCAAATTGTTCCAGAGGGATTCCCTGTTGTCAGGAGCAGGTTTTGGGGGATTCAGATAGGAAATGAGAGCCCCCTTGTGTTATGAGGCCCATTCTGCTCATGCACAGACAGCATTAGATGACACCCTCTATATTTAGACTACTCATCAGATTTAGTGAGATTACTCCAACAGTAAAAGTGTGATATCTACATTGTCACTATCTCTGGAATTGTAGTTCCAGGTTGCTGGTAAGACTGATCACTTTGTTGGGTAGTAAGGGATAACCTTCAGGTTTCTATGAATTTCCTCAGTGCTGCACAGTTACTCATTTTACCCTAAGAGAGCATTACAATATAATAAAATATTTCTTGTTCTATATAACTTAATTGTTGCTTATTTTTTAGATCATTAACTACTCCTTTTTAAGAACACTAGAAATGTTATAGAAAGTAATATTTTGCCAAAATCCCTAGATGTGACTTTCAGTGATGTTTATAGGTGATCCTTGTTTATGTAGAGACTTAATGTTTTCTTTTTTACAGGTGGTGATAAAGTGATAGATGTTATTGATGTGGCAAGACAAGCAGACAGTAAAATGAAGCTCCATAATTATGTTAAGTATTTCACAAATCCTGACAGACCAAAAGTATTAAATGTGATCAGCCTTGAATTTTCAGACACAAAGTGAGTATATGGTTTTTACACATTTGTTTTGAAATCCTATATCAGGAAGTGGATTACAATATAATTCCCTGGCTTCCTAAAGGCTTGCTCTAATTAAGTAGAAAAATCAGTCTTGGAGGCTGGCATTTGACAATATGGAGATTGGCAAATGAAAGTAAATATAATTGGCCTGCTTCTCATGTCATATTCAACCATACTTTACAATTACAGTGGTACCTCTGGTTACATACTCTTCAGGTTACATACGCTTCAGGTTACAGACTCCACTAACCCAGAAATAGTGCTTCAGGTTAAGAACTTTGCTTCAGGATGAGAACAGAAATCGTGCTCCAGTGGTGCAGCGGCAGCGGGAGGCCCCATTAGCTAATGTGGTGCTTCAGGTTAAGAACAGTTTCAGGTTAAGAATAGACCTCTAGAACGAATTAAGTACTTAACCCGAGGTACCACTGTATGGTTGAATGTAAACTAGCAGCATAAAGGTCCATCTTGCTTAAAATTCCCCAGGGTCCTACTGCTTCTGCTATGCTGCAGGTGAAGCAAGCCCAAGTCTGGCTTCTTGTGTCATCCAAACCTGTAGGTTGGAGGAAATGAGCAATGGGTTTAGTTGACACAACAAGTAAGATTTGGGCTTGTTTAATCTGTGCAATGGTAGCAGTGTATTGGGAACTTCTTTTTTTTAAAAAAAATATTTATTACTTTTATACCTTACAAAAAGAAAAAGGAAAAAAGAAGAAAGACAAGAAGAAAAAAGGAAGAGGGAAAAAAAGCAAAAGAGAAAACAATACAATACAATATATAAACAATACAGAATGCAACATTAACATTAACACATTAACCAAACAAAAACAAAAACAATTCAAAAAAACACACATCGTATCATCTCAGTATCCTCTCTTTCATTCCCTTGTTTCATCGACCTCCTCTCACCTCCCTTTTTGTATTCCATTTCTATTAATTGTTTCAGCAAATCCTTTCCATATTTCTCTATTTTCTGTCATATAATTATCTTAACATATTTTAACCTTATTTTCCATTAATACTATAATACTTATTTATACTTAATTACTTAAGATATTTCTACTAAAGCCATATAATTCACTTCCAACATTTTTCTAACACTCATTAATTTTACATTATTTCCATATATAGGTTTTAAACTTTTTTCCAATATCCTTCCACCGTCTCTTCTCCCTGGTCTCGGGTTCTGCCAGTCATTTCCGTCAATTCCGAATAGCCCATCAACCTGGTGATCTTCTGTCCGAGGCTCTTAACTCTTTTCCAGGTCCCTTCTGCAGGTCTTCTTCATATTTATACATGCACTTTACTTTGTCTTCTCCTGATCTTGTTCTTATTTTCCTTCCTTTGATGCTGAAAAGTAGATCTCCGGGAATTCCCATCTAGCAATGTTTTTATTCCTTCCCAACAAGTCAACCAAATCTCCATAATTAAAACTGAAATTCAAAAGATATTTCCAATCGTGTTCCAAAGTTCCTCCGAGTCTGGCAGTCCCCACAACTCCAATCTCCTTTTGACCCAAGTCCGGGTCCCAGAGGTCAATCTCCATTCCAATTCCAAATGGGGCTCCAATCCTAGAAGTCTGACTTTCTCTAAATTCAGTCTTGGAAAGCATCAACTTGTAATCATCCAATTGCAACTGAAAGGCTGGAGCTCTCTGCCTCACCACTTGTGCCACTTTAGGTTCCACAACGAGAACTTTCTCCCCCGCCTTCTCCTCGATTTGCCATGTCGAAATAGATCCCTGTATCGATTCCTGAGTAATTTCTGTATTAATACTGACTTTTTGTGCCAAATTAGTCACTTTTTGTTCCAAATTATCAATTTTTATAGTCCTCGCATCCGTCTTCTTGAAAAGCTGTTCCAGTGAGTCGTTAATCTTGCAAAATGCAACCACTAAGGCTTCTTCTGTCAACATTCTTAGCGAGTCAAGGTCAAATCCAATTTCTCACAGTTTTTATCTTGCAGATGGAAAATTCCCCCAACTCAGCTCTTGTAACAATTTCAGAGGCTTCCTCTAGGGGGAAACAGTTTCTATTTGTATCAGTCCTTTTAAGCACAGTTCAAACAATAAAGTTAGTTTCAATTTTCAGTTACTTTTACTCTTTTTTAAACGCAGAAGGAGACAATGGAAACAAGATATTTCCCTACTTTAACTTACTGTCAACAGACAATCTATTCACAGTCAATGAGCATATCCAAAACTTCAGTGCTTACTAGCAGCCCGTTTCCAGGTTCAGAGCAGTGGTAATTTGACTTTCTTCACTCTGTCCTGCAGGCTTACACGATCTTAAATCTCCCCCCTCTTCTCCTGCTTCCAAGGGGGGTTTAGTGATTTAACCGATGGAAGTTTGATCCTTTATGAGAGACTTTCCAAGGCTTTAGTTTGCAGCCTCTTTGCTTCAATCTATTTACAAAAGGGGGAGGCGGACTTCCTGTTTGAAGCCTCCCTGTTTCGGTGCCAAATTTAGACGTTTAAAAATCCAATTTTCCGTTCTACTCACGGGTTGTTGTTTTAAGATCAAATTGTCCACAGGAAAAAGTCAGCGCTCTCCTGCAACAGCAACGCGGCTTCACTCCGTGAAAAAAGCAGTCGATTCAAAGCACCGCGCCACTCACCCCCACATCGCTCCGGATCCCCGAAACCGGGTTTCCCCGCGAGTAGGGGGGGCGCAAAAGGTGCCAGCCGAATCCCACGTCCACAAGCCTCTTCCGCCTGTGGTTTTTGATGGGTCTCCGCCTTCGCCGTGGCGGCCAGACCCTAATTTCCACGGAGCGGATTCCTCCCGATCAGAGGAATCCAGCCATTGCTGGAGGCGCCTCCCCGGAAGTCCAGTGTATTGGGAACTTTTGAACAGTGTACACTAGCATGCACTCATTCACATTAAGCCACAGTTTGTTTTATCTTGTGGTTTAATGTGATATGTGAAGTAGGTCACAATAATTTGATTATGATACCTTTGTCTAAAACCTAGCAGGAATTACTCTAAAATAACTTTGTTTGAAGGAATGAATGAGTACCATTTGATCTTTTAAAGGTAGCATCCGAGAATATGCTAAATATTAATTGGTTATATGAACCGCCACTGCCACTTTTGACTTCTGTAGAGCTACTGTACTTAATTGGTGCAGATAAAAAGTCATAGACACTGGTTGTATCTGTGTACCTTCACTAAAATTCATTCACTGTGTTCTTATTTATTATTGTATGTGTTTCTTCTTTTAAGGATGTCTGAATTAGTGGAAGTCCCTGAAATCGCCAGAAAACTTTCTTGGGTTGAAAACTACTGGCCAGATGATTCAGTCTTTCCTAAGCCTTTTGTTCAGAAGTACTGCTTAATGGGAGTTCAAGATAGCTACACAGATTTCCATATTGATTTTGGGGGAACTTCTGTCTGGTATCATGTTCTCTGGGTAAGAAAACACTGCTGATTTCTAAATATAGAATGTACAGTATTCATAATGGGTTTAAAAATAATAATCTTGAAGGGTTCTTGCATGGACCAGCCTGGTTCCACCATAACACTAAACCAAACTACAGCTTAGCCCAAATGAGGGAATGTGAAATGAGATTGTGTCTGCTTTGCTCCTTCCCAGTCATTTTGCTGCTTTCATGCGCTAAGTTGTGGTTTGGCTTAATGTTGTGTGCAATATTTCCAGTCAAAAGTGAGCTGTAACTAAGGTTTGTCCTGTGTCTTACAGTTTGTTTGGGAGAGCTAAACCATGAGGCCAGGTTTGGACAACACACTAAGCCAAACCACAGTTTCATACAGCACAATGCAGCAGCACAATGATTGGGTAGGAGCTAAATGGCTCATGTTATTATTAATTGAATTTACATATTGCCCTATACCTGAAGGTCTCAGGGTGGTTATGAATGACACTGTTGAAATTGTCAGTTCAATTAAGGTTTTAAGTTTAACCACACTGGGCATTTTGTGACTATTGGCCTGAGAGTTTTAAAATTGTTATTCTGAACACTAATGGGTGTGATAGCTGGAAAAGCTAATAAAAACTGATCTCTTCCAACTTCATGCTATTGAGTTGTCTGTTTTGCTATGCCCAGAACATTATTTCTAGGCCTATCATGTTCAGTTGGGAAGGAACCTAAGCATTTTCATTCCTATACCCCATTCCCAACTTACCAAACCTGATGCACTCAAAATGATGTTGGGCTGCAATAGGGTTGATTGGAGTTGCTGTCCAACAACATCTCGGGGCCACCAGTTTGGGAAAGCCTGCTTGATCCCATAATCTTCTACCTCTCCTTAATTACTACTATCACAGTTTTATTGTGTATCAGAGACAAATTTAACCTCATTCAATATTTTTTATGTATAGGGTGAAAAGATATTCTACTTGATCAAACCTACTGATGAAAATTTGGCAATCTACGAATCTTGGAGTTCATCTGTTACCCAGAGTGAAGTGTATTTTGGAGATAAAGTTGACAAGTGTTACAAGTGTGTAGTGAAGCAAGGACATACTTTATTTGTTCCCACAGGTAAAATGCTTTCCTCAAGGAATAATCATGCTCATATCTGTTGAGTTTGGTGGCTGGTGTTCAGAGGACTCTTTAAAATTCAATTTAAAAAAATGTGCTAATGTGTTTAGCAATTATGACCCAATTTAGGATAAGGAAGTTGAGAAATTATTAAAAGTTCCCACTCAGAGGCTGCCTGCTGTGTCTGAAAGATTCGCTGTTCTGGACTTGTCTCCATCCAGTCAGCCTCTGCTGGGTGCCTGAATCTGAATGGGTGTGGCTGAAACATTGAATCTCTCATGACACAGTGGAACAACTTGTCCTTAGAATTGTTAAGAGTGTCTGCATGAATCACTGCTCTGGGATTTCTCCTTCAGGTGAGGATGCCTGTTCAGATCATTGACTCACACAGACATACAAGGTCTAGACTCCTCTGAGTGTGAGTAACTTCTTTTTCTCACACTCGAGTCTACTTTGAATGTAAAAATAAAGGGTTTCTAAGATTTTTAACTAGGAAACTAAGTATGCCTTAGCTAGTTCTATTTGAAAAGCAACATTTTAAAGCAAAATAATTTAATGTGCAGTGTGTTACGGCAACGACTATGTAACCCTAGTCAACAAAATAAAATATATCTCTGATACTGGGATTTAGCAAATCCTTTGGGAGAGAGCAGTGTGAAATAGTCACCAAGAATATCTCATTATGTCTTTTTCAAACTTGCCTTATTGATGCCAGTACCATGAGGTCACTTATGGTCATGCTTGACTTGTGACAATTCTTTTAGTATGTAAGGTCACATTTATGAGGGATTTATAGGTTGCTACAACCACCACCTTGAAGTGTGCCTGAAAAACTGCCAAACACAGTGCAGATCTTATTACTGGTAAAATGTCCTTCCTAATGTGAAAGAGGGAACCACATTCTTCAGCCAAGAGCTCAGCACAGATGGTATTGTAGAAGTCTAGTCATGGTGTTATGAGAACATAATGGACTCCAGGGCTCCAGAGAAAAAAAATCCAGAGAAGCAATGACCATCCCTCCACTTCTGTGCTGTCTTTTAGAATTTCTGACTGCATTAACTGACCTATTTTGAGCATATATATTGGATATTCTCTTCCATGTACCACTTAATGATTACACATGGGGTGGTTTTTAAATATTGTGCAAGAAACTAACACAAGAAAAATAATAAATTGCAATTATATGAGCTAAGGAGGTTTCTGATACTAGGGTTAAACTCTTTAGACAGTGTTTCCATTCAGTGTGCCATAGACTTCCGTTTCAAGATTGAATTAGATAAAATAAACACTTTTGACTTTTATCCTGGTACTTCAGTTTGTTCCCAGCTGGAGCTGGAAGAGGCTTGGATTTTGGGATTCTCCATTTTCACACACTTTCTTCACCAAACTGCTACACTTAGACAGTTTAATAGGATGTGCATGTCTTTCACCCAGTGTGATTAGTGATGCCAGTATTGTTACAAAACATTATATTGGAGGTCTTCAAAGTATCAGTCCTATCCTGTGTTTTGTTGTAGTCCAAAATGTAGGGCATGTGAAATATTTTGTAGCAGGGATACTCAGGTTCTACTTACCTGTCATTTCAGGCTGGATTCATGCTGTGCTCACTTCTCAGGACTGTATGGCTTTTGGAGGAAACTTTTTGCACAACCTCAATATTGGCATGCAGCTCAGGTTTGTATTGGAGCTTTCTCTTTTTATTATGTATCTTCTCCCATAAGCTTGAAAATATTTTTGTCATTCAGTTGATACATAATTGATTAAATGAGATTAAATGGCACAAGACACTAATAAAAGAGACAATGCTGCTATTTTGCCAGGGGTGGACTGAATATTACAAGAATTATTTCCAGATAGAAATGAATAGTTTGTTCTGTTCCACTTGGCTTTGAAATTAAACAAGATAACATGGAAGATTACATCAGAACAAACTGAAATTTGGCAAGCAAAACTCAGGAACTGGAAAATAAATTCTAATTCCTGCATTACTTGAGAGTAAACTTTTTGTTCTAAGCATACCATAATGGCATAAATTGCTTGAATTCTGTCTGTTTAAAGTTGGGTTTATATATTAGTATTATGAAGTCCAACGTCGCAGCTCAATATGCAACAGAGCTTCAAAAGAGATAAGTCCAGAGCTTAGAAAAGTTCTGCCCAATTTTGTCAAGTTTGATCTTACTACTCTTGACTATAAATCTTGATGTATCTTGTTTGTCATGGACTGCTTCATTTTGCTGCACACCATATAATTTAGGTGAACACAGTTAAGTGATCAATATTCACACAAAATAATCCTTCTAAATTGTTTATTTAGGTGTTATGAAATGGAGAAAAGGCTAAAAACCCCAGATCTTTTCAAATTCCCTTTCTTTGAAGCCATCTGTTGGTTTGTGGCCAAAAACTTACTGGAAACTTTGAAAGGTAACTCATTTCATGTTTTAAGAAGAACGTGAGGCTAGACTTTTTTCTATCATTTGCGGGAAGACCCATGTCTAATGTACACCAGTCAAACAAGACATAAGTTACTCATAGTTTATAACTGGAAAATGTAAATGTAGCTACTTTGTTCAGTTTTGATATGACAGAAGCTTTATGGATTAAAAGCATTTGTAGTAAACGATACACATATGATTCATGTGCAGCGGAGTACAAAGGCTTTGACAAAGAAGGCATATGAACCTTTTTCTTTAGAATGTCCTATGTATCTTTAAATATGTGTCAACTGCAGTTATTTATGTGGAAGTGAAAATATATTTGTTTCAGAACCACATTCATGCACAGCCCTCTAAAGTTACAGTTGTCACCTCACTCAAATTATTAACTTGTACGCTGCTTCCCTTAGTCTCTATTAGTCAGTACTCTATGCACCTCCATTTAGGTTCTCTGCCAGTCTCCCCCCAAAATAGCTTTTTTCTTAGTAATAAGACTCACATTTATAAAGTAAATTTAGTTCAAATAGCTGAACTGGGAACTAATAGAAGTTCAAGAAACTGAGGAAAGCAACTGAAGCTGACAAGTAACTAGACTGTTAGCCAACTGCACAACAGGAGGCTGAACATAAAGCTTAAAAATTCCACCTCCAACCCCAAAACTGTTCTGATAATACGGTGTGGGAAGGATATGCTTTTGTGAGTATGCACATGTATAAGAAATGTCCATGGCCACCACCTTAGCACTGAACCCAGGCAGCCAAGTCTTCTTTTTTAATCTGATTTAAAAATCATTTCACTTAGCCACCACCCTGTCAAGGGAGCTTCTACCCAAAGGAATGCACCATAGAGAGTTCACTCTATATTTCAAAGATAACACTTACACTTGCTTCTATGGCTCCAGATACCTACACACACCAGTCTAGTGTCTAGGCAGCTACTCCCAGGTCCACTCTCTATGGAGCAGTTGCAGCAACTGGCGATCACTCTCCCCTCCACCATTTTACATACCTTCCCATGATAGGCTGCTTGCCCATAGCCAGAGACCACACCTGCATAGAAGCTTCCTCTGCTCTTTGCACTTCATTCCTCTGCTGGTTCTGGGAGACTGTGGTGCAGGAGAGGGTGGGGAGGTACCCTACCCTTCACTTGCCTGGCCTGCCTCTTCCTCCAACTCTGAAACTTCCCCTTCCTCTGATTCTTGTTTCCTGCCTGGTACAGGACCTTTGGGCAGACTGCTTTGAATATATTTTTATCTGTTGGGAGCAGTTTGTTTTTTAAAAAAAATAAAAATTCAGATGCTGCTCATTGGCCTTCCTTTGGAAGCTAAAGGGCTGCCCCTAAGTCTAAAGAAAGCTTAGTGAACATGCACCTCAGTAGGTTTCTAGTTTTACTTCATGCACTCCCCTGCTGATAACAAAGTTTGGAAAGTTACTTTCTACTGAGGCTGAGACTGACTAAAGTTTGTAAGTGTTGATGCTATAAACCCACAGTTTACTCTTCATTGTAGTTTTGAATGCATGAGTAACTTTTTACAGGTTTAAAGGTTGAGAGAGATGTAAATGTAAATACTCATTTGACATTTTTATTAATCTAATGTGCAGTGTTTGTCTTTATTTCCAGAACTGAAAGAGGATGGTTTTTACCCTCAAACTTTCTTAGTACAAGGAGTGAAAGCTTTACTTACTGCTTTAAAGTTATGGATGAAAAAAGATGTAAGTTGAAATGTGTAGTCATAATTTTAGTGGGTTTTCTTTCTTTAAAAGAAAAGCCTTTAAAATGCAATACAGCTTCATAAAAATTCTGTATATAAATATGCTGCTGATTTGTATTTGGGGAACTTAACTGCTTATTTTCCTGTTTTACTTAACAGCTGGTAACAGAACATGCCTTTGAAATTCCAGACAATATAAGGCCTGGACAGCTAATTAAAGAACTATCTAAAGTGATTCGTTCTGTAGAGGTAAGAATAAAATACATTGAATATGATTGCAAAATTTGGATAATCACATATGATTACTTTCAGCTTTTGGAGATGCTCTCCTTTAGTTGTGCTCCTCTCTCTTCAAAAATAACTGCTAGTTTGCTGAAATAATCACTTCCAAACTTTTATTACTCATGGTTGGCAAACTGTTTAGGTGCTTATGATTATAAGATACTTATCAAGTATAACCCACCCTATGGTTCTGTCTTAGAATTCAAAGTTTAAGTAATCACATTATGGGGGAATTATAAAGGCAGTTTAGAGTGAATAATGAAATTTGAATTAAATCTTTAGATGGAGCATAACATTCTCTTTCTCTTACATTTCAGTAGTGGACAGAGTCCCTTAGGGTGCTGTTGTGATAGACAATACAGGAAGAGGATGGAATAATCTAGTTGAAAGTCTTATACTGCTACTTGAAAGTGAAACCTTCTTTCACTTTAAATTGTGTGGAATTGTCAATATAGGCTGCTCTAAATAACTTTCTTTTATTTAAAGGAGGAGAACAGCAAACCAGTTAAAACTCAGGGAATTATTGGTGTGTGCCAAGTTTCGCGTTCATCAAATGAATCCGCCTCCGCCCATCATTCCAGACGAAAAGCAAGGAAGCTACGGGACCATGCCATCAAAACTCCATCTAATTTGGACATCTTGGAGCTCCACACAAGAGAAGTTCTCAAAAGACTAGAGATGTCCCCGTGGGAAGAGGCAAGTACAGAATTGCATATTGGAGCAAAGTAAAGCACAACTAGAACATTTAATGTGCAGGGCAGATGGCAGACGTAAAAATGGGAAGTTGTTGCATTTTTAAAACAAAGACTGTGGGAGGTATAATCATATCTCTGGTTAATGTTCAATGAAAATATTCTCACTTTTCCACATCATTGAATACCACTGGTTTGGTGAGGAAATAGAGTTGTTGCACTATTCAGGCACATATATCTATATATATTGTGCTGGACACCACAGGTAGGGAGGAGCGACCTCAAAATGCACTTTCCATTTTGGGTGTATGTGAATAGATGAATTTTGAATTAGCAAATATAGATGTAGTGTGGCAATAAACGTATACAGTATGGCTACAGTAAAAAAATGTTAAGCCTGGAATTAGACCTTTCAAATACTTCTCCATTTTACCCAAAAAGATCCAGGACAGACCATATTTTGGAAGTTGCCTCTACATACTCTCCTGTGATCTAAAAAGTATTTGGTACCGGAGCTGTTTTAAGAAGAAAAATTAGAAGGGTTTTGCGGTAATGGTGGTCTTTCCCACTGGTATCACTTTTCCTTTAAAACATCTCACCCAAATCCCCAATTACCTCCCATTTCTGGAACCTTAAGTATATAATTCTGCTTGTTCCCAGTGTATAGTTTGTGGGATGGGTTTTTATAGGAGAGGATATATTAATTGCAATTTATCCCTCCAGGTGCCCACGTTTGTGGGTTAAACAGTGTTTTAAAATCCTATCCTGGCAGCAAAATTAAAAGCATAGGTGTTAGGTTGTAAAACCTTGTTTTGAACAAGTCCGGCTATGAAGTAAGCAGGCTCCCCTTTCTTAACCCGCTTAAAAAAGAATCAAGCAACAGACTGGAAAGTAAGCTTAAAAATATAATTTACTTACTTGATGATCATGCATTGGTTCACAGCAAAAGCAGAAGTAAAAACTATGCAGGCAAAATACTTAATATTTACACTATAACCAGCTTTAGGCATGTGCTGAAGCTGGAGGAAGCAGAGGCATGTCTGCATCCATTGCTGGTCAGAGAGAGAGAGGGAGGAATTACTAAGTGTTCCTTCCTGTTCAGGAGAGAAGGGGAAATGACATCATACAGAGTCCTCTCTACCAGTTATATTTCTATGGTCTGAGTATCTTCTTGTTAGCAATACAGCTTTGTGGACTTAATAATATATGTGCTGATACGTTGTAAAAATTCATCTGTAATGGTGGTCTTGTGTCTTAAATTATTTCTCAGAGGAAGTACCATCCGTCCATACTTGCAAAGTAGAATAGTTTAGACATGTTAATAGTGAATATGTGTACTAAGCACCAACAATCCAGAGAATGGGAGAGAATTGAGTGTTGTGCAGGAGGAAGGAGTTGCTGCAACTTGGGCCATGTGCGTGAAAGACAATTGTACACATGAAACAGACTTCTCTCTCTACCGTAATGGCTATTAATAATGCAGGATTTCTTCGTTTGCTGGCTGTCAGTGTTTTAAGTGTGGCTTGGCAGTGCACCACAGCTGATGTGGATTACAAAGAGAAATAGCTTATTAAAGTACCATTAACCGTAGGTGAAATCTTTTGTCCCCTTGCTTTAGGACACGGCAAATGGTAAACTGAATGGAAGGTTTAACAAGCCTCTTCAGCCATCTTCTACTGTTCCTGAATGGAGAACGAAGGACAATGATTTACGGCTTTTGCTGTCAAATGGAAGAATAATTAGGTATAAAAACATCAGCATGTAGCTTGCTACATGTAGTTTACTTTAGGCAATTTTGAAAATCCGGCTTGTAGTTAATTGACAGATCTGGGCTGAAAAAGGGATACAGCAAGAAACATCTGTAACCAAACACAGGAATTAAATGTTTGGAGGAACAAAGGGGCACATTTTGCAGGACTGTCTCCAACTTGAGGCGGTTCTGGATAGAGTGCTGCCATAATGGACTTACTTTGTGCGGTGGGGCAGCAGCATTTGAAACCCTGCCAGACGGCTCTTATGTTACCTCCTCCTTAATTTCTCCCAGTGCCCTCAGGAAGCACCATTTGTGGCATTGTGAGCAAATTTAAATGTAGACTAGGTCCAGCTAACTAGCGCTGCTGGAGCTCTGACTTCAGGCATCAGTGGTGGGCCCCACTGAGCTCCAGTCCTGCTATTATAGATGGTTTTAAACCTGGTGTCAGGTCTGGAGTCAGATGCAGGTCAGCATGAAGAAGCAGTCTCAGTTGTCAGTGAAGTTAACTCTTTATTCAAGGAAAAGGCATACAACTGAACAACACTTACCATCAGGTCTTGCCCCTATAGAGCAGTTGCCAGGATTGAAGTTCCCTGCCTCCCTCGCCCTTCTAAGGTTCCACTCCCCCAGATGTTTCCCAAGCAGTCTCAAGCTGCATCTGCACTGTTCTGGCCTCTGTTCCTCTCTCCTTGTTATTCAGCACATTCTTGGAGACGGGGTGGGTGGGGAGAGCTGGTCACAGCAGGAGAGGAAGACTCCCTGGATTCTTCTGTAGTCTCTTGACCCTGCTCCTATGTTTCAGCCTCGCAGTCTGAACAGCTCCTTGTCACATGTTCTTCCTGCTCACTATACCCTGTTGACCCTTCAGCATTCAGTACTTCCTTCCATTCTTCTCCCTCTGACAGGTCAGAGGGTCCCATCACCAACCCCCTGGCTCTGAGCCTTTCTTCTCCGGGGTTTCTCTTGGGGGGGGGGGTTTCCCGGCTGGTTTTCACCACCACTCCTCTTCGTCCAGCCAGTCTCTGACACCTGGGCTGGAGAACCTTTTTCAGACTAAGGGCATTACTCATTCATGGGGAAACATTCTGGAGACCATATGCCAGCGGTGGTCTGGGTCAAAGGCAAATGTGGGCAAAGCAATGGGTGTGACTTACATTTGTACAGTAGGATACATTCCACCAATGCAAAAGTCAGGTGTTTCTGCTCCCCACATCTCTTCATCCCCCATATATCCCTTCAGCAGCACAACCCCCCCCCCCAGCAAGCAAGAGGCATTATCCTACTTCAAGAACACGTTGAAGGATTGTACAACGCAGAGTGGTGGTAATGTGGCCTTTGGCGAAGGCATGACCTGCAGAGAGTCTTGAGGGCCAACTTGAGAGGCTTGGAAGGTCAAGTTTGGCTTCCTGGCCTGAGGTTTTCCACTCCTGTTTCAAATAATTGAAAATGATTTAAACATTCTGTTAAAGAGAATAACAGCCAACAATTCTGCATAGACTTGGGAAAAATTCTTCAATAGATGAGAAATGATACTGTAAAAGTTCTAGGAAGCAGTGAAAACTGGCTATTACTTCTAAAAAGATGGGGCAAGGCCCCAATGGATCTTTTTTTGGTTTGGTAACAGGTTATTTTATTACAGAGATGAGAGGCAACCTTTCAGAGATCGAAGTCTTTACACCGCGGACAGTGAAGATGAGGATGAGAGAGCAGAGTCAGAGAAGGAAATAACAGTTAAGGCAGAAGAACAGATCTCCCAGGAAGCAGATGGCAGTGTAGATGCTCAGAAACCACTGAACAGTAAGTATGTTTTCCTTGAACTAGAAATCCAGGGCTATTGTATCTGTACTGTTCTTCATTGTTGCTTTGTAGTGCTGATCAATGTGGCATCATTCATCAGGGTAGTTAAGCTTCAACTGACAATCGCTGCATTTAGACATAATGATAAATCATGTCTTAGCACTATGTGATTGAGCCTTCCTCTGCTCAGACTTGTGTGCTGTCCCCATTTTCTCCTTTTCCTGCATGACTGGAAGGAGGATTATGGAAAATCAATTACTTTTGATTTTAGTTAGACCAGACCTTCCTCTTTCTTCTGAACCAGAGTTCATGGCTAACACTAACTATACTTAGTTTAAACAAGCCAGCTTCAAAAACCATGAGTTGAAGCTGACTTGTTTTTGAAACTGACCTTAGTCTTGAAGTCCATTCCCTGGTTCAGATTGAAGCAGGGCTTTGGCTGGTTAAAACCCCAAATAAAAAAAATGGAATCCTCATCTTGGCCACATGGGAGGAACACACAAGCTCAGGAGAAGGCCAAGCTCTTTTATACAGCACTATGTCATGGTTTAGTGTCACTTCCAGATGCAGCCAATATTTTAAAAAAGGCTAAAGGTGGGTTATGAGTGTTTGTTAAATTCAGATATGGCTGTGTTCATAGACGTAGGTCAATGTATTTGGTTAATTGGGAAATACATAGCTAGGAATATCTATAACTCATGAGCTGGATCTGTTGGGGACCTTAGTATAATGAGTTTAAGCAGTATGTTATCCCCATATAAATAAATTATTGTGACTGTCTATGATCACAGGGAAAAAGTCCAATTTGATCAAAGTAGAATTTCTATTGAGAATTCCCTATATATGGAATATATAGTATTTTCTCCCAATTACAGTGGCTTTCTGAGGCCAGAAATTAAATTCCTAAGAACTGGGAAGTAACAAATTACTTATTAATTACAAACTTTCATTCCTATACTGCTTAACAGTGGGCATTAAATTTTGGAGTGTGGATATGTGTACTAAGAGTTTCATTGTCTTCAAAGCAATGTACAGTCACAGGATGAAAGGCTCAGTTGGTAGCAGGAACTATAGGGAAGTATGTCCAAATAATATATGGCAAATCTAAAATCCCTCTCTTTTTCTCCTCCAGTGTTCTTTGAAAGTGTGAAATCAGAACTCAGGAATGGAAACTCAGAATACTCTGATATTTCTGATTCAGAAGAATCTGAGCCTGATTGCACTAACCAGGTAAAATACAAGAGCGTCACAGGTGGTATTAAACATTAGAATTCAAAGGACATCTAGCTCTGAATAGTATTAATGACAAAAATGGGCAAGAACAGTTTGTGCCTGGGGGGCGGAGTTAGATGAAAGGTCAGCTAGTATAGATATAAACTGTTTTTTAGGCTGACCCTGTCACAAATCCATTTTCTTTTTAAATTTTATAGATCTGCATCTAAAGTACACCAAGCATACATTTATGTAACATTTTATTGCCTAAGACATGGCTTCCAAATAGAATCCCATCCCATCCTCATAACCCAACATCTCCTCTAGGAATATATATTTAGTCATCCTAACCTTAAGAATTAAACCACAGAGCCTAGGGCTTGCCGATCAGAAGGTCGGCGGTTCAAATCCCCATGACGGGGTGAGCTCCCATTGTTTGGTCCCAGCTCCTGCCCACCTAGCAGTTTAAAACCACATCAAAGTGCAAGTAGATAAATAGGAACCGCTCCGGCGGGAAGGTAAATGGCGTTTCTGTGCGCTGCTCTGGTTTCACCAGAAGCGGCTTAGTCATGCTGGCCGCATGACTCGGAAGCTGTCATGACAAACGCTGGCTCCCTCGGCCTATAGAGCAAGATGGGCACGCAACCCCAGAGTCGTCTGCGACTGGACCTAACTGTCAGGGGTACCTTTACCTTTAACCTTAAGAATTAACTAAGATTAAAATATGAAGTAGAAATTAGTTTTCAAGTTAATGGTATTCATTGTGTTGAAAGTTTTGTTTTCCTCCCACCAGCAAAAAGATTTCTCTCTTGAGGAGTCAGAAAGCTCAGGTGATGAGAAACAGGAAGTAACTTCAAATTTTAGAGAGGAATCTAAAATAACAAATGACCTCTTTCAAACCACGCAGAAGCCATCTAGACATCTAGAAATGACAATTAAAAGGTGAGTAAAAAAAGGGCGGTGGTGGTGAACAATTACAAAATTAATGGAGGTGCTTGAAGCAAATTATATTCATTGCTTTCTGTTAAATAGGAAAATGAAACATTTTAGTCCTGTGATACAGCTTTCTTCTTTCCTCTTATTTTTTAGGGAATGTCCTACCTCGACCAGTACGGAGGAAGAAGCTATTCAGGGCATGCTTTCTATGGCAGGATTGCACTATACCACTTGTTTACCAAGTCATATGCAGAGCACAGACTGCACTGATAGAAGAAGCTCTCTTCAGGAACACAGAAGCTATCCCAAAAGTAGGCATAAAGACAAGCTGTCTTCCCAGAGTCACAAAGCAGAATATGGTATGTTCTCTTGTAGATGTATATTATGCCAAAACTAAAAGATGCCTAAGCTATAGATTGTAAAAGTAGGCTGCATGGCTGGATTAGCTTGAAAGTTGCAGTCCCCTTCAGGGAATCAAGATCAATGGAATATCTATAGTGGGTTTTTTTGGTCAGATTTAGATTTTCTAGCTTTCTAAGACAGCAGATGGCATCTGACTTCAGCTACTAGTGCACATGCCAGGCTAAAAAGGTCTGTGTAGTTGGGCAGACAGTTTCTAGTAAAAGCAAGTGACTAGACTGCTGGAAACATGCAAGGCCTACATTTCTCCATTACAACTTGAAGCTGGAAGGCATGTGCTTCAAATGCCCTTGTTTCTCTTTCTGATATTAAGTGCTTAAGATACTAACACAAGAAATCTGTTGTGGTTGAATTGATTAATTTATAATTGGGGGCATTGTGCAGAGATTTCAGCAGGTAACTGACAGATGCAGTGACTCATGCATTCTTGCATTAACAGATGGATTTATTTTTCCAGCTAGAGAGGTAATAAAACTCTAAGCATTCGTATTCTCAAATTACTCGATATGAGATTAGGAGTGTAAAAAACTAAAAACTAAAAACCTTACAGGGGCTGCTTATGGGATTAAAGACACCTGTGTGTTAACTGTTTACTAATTCTACCACAGTAGGGTTCTTTAACGTCATAAATACAACAATTTATATAGATTTTAATGATTGTGAATGAAATTTCATTGGAAGTATAAAATCCAATTTAATACGATGTTCATTTAAAGTTGATAGAAAATACAGGAAAATATCACTAATCCAAGTAGTAGTAGTAGTAGTAGCAGCAGCAGCAGCAACAGCAGCAGTAGGGTTTTTTACATTGAATTTTCCGAGACCATTACTTAGGCTTAAAATGATTTTTTTTTAAATATAAAATTGAGACAATGGCCACATTCAGATGTAATGCTAAGCCACGAGGTCTCCCGCATATTTCACTTCTGTTTTAGTCAAGCAGAGGAACAAACCATGGAATGGCTTACTTTGTGTCATGCCAGAACTGGTGCTTGCAGTTTGTTTCTCTCCAAGTCTTGTTCTTTGCTTCCTGATTGGATTTGTTTGGGAGAAACCAAGAGGCATGGTGGTTCACACATGATGTTAATCTGGGTTGTTCCTCTGCTTAAATAAGGGAAGAGCGTTCAGTCTATGTACAAAAGTGCACAGCTTATACACAGGATAACTTGCTTAATCCATAAGTCATAGCTTAGTACTGTGTCTAAACACAGCCATTACCAAAATGTAGCAAAATCAAAATGTAACAGCAGAATAATGAGGGGGTGGGGAAGCATAAAAATATGATTTCAGTAGTAGCTTCTTAATTTGCTGATTCTGGTTTTCTTAAATTAATTTTACTTAATAAATGATAGCCTTTTGTCGGAGGTAAGAAAATCAAAGTGTGGTTTGTTTTATATATAAAAGAATCAACAGTGATGTGAATTTCCTTTATAGAAGTTGGTCAGAATTGCCAGTACTTTGCCCCAGTAACTTGTTTCACCAGTTTAGGGAGATAGCAAGATGTTTGCTTTTAGCAAAACCCAGAAAGCGTAGTAACTTGACAGCTGTGACAGCAGATGTTGTCTCAACTATAATCTGTTTGATGCTTTTCCACCCATCTCTATATCTATGGTTACGAAGAGATGCAGATGGCAAAGGCAAACAGTTTTGATCCAAAATGCTTCAGTTTTTCTGGTTTTGTATTGGGGAAGATCTAATGCTGTCTGAAGTATGAAAGGCGTGTACAAGTGGCACAAATGCTACAAGGATCTGATAAGTGTGATATGTTGGTGATCTATCACTGTGAGCCATTACAGTCACCACTGCAGATTGGAGCTAATCTAGTTTCCATTGTAGATTTATCTACCAGTAGATTTTAATATCTTTTGTGTACAAGCTAGACCGTCCTATAACATTTTGGGCTGTGGGGTTCCGTGTTAGCATTCTCTTGCCCAAAGAAAACTGCAGACCTATGACTAGGCAATAAGCTATTGCATTATTCTAGTAGGAAATTTGCCTCAGTGTAAAATTTGTTTTGTTGAACTTCTCTTGGGTTACGCTGGTAGTACACTAGGTGGAATCTGTAGGGGGGAATGAATAACATATAAAATATACTAAGAGCTTCAAATTTCTGTTCAGGTAAGCACATAAAAGAAGAAAAAGATGTGGGAGCTTCAACATTTGCTTCACAATTACATGCAGTTTCTAAAGTAAATCCTCAGGTAAGATTATATTATGTGTCTTAATAAAGCAGCTTGCTGTGTACTGTACACATTAAATCAGGAGTGGGAACTGGATTTGGCCAATTTGCTCTTGGCAGACTGCTTTTGACACGTGGGTGGGGATGCTGTGCCAATCATTGGGCATCCTATACCATTATGTGATTCAACTTCAAAGGAAGAATTAAAATTTAAGGCCAATTGCAAGCCCGCTTTCTGCAGGGGTCAGCTCCACCCAAGAACTCCGATTGAAAGCTGCTGAATGCAGCTGATCCCAGTAGCGCTTGCTTTTGACACCAAATTTAGAAGGTGCCGAATGCAAACTCTTACTTGCAGAGGAACAATTGGGAGCATGCTTTAAGGCTTCCCATCGTTCCTTTGCAGCCTGCCCCACACCTGACTTCATATAACATCCAGTTTGGGGCAGGTGGCTGTGGCTGGGGGAAACAGCCTTGTGGGCCTAGTTTGGGTCACAGGTTGGGGGTTCCCCAAGCTCACACTAAATATTCAGAGGGGTTCCAGATTACAGAATATAACTTTAATTAATTTCCCCTTGCACGTAAGTGCCTCTGCTCTAACATGAATGTACTCTTTAGTGAAGGATGCTGTATAACTTGGACACTTAAGTATTTTTTGCATGTTTTTACAAATAAGTGATAATGTAAGTAAGCAAGTAAGTAAGTAAGTAAGTAATTTTTTATTTATATCCCGCCCTCCCTGGCCAAGACCGGGCTCAGGGCAGCTAATAACAAATTTCAAATACATTAAAACACAATCAAACAATTAATTATAAATTAGAATCAGGATAAAATTAAATTACTGCCCACAAATTACAACCATGGGGTCGGGAACCTCAAGTATTCATCAGGGCCGTGCGGAATGTTGGTCCCACATGAGCCGATAAAAGGGCCAAAGAGGTAACTTACAGGGTCCCGGGGGGGGGGGTCAAACTGGGCCCGGACCAAAGGCCAGGCAGAACAGCTCCGTCTTGCAAGCCCTGCAGAAGGATGTCAAGTCCCACAGGGTCCTGGTCTCCTGTGATAGAACGTTCCACCAGGCTGGGGCCGAAGCCAAAAAGCCTTGGCCCTGGTTGAGGCCAGTTTCACCTCCTTGAGGCCTGGGACCTCCAAGATATTATTATTTGCAGACTGTAAGGTCCTCTGTGGGGCATACGGCGGTCCCATAACTACGGGGGTCCTAGGCCATATAGGGCTTTAAAGGTTAAAACCAGCACCTTAAACCTGACCCTGTACTCCACCGGGAGCCAGTGCAGCTGGTATAGCACTGGATGAATGTGGTCCCACAGCAAGGACCCTGTAAGGAGCCTTGCAGCGGCATTCTGCACCCGCTGCAGTTTCTGGGTCAGCTTCAAGGGCAGCCCCACGTAGAGTGAGTTACAATAATCAAGTCTGGAGGTGACCGTCGCATGGATCACTGTGGCTAGATCAGGGCAAGAAAGATAAGGGACCAGCTGCTTAACACGGTGAAGGTGGAAAAATGCCGCCTTTGCTGTTGCTGCAACCTGCACCTCCATAAAGAGGGAGGCGACTCCTGACAGAAGGTGCTGGCACAAATTGAGCCCCCGCAAGAGATGGGAGTTGGCCCCCCAGTCATGTCGTCCCGACCCAGCCAGAGGACCTTGTGTCTTCGAAGGATTTAACTTCAACTGGCTCCCATGCAGGCACAGCTTCCAAGCATCTGGTTAGTGTGTCTGGGGCCAAGTCAGGATGGTCGTCCATCAACAGATGAAGCTGGGTGTCATCAGCATATTGATGACAACCCAGCCCCAAATTCTGGGCAAGGGGGCACATAAAAATGTTAAAAAGCATTGGGGAGAGGATTGCGCACTGCGGCACTCCACACACCAAGGGGTGCCGTGACAACTCCTCCCCTAGTGCCACCCTCTGTCCCCGACCTGGAAGCAAAGAGCGCAGCCATTGTAAGACTGTGCCCTGAATCCCCACGTCGGCAAGGCGGTAGTCCAAAAATTTGTGGTTGACCATGTCGAAGGCTGCTGACAAATCTAAAAGTGGGATGGCAGGGGGAGAGATGCCGAAGTGTGGCATGCAAGGCTGCAATGGTGTAGGTTACACAAAGAAAGGAAAAGTAGTCAAGTTCACCTATGGGTGCAGTCTACCCACATTTAAGTTCTTTGTTGTTTTCTGAACATAGTGTTGATGTTTTCATATGTTTGTAGGTGTCTCCCATTCATTCAGAATGTAGTTATTGGCTTCCTAGAGCAAACTGTTTAAAGTTACAAAAACTGTCTTTCCGGCGGCGTATTCGTTGCGTTCCAGAATCAAACTGTTTTTCTCCCTCCATAGGATACAAGTAAAGCTCAGAAATACTTCAAGAAGGAAGGTGCTTCTGAGACCAGTTATAAAATTCCAGAAAACAGGATCCATTTACAAAACAATGCTTTGAACTTCCCCCATGGCAAGTGCATCCAGGACTCGAGCTTGATTGAAGGGGAGTGCAGGCTAAGTGATGGCAGCCTCAGTCCTGACAGGCCATATGGTGAAACATCGTTGTCTGTACCTCTTCATCCAACTAAGCGGCCAGCATCAAATCCACCCCCTATCAACAATCAGGCAACAAAAGGTGGTGTAATCATCTGTGTTTATTTCTTTTAGCCAGAAATCACTGACAATTGATTTTTGCAAAACAAGGTGTAGTGCATGGTTTAAACGATGTGCCCATTCAGAAAATGGGTTCCTACCCAGTCTGCAGTGCCACACAATCAGTCCTTTTTAGATGTTGAATTCCATAATATTTCACATGAGGGGTTATGTTATGCACATTTCTTTTTTTTAGCCTTACACACACAGTTTTGTGTGGCACAAAATACATAATAACAACAATAATGACATCCCTTACAAGCCTGTAGTTCAGAACGCTCCGTATACATTGAAATGCATTATATAAATAAGGACTGGTGGTGGTTAGTATTGCAACCTCAAATTTGTACATTTGCCCTTCAGGTGGTTGGTATCGCACAACTATCTAATTGGAGTAGTAGTCAGTATACCGGAAGAATCAGAACAGAGTATAGCTAGTTCCTGACAAGCTTCTGTTGCTTCATATTCCTGTCTAGGAAATCCCATGTTGTGCCAACATGGGGCTGATTTTACTGAGCTATGGAAGTACAAGTGTGAATGGTGGTTAGCAGTACCAACTTTTTCTTTCTTTTTCAGGAAAGCGTCCAAAGAAAGGAATGGCAACTGCCAAGCAGCGCCTAGGGAAGATTCTAAAGCTGAACCGAAATGGCCATGCGCGCTTCTTTGTTTGATGCAGTAGCTGCTACCACTGCTGCTGCTGTCCTTTTTATGCACGGACCAGTACTGAGGGGGAACAGTGCCTGGAGCTTCTGTTTTATTCCTCTGCTTGAAGCAGAATGCATGTACCTTATTAGAACACTGCCTAATGAACAAAAACTCAATGCTGCATTTTCACTGTGCCACACCTGCTCAGCAATAACCATTTGGGAAACAGGGGAATATTCAGAGAGACTATGGACTTGGGAGATGGTCTTTCTTCAGGGCTCAATCATTTTGTTGTTTCTGGTAGCGTCTGAGCTAATTCACGAACAGAAGAGTGTGATGAAGGTGGTTATCAATAATTTATTTGACAGATTATTTTTTTTTGCAACTATTGAATTCATTTTAAAACTATTTATTTGGAAAACTCTTTTTGGGAATTGTGATTTTTATTTTAGATGTTGAGAATGTGAAGGTTTTTGTTTGTCCTTAATGTCTGTCTGTCTTCCGTCTGTCTTGTCTGTCTCCAGTGGAGAGCCACATGAATGATTTACTCTGCATTCAAACAATTGATAACAGGTATAGTCTTAAACATGGATGTGATGCATTAAGTTAAGGCACATGGAATCACATGTTAATTTCCACTCCTTATATAAGCTCTTGACTGGCTTTTGTACTGACTTCTAAAGTACGTATTCTTTGCCAGTTAACCTTTCCCTTCTTGCTCCTCCCTCTTCCTCCTCTCATGTTTTGCCATTTGTTCTGGATGATAAATTGGCATAACGTTACTAAGAGCTCTTTTCACACACGTGTGCTTCCTCCTCCTGCCTATTTGTTTCCATATCATGGAGAACGATTCATGCTAAGCATGGGTAGCTGTAAACCAAGGGTAGCACTACAGCTATTACTGATTTAAGTGTAGACACTTAAGATGCTTTTTTTCTTTTTTTGGAGGAAGGCTATTGCGGCAGAGTATTGCTCGTCTACACATGCCAGCCAATGAAAGGTCTTAAGTTTTTGTATATATGTAAATATGTTTCATAGCTTGCTAAAACTCAGAATGACTATTTTGCGTCATGCTTTGCAAATATCCAGTAGTAAATGCCAATTCTGAAATACATGTAAATAACCTAGATGATAAATTTGTATTTTTGTAATATAAAATTGAATATTTAAGCTGTTTTTGGAGGAAAAGGGGAGGCACCTGTACTACTACTTTGGTAAGAGGGCTATTCAGTACTAAAGTGGGAATACTAGGGATACCACTTTGGGTTTCTTCTTCTGTTGATAAAGAGTTAAAGCATGGCCAAAGCTGCTCAGTTGCTTGACTTCTTTTAACTTCAATAAAAACTTCCAAGCCTTCAGGTTATATCAAAAATAAAATATCTTAAAAGTCCCCAAATAGGACTTTTCTGTGCTTAAACAATTTTATATATTCAGTATTTGCTGCATCTATGTGTGTGTATTGGTATTAAACTAGACATAATGACCTTTGTCATCTATCAGAATAGATATTAGTCAGACGTCCTTGGCTACTGCAGTTACTAAGACTTAGCCAAAATTCTCAGTGGAGACATTTCAAGGCTGCAGTCCTTGACAGAGTTCCTAACACTTCCCATTTAACTGAATAGGAATTAACCGCATAGCTACATGCAGGATGGTAGCCAAAATAACCAAGGTAGCAATCTTAACTTGGAAATAAGCCCCATTGTAATCATTGGGACTGACCTCTGAGTAAATATGGTTAGTTGTGGAGTGTAAATGGATAAAAATAGGATAATGGGATTGTGGTGTGTCCTAGATTTTGAAAGTTACCACACATTTGTTCTTCACTCTTCTTTCTACTTCGAATTACAGTTTCCCCCCCAGCACTTGTGTGTCCACATTATGTAACTAAAACCAAACTGGATAAGCTGCATGTTGTCAGCATTATAAACAGAGCCAGTTACAGAAAGAGAATTTAATACTAGCTTTTGGAAACACGGAAATTTACTGGTTAATCTGAAATTGCACACTTTTCAGTATTGGTAAGAGAAAATGTTTTTCCCCCAGCAGTCCATATATCTTTTAACTGAGCTACAGATCATTTAAGTTCTCAATTCCCTCTTAAAGTAAAATTACTTGTCCTTTTGGTTTAGACGGAAAAAGCAATTCTAAAGTGAATTTCAAAGCATTTGCATTTCTTCAGTTCTTACTTTAAAATATTCCAGTGAATCCATAGTAGCTAGCAGATCTTATAACTGATCTCCTTTCTCTAAACATATCTTGATTACTAAAATATAGCTATGGCCTTATTGGGTGATGGTGGTGGTAGAAGAGAAGAGGGTTTTTTAATGGCTGTTTCCAGTTACTTTTCTCATTCCTCCACCTCCGCCACCCCCACCACTCACTTCCATTGTCATGAGCATGCAAACATATTTTCGTAGACTAAGAGAAATACTTTGTAGTTTCTTCTGACCTTTTGTCTTTCAAATACAAATTGAGGGAAATATCCCCTATTACCACTTTAGTAAGACTTTTACCAAAATGAAGCTTTGGATTAGGCATTAAGATTAATTTTGAGGAAGGTAGAGTACATCAATTGTGTGCACCAAAATAAATTGCTCTGAAGCAATAATTATTTTGGTGGCTTGATCGAGACAAGTCTTGTTTGTGTGTTAATAACTTGCTTGATAGAAACCCTTGCTGCACCAGACTTTTATGTGTAATAGATTGTCTGAATTGGGTGCTATAGTCCTGACTTCATCATTTCACTTCCTTGAGGGACAGGAAACAATGCTAAAGCCATATCTGGCAGAAGGTTAGTGAACCTTATTTTCAAAGAGAAGATATTTTTAAAAAACTGAAACAAGAGCTTCAGCTGTAGGATGGAATTACAATAGACCTATTCTCTTCTTGGAGTCGTAAGGTGATAGGAATATGTGAAATGAAATGTTTGGGCTTTGCCCAAACAAGAGAGAGAGAGAATCGAAAAGGGCATTGGTATACTGGTGTTTAGTGACATCCCCAGCCACATTTCACTTTATCCAATACTTACTGATAAAGCCAGCCTACAAACTAGCCTCAGTTGACTTCTGTGGTAAGATTTACCTATGCAAACAGTAACAATGACATACAATCATTTTCCAAACCATCTCAGAGGGGTAGAACAAGAAGAGCTGCCTTTCTGGCCACAATCTGAAATGCTTACATAATGTTCTTCAGCCGTACAATGTCATGGTCAGATCAAATAAACTTTACTTCGCCTAAGCTTTTAACATGCCGTAGACTGCCTTCATTTGCCAGGATGTGTAGTCATTAAAGAAACAAAACTTTGTAGGATTTGAGTCATGACTTGACACTTTTGCTTACTCTGTAACTGGTAGCTTGGAAGAAACCCAATGAGACCCAATGCTATAAATGACCAGAGAATCCCCTGCATAATGCCTCTCCTTGCCCACAATTTCTGTGCCACCAAAAATCTCAAGTCATCTTTTTGTGAGGAGAAGAAGAAGAAGAAGAAGAAGAAGAACTTGCATTATTCATACTTCCAGACCATTAAAAACTGTTCATGGCCTTGGGCCTAAGTGAATCCAGGGCAACTTTATTTTGTGTAGTAAATATGAACTGAATTTAAGGGCCTTACCGTTTTGTAGTTTAAACTGGGTTCAGAGCTGCAACATCTGTTTTTTTTCCAAAAAGGCAAAGATCTGTCTACAAAACGAAAGAATCATGCAACACTGGGTGAGAATGAGACGAGCACTGATTAGGAAACGTAGCTGCCGCTGAAGCTGCGTTTCTAACTAGAAAAGGACTTTGAATATAAATTTTAAGCCATAATAGTTTCTTGCTGTGGGAAGGGAATGAAAAATCACTTTAAGAGATTATATTAATATGAATTATCACAGTTTTAACTTTGCCTGTGCTTTGGCATTTTTAAAATATTCATTGCATTTGAAAAAAAAGGGGTTAGGTCTTGGCTATATTTACTAGTTTTGTAGTAGTGTTTTTGCTGATGTGACTCCCCCCCCACACCCTTTTTCTACTGTCAGTCTGATTTCTAACTTTTTTGAATGTTTGTGAAATAGCTGTCTTTCTGCATAGGGGGTTGTGTGTCCTCTGCTCCTTTTTACAGAAACACACTACTGTGTCGAGTGTTTTGGCTGGGAAATGGGATGCTGCAGCTTTAAGAGCATTTTTTTGATTTATAACAGTGTTTCCCATCCCATTTTTGCCTGCAGGCAGGGAAAGTATGTACAGTATTTATTTTGTTTCAATTTTACTTTAATATTTGTAAGTTTATATAAGTAGCTTATTGATTTCTTGTTTGGAAGGACAAGTGGCTTGTTTAAATTTGTATTTGACCATAGTTTCCACTTCCTGTACTTCAAAAATACTGAAATTAAAATCTGTATTGCTTATGTTTTTGATTTCAGCATTCAAGTGTTTAATTTCAGCACACTCATTCAGTGTAAATATTGGATGTGATACAGAATGTATTGTGGGGGAAAAACCAAACTTAATTCCACTTCTATTTCTGATTTTCTACCACTCTTGGTTTTTGAGCAAAGCTTGAGTTCAGAATGTACTCCCCGGATAGCAATACTAGCTTCACTTATTTCAAAATACTTTTCTAGCTTTAGGTCCCCCCCCCCCCCACCCTGTCAGTGCTTTCTGGTAACCATGCCAGCAGACTGGCACTATCAAATTTCACCTATAACCAGTTACCTCTCTTTGCAGCGCCTTCCCTAACATCACAGCTTCTAGATGATTTGGACTACAGTACTTTCCGTCCCAGCCAGCATGGTTGATAGGAGCTGTAGTCCAACTGAAGGTCATCTGGTTGGGAAAAAGTGCCTTAGAACATAACAAACCTTGTTGGTTTCCTTAAGCATGTGAATCGGGCTTCTGACTAGAGGCTTGTCTGGTCTTTGACTTTAACACTATAGAGTCATAATTCACAGCAGGATGCAAAGATGCAGCTACGTCCTTTTTTTCTTAAAAAGGGGGTTTGTTACGTACTCACTCCATTTAGGCATATGAAGTGGCATGGCAAAACAATGCCTCCTAGAAAGGAACTTCTGCTAACTGATTAATTCTGGGAATCCAGCATCCACAGGGTTAACTGAATAGAGTTGTTTCCAATATAGGTTTTTAGGCAGAAAATAGTGTGGTGACAATGAGAAATTGTCTGGTGCTTCCTCGTGTGGTTGGCACACATTTCAACAAGAAACACAGTGCCAGTGTGTGTGGAGAGCACCCATAATTGGGGTATTTATAGGATTGGACTACTCACCCTATACCAAAGATTCAGGAGAAATCCAAGGGCCTTCCTGTTCTTCCTGTTTCACTCTGAAATCTCCCTAGGGTTTCTGTCGTCTGGGGTAGTATGCAGGCATGATTCTGGGTACATGAAAAGTGGACCCTGAGAACTGAACTACTAGACAGTTTAAGCAACTATTCCTGATGGATTGTTGCACTGGAGCAGGACAGTTCCATGCAGCATTGGTCGCATACCTCTGTGCCATTGTATCAGCAGAGATGGCTGCAAGGAATATAAACTGGGCATCTTGCAAAGAAGATGCCTGCCTATCACTTTGGAAGCTCAAGAGAGGAAATGTGTATTCTTGAGAGTAGGTGATTTGTCTCCAGTTTAAATCCTGAATAAATTAGTGTGCTCCAGGAATAAAATATTAGGGAAACACACCTTAGGCTCAAGTATTTTGTCACCAAAAACTGAGGATGAAAGCTAAGGATTAAGGGTGCACAAGTATTTTGTACACAATATATGACATGTCCCTTACAGCTGGAAAACAGCACACAGTGAGAATGTTTTATTTCCATTCCTAAAACAATTTACAATTATAATAACAAATTTAACACAACAAATATATAAATCATTACAATCCTGTAATCCAAAATGCATATAAACTTTCCTGCACCATATCTCTGTACTATTAATTTAGGAGCAGCCCAGATATGAAGTGCCTTATTAGACACTATGAAGTGTCTAATAAAAATGAAGGTTCCTATCACCAATGCAGGGTGTAATTTGTGCTTTAGGCTGCAATCCTAACCACATCTACTCTGAAGTAAGTTCCATTAAGTTCAATTTGACTCACAGGTACATGGTCTTAGAATTGCAGCCTATTATTTTAGTTCTCTGTATGCTAGAAAAGCATTCCACGTTAGAAGGAATTCTTCTGAATGAGTAAGACTCACTAATTTGATGTGAGAGCTTATCCAGGAGGAGCAACTTCCTCACTTTCTGTGGCCATTGAGTCATTGGTGAAATGGCAAGTATTTGGGACTAAACACAAATGTTTGTGTGCTTTTTAGTTTCACATGCTATAAGTGTTGAATTAACCAGCTCTACCAAATGTCATTTTGGCCACAGCTCTTTTACCGTAGATAAGCTACCACTTGACTTAGCCCCTGGAAGGTTAAATGTATTTTAAGTACAGTCCACTAATCTTAAAATGGCACCTTAACATCTCTACCAAGTGAAGTCACTTGTTCTTGAATATACTGTGTTTCCATCATTCCGTCCTGGTAACCAGGGCTACCCTTAAATGAATAACCCATTATCTGTTCCACCCACCCCAGGAAAGTATCCACTGTATAAGGATTACCTTGAAAATCCAGTAATCCGTTCTTAAGCAACGTTAATTTTGCTATGTCTCTAGCAAGGTGAGATCATACTGAATTTTCCATTTTCACTGGTTTTCTACACGTAGATATGCAAGCTTCCTCAGCCGGGCACCAGCTTTCAATATACTATAAAGTCTGGTATCCACTCTATTGGTGGTTCCCAAATTCTTTGTTCCATGGAAATTCTTTGCTCCACTTGAAAACGGCCGAGGGTCTTGGCAGACCGCTCCCCCCCCCGCCTATTGTAGCAAGCGTAATGTAGTGTGCTAGATGCTGTATGCTTTTCCATTGTTTTAACAGAACAACTGCAGACCACCCGAACAAAGCTCACAGACCCTTGGTGGTCTGTGGACCACAGTTTAACAACCCCTGTACTAGATTTACCATTGGTCTGTTCCAATTTTTCTGCTCTACTAGCCTATATACTGAGATTGAAATACTGGCCTAACATTCCAACCATGCAAAAGTCGGAGATTTCTTCAGACTCACACCTCTATCCAGACAAGTAGGAGGCATGACCGTAGTTCAAGGGCAAAAGCTCTCTGGGAGGATGCAGAGAGCAAGGCTGATGAGAGATGTGGTCTAGAAAGAGTCTTAAGGCCTGACAGACTTGAGGCTTCCCACTCCTGATCTAAGCAGAACTGGGTTATGTTTTTTGCCCAAAACAAGACCACCCTTTAAATTTCTGATATCCAAATGCTCTGGCTAATCGTTGGTAAGGAAAGAATGGCTTGTCACAGTTTTCTCCCTTGTTTAAAAGTGGACTTGGAGGCGTATCCCACACAGTTGGAGTGTGAGGAGCTCCCAAAGAACAGATTTGAAAGGTCCTTGGGATGCACATTCTTCAGTATGTTAGGACATCCTGGGGCACCACTTTCATCAGGATCTGCAATTTTACTGTGATGGAATCTAGACAAATGCAACAAGGAAATCAGAGGAAAAGTAGTTTGGGAGAGGCATCATTTGGTGTTCTTCAGTGAAAACAGAAAACTCTGGCTGCTTCACACATCAGATATATCGTGGTCCACATTGTGAACCTGCTATTCCCTATGAAGTGTGAGAGAAGCTATCTGGTTTCATTTACTGTTTACATGCAACTAAAATTATTAGCATGCCTCTTGGTAGTTAACAGGGCAGAGCCATACACTATACAGATAGGCATATATACTTGCTAAACATTTGTGAAGTAGTCTTGAGGAAGGCCTTCCTGAAGATTTCTTCTCCAGTCTCTACCAAGTTCATTCAAACTAGACATATTCTTAACATTTCCTGTGGTTGAGCTCTAAGCAGTATTATACATGCATTGATTTATCTTCTTCGTGTCTTTACCAAAACTTCATAACGCAAGTACAGTGCTTTTTGGGTCCTTATATGTGTGACAAGGGGAAGTCGTCAATCACAGCCAATGCGACAGGCCCAATTTACTGTGGAGGACTGTGCATATTATCACAATGATTTATTAACTTTATATACCATCCTGCATCCAAAGATCTCAGGGCGGTTTGTTGTTATGGTGTGTATTTTTGTGGTTTTTATACTGTAAACCACCCTGTGATCTTTGGATGAAGGGTGGTATAAAAATTTAATAAATGATAATAATCGGAGTACCAGCTTAATTTCAGGGAGAAGTTTCACATATGATTGTTGTCCGTCCTAAACTGAGCATAGTTTCTGCTGCACAGATGTTGGCATTTGGAGTTCTATAGTCTATAAAAGGACAGAGGGAGCTTCGTCCCCAACTCTTTGGAGATGCAGAACTCCTCTTGACAGCTTGTGAGCCACAAACAGTGTCATGTGCCACGTGTGAAATCGGGCCTCATTTACGCTAATTTTGAAGCTTCCCTTTCACAGTTCTGAGCTACCATAGCTGAGGCCATACTTACTGAACATGGATGTGAAGCAGCCTGGGATCCTAGTCTTCTGCACCACCAGATAGTAGACGGGCAAGCCAGACAGAGTCACAGCACAGCCAATGCTGGTGTTCACAGGATCGGAATACAGGGATGTCCCCACGATGCAGAAACAGGCTATTGTGAACACTAGGGGGAAAAACAAAGGCACCTAAAGGAAAAAGGGTCAAATCAGAAAATAACGTTCTGCATGAAGCATAAATGCAAAAAAGAAACATGTTTTGAACATGGAGAAGAGTAGTGTATTTAACCTGAGAGATGGAAAGGACCGTAACTCATCCCTATACAAAGCACTTAAAAACAACAACAATGCTCTTAACAATGTCTCCATCCTCTAGTTTTAATAAAGTGCAGGGAAAGGAGCTGGTTTAGGGTTTCTTTATGGCTTCTTCCCAAATACTGGCATGTTATGATGGCATTTTTCTTCCCTTCTCCTATTTTTGACTTCTAATGGATCCGTTCTTGTTCAGTTAATAGCCTGTGAGCAAGGTCACACACTGCTTCTGCTTATGTAACACAATATTTACAGAATATGGCCGCCCAGCAATAAAATTCCCCTAAGCAGCTTATAAAATAATGGCTTCAGACATACTTCATTGTGACTTGCTTTCCTTAACCATGGTTAAGCATTACATTACATACATGGTTAAGCACTGACCATATAAGAGGTAGTTAAAGATTAGCTGCAAATGGATATCAAAACATGGGCACCCCATCTTCATTAAGCAAATTGTGGTTAAGGCAGTTTCCCCATCTCTCTGCTTACAAGATGAAAAATGGGTCTTGTATCGGGTAATCCTCCCTGGGGTCAAGGCTTAGTCTGGCAGATAAAACCATGGTTTCAGTATACATTTGAGATCTTACAGGGTGAGAGCAACAAACCACTTGAGCATTATTTTTGAGCTGGGCCAATATGTTTGGATTTTTGTGCTCTTTAGCTAGGTAAAAGATACAAGTGCAGATTTACCCTTCCCTGTATCCACTATCTTTAGTCTTCTTACCTTAAAGGGTCTTGGCAGTTCTGGATGCCGATAACGATGTATCATGAGCCCCAGGGTGGCAAGTCCTATGAAGAACCAGCGTGAAAAGCTATAGAAGTTCAACAGCCCATAGAGGTCACCAATGGACACCATCAAGTAGATCAATGGCAACTGCAGATGGAGAAAAATGGCAGTGTTGGAAATATGTCAGTAGAATACAAAACCACTTTTCCAAGCTCCTTTTAGGTTTTCCTTGTGACTAATTACTGTATAACACTTGTCCATTATTACTGAGCAGAATTATGGGAACGTTTTCAGTTGATGAAACCTGATGGTGGACTTGGCCCTGAAACTCCCAACTAGTACAAAATTGCTGATGGCCGACAGCCTGTAACATGTCTGTTGAAACATCCACACCAGCTGCCCACATGCTACCAGCCCAGGTTCAAGGGTCTTGTGTTAATATTCAAAACCCTAAACCCCAGATACCTTAAGGCAGTGCTTCTCAAACTTGGCAGTGTTTCTTTAAATAGTTAAAACAAAAGCAACAACACAATAACCCCCTCCTCCCACAAACACGTTTAAAAGTATCAATCAGTCTTATGAAGCAAAAAGATACAAATACAAAATACAAATAGACTAGGCTTGCCACATGTCAGGAAAATTCCTGACATGTCCTGGTTTTTCAGGTGTAAAAATGGCCTGGGGGGGGACTTTGTCAGGGAAAACCCAGATGTATTGCAATGGAATGGAAAAAGCAAGTGAAATAGCTCAAAAAGCTCAAAATCAATATTTTGGGGTCAGGCTTCCCAAAAAAGCTCTTCTGAAGGGAAGTTCTTCAGTTTTGGGTGGTTTCCTAAAAGCTCAACAACTTTGAAGGTATCAGGAATTTTACTTTTTGAAATATGGCAACCCTAAAATAGAAATGTAACACTTCAGAACAATATAAAATGACCCCAGCTAAACTCAGACATTCTTATTGAAAATATAGTGACAATTCATTTATCCATCTGTCTTCTTTCAGTAGCTAACAAGCATCCTTTAAGTACGCCAAGGATGCGATAAAGCGTTACCTGCCCAAAGATGGAGGCTAAAACCAGGGTCTTAATATGGTATGGCCAATTTGTTTCAAACATGGAAACTGAGAACATTCTACCTTTATGGACTTTGTGTACATGCAGTGCCTGACACTGCCTATCATTTAAGAAACATGCCTAATACATTTAATTCTCCCCCCTTTCAAATTACACATCATCAGCCTTCCAGGGGCAAAATGCCCCCCAGGCCCATACACTGCATTTTATGTCCAACCGCACACTAAAGCAAACCTTTAAGCTCTTACCATTAGTATCAAGGCTGGAAGAGGAGTGTGTCTTTCAAGGTGTATCATTGAAAAGAGAGCTGGCCACTGTCCTTCCCGGGCAGCTGCAAACAACATCCTGTGGAAGAAAACCAGTTGATCACACATTGAATTCCACTCCCTTTTTTTGCTATGCTTACTGGAGGTTTGTTAAACACTCCTTTCATTAAAAGAAAACATTTCTTTTCCCCCCTTAGAAATCATAAAGTGTTAGGGATATCACATACTCTAGGAAAAGAGAACCCCACAACAGCAGCATTGCACCTGGTAAATTTGGAGAAGACTTCGTTTTTATTTATATTCCTATCACTGAAATGTAAGCGTTATTCAAAGTTGTTCTCTAGCTTCCACCACTCGCTGTCCACTGACTGTTTTTTTAAAGAAAAGTTCTTTGTGAAATATCAGCTCGCAAAAAATGGCTGTCGTTATTGAAGTGAATTGTGCTGAGTTCAATTTGTCACGTCGGGGAGCAAATGCTCTTTAAACTATACCAATGCACTTGACTTTTCCCCCTTTCTATATAGGCATTATCCCTAAGGTGTGAGGAAAAATATTTTTCTTATAGCCTAGGTTTGTGCTGTGTTTCTTTAGCCACAACTTCCCAGCATTTGGAAATTATTTCTACATAGGTTTGTGAAATGGAGATAAGAACTGGAATTTCTGTACAAAACGCAGATTTTGGGGGGAAATGGCTGCTTTCTGTATTAATCCCTAAACTAGCATTTTGGTAGAAGGGAGACACTGACAAGATAAGGAACTTTGAACAGTTTCTTGTAACAAGGACATTTGCTTTGAAATGGGCAAGCCCTTACCTTGAAGCAGCAAAGATTCCTCCATTCAAAGCACCAAAACATGAGAGAGCTACAAGTATTGGAATCACAGAGGAAATGCTCTTGAAAGCTTTATCAGCAAAACTCTGGAAGAAAACCAAGACAGCCTTATCAGTAAGGCCAACCAACAGTATCATAGGGTACCATTCTTTGAATTCTGTAGAACCTTCCATTATGTCATACAGTAAACAAAGGCAGTGTAGTGTAGTGGTTAGAATGTCTGACTAGAGCCTGGGAAACTACAGTTCAAATTCACAGTGAGCCATGTGAGCCAGTCGCTGCCTCTCACCCTAATCTACCTCACAGGGTTGTTGTGGTGGTTAAATAAGGAGCTGGAGAACAATCTAGGCCACTTGAGCTTCTGGGAGGAAAAGGAGGGATATTGGCTGGCAATATCAACCCTGCTGTGTGGGAATCCCTTGCAGATGACTGCAGCGCCTGGAGACAGACAGGTTGTGTATCCACAGCAGTGACCAGAGGAGGAATGACCGCTGGAAGGAGCACAGAGAACACACACTGCATCTGCAGCAGAACAACTCTATGCCTTCGCCTGCCCCTGCTGCAACAAAATATGTCTCTATCATATCAGTCCCAAAGCAGCCGCAGATGGCGCTTTAACTCTCCAGCAGTTTGACCTCACCCCCAAAGTGCACACCTCCATTGTCTCCAGAGACAGACAGATGTCAACAACATCAGCAAATAAATAAAAAAGCAAAAACTGGGCCAGCCCAGGGTGGGAGAGAGAAATATATATGACAAAAGTGACAAATGACAAAAGTCGTTCTCGGGGAGCCAGGCGCTCATTGCATTGAATACACAACTTCTGTCCAACAGGAAGGTACGGTAGTTGTGCATGTCACTAGACAGTGCAAAACATTTGAAAGCTGTCACAGCCCTGCGGCCAGCAGAGGCCACCTGTGAAATAAGTCAAAACTAGAAGAGGTCAGCACATCAGCCGAAAAGGCCTATCCAAATTTGTGTCCAGACAGTTGAAGGACAATACATAAATTGCTGCTTTATGCTGAATAAAGGTACCGTATATTGATCTGGAGAGAATAAAAAATCTAGGAGTACTCTGTATTCTGTCTGGTTTGCTCATTTATAGGTGCACAATTTAAAGATTCTTCCTCGAACAAATGTTGTTTAGCAAAGCATGTATGTTTCCTCTTCGCTGCCCATGGAAACAGATGTCTGCCCTAGGAATTTACAATCTGTTACTTAAATTTATGTCCAATAGGCCTTCTAGACCATCTCCCTTCTCTGCCCCCCTGGTAACATTGGTCTAAAAATACAGATAGCACACAAGTTGCCACACTCACCACAGCTACTGCGTCAGAGTTGAGAATCTCATGTGGTGTCAGGACTGCGTAGTAAGACACATTGGTAAGGATGTAACACACTGTAACAACGGCCAAGGACACTATTACAGCGAGTGGGATATTCCTGAAGAAGAAAAACAGCCTCTCTTATACACAGTTCCATTTTAGAGACAGATTTCCCTTGACCCTGTGGTCACCCACCTTCAATAATGTAGAAGGCATTTGCAAAAATAGGAAAATAAAGACAGTCAGGAATTTTATTTGGTCCACATTTCAAGGTGCCTTCTCTCTTCCCACCCCACATTTTCTGTCTTGTAAGCTAGAGCCAAATATGACAAGACCTGCCAAAGATGTAGAGATGAAAACAGGGACACTTGAATATCTCTTCTCAAAGAACAGGCTACTTTGGGGAGCCTGATGACCTCCCTGATCCCTGTATATGCTAGATGGCTATGTGTTGCTTGCATCATATTTCTTTATGTATCTGTATGTATAAATATGTCTTTTTCAAGATAGCGATAGCTTAGCCACTGTGATTCATGCACTGTGGGTCACTCTGTCCTTGAGGTTAGTTTGGAAGATGCAGGGAGTGTCTCACTAATTATTATTATTATTATTATTATTATTATTATTACTCCTACTCTCTGATGAGAACCAACTTCATCCTTTCCCATTCAAATGAGAAGGAGTTCCCTTTCGTGTTTGCTCCCACCTCTGAGTCTATTATATATATTTTCAAAAACTTTTTTTTTGCTACCTGGATTTCCCCAGCTACTCTGGGCGGCTTCCAGCACATATAGAAACATAATAAAGAAAATAACAAACTCTAAAAAAAGAATAGCAAACCCTAACAAGCCCTTCCCCCTCTTTTTATCCAAACTGCCTCATGTATTGAACATGGCTGTTGAAGGAACTGCACTGACGGTTAACTTGTGATCCAGGTGTTGCTAATGTATAAAGCTGGAGCAACTCAGGGCTGGCTGACCATTTCCCTCTGTACAGACTCAGGTGATCACTGAGATCTACTGTGGAGATTTTGCCGATACTGACACAACCTGCATTGCTTAATCTGAAAGCCGGACGGAAGTGGGGCTCCCACTGTCTGCGATTCAGAAGGCACTGAATGGTGGATGCTTCTGATGTTTACTGAAAACTCACCTGCTTGCTAAGGCTTTCCCTGACCTTTAGCTTTAGCTGAATTGGTGGATGTTGCAGCTGACATCTGTGCTACTGCTTCTTTGAATGGACAGGAACATCGGAAGCTGCCTTATACTGAGTCAGACTATTGACCCCTCTAGCAGAGTATTAGCTACATGGACTGGCAGCAACTTCCCAGGATTTCAGACAGGAGATTCCCCATTGGCATCTGGTTGGTTGCTGTGAGAACATGAGGCTGAACTAGATGGGGTTTTGGCCTGTTTCAGCAAGATCTTCTCATGCCAATTTACTCAGTCTTTTCTAAACTCTTCCTGAGGTCAACTCTGAGGGGATTCTCCTCTTTGGGGCATTGCTAAAGAGACTCTGCCTACTAACATTTGCTCTGTTGGTCTGCTTCTCCCTCAGATGCTCTCAATTATTTTGGAAACACATGTTTCATACACCGGAAAAGAACGGAACCCATCCACCCCCCGTTTGCTCACCGTTTTGGATTTACAATTTCCTCTGTTACAAAGCTTATATAGAACCTGAAATAAGAAATCAAGTGTCACAAGGTCAACATATGTGTGTTTTCTTTTTTAACCCCCCCCCAACCCCAGTAATAACGAATCCTGCTATATTAACTTCACTTTGCGAAAGTATTTTTCTTTCCATGTATACATATATTGTATGTCTGTAATAACAATAGATAGATAAAAATGCACAACAGACTTTTTGAAAACAGCTATGGAATCTTACAAAACAGCATCAAAATTACCAAAGGGAATGAGCTGTGAAGCACGATCACCTCAGTAATTCACAAAAGAAATGAACAAAGGGAGATGACACTGTGAGTTATATCCCAAGCCTACAACAGATATTTGGTGCAGACTAGATAGATAAATATTATCTGCAATCCAGGATTGTACCAGCACTGGAGTAAAGTATAGATTGATTGATTTATTGCTTAATTTGCATTTTCTTTCTGACATTTGAGCAAACAGTAGAAAGCTCTGTTAGAATTTCAAAGACTTACCAGCCTCCATAGGCAAACATCCCAGAGTAAAAAGCAAGAGGCAGCTTTTCGAGTGTCAGCGAAGTTGTGTTAAAGCTGTCCTGGAAATTTTCATAGTGGCCTGAAAAACAATGAGAACAGGAATATACATCAGCGGACACCATCCTAGATCAGAAGCATTTTCCATTGTGCCCAGCCAGATAAGAGCATAAGGAGAACTGGCTGGATCAGGCCATGTATCATTGTTGCTGTTTCTGCAAAACATGCAGAAGTTCAACAGGTGCAGACTCCTCCAGCATGGAGCTGTAGTGGGGGAGAAATGGTACCCAAGGTATCTACAGATGCTGTGGATGCATCTTCTCTGCCTTAGGGCTTCAACTGGCTACTATGGGTGAACTGTTGGGAACCAAGACCTGGAACACGCCCGGACATTGTTTGATTAGCAGAGTAGAAGAACCTTGGCAGGTGCATGGATTCAAAAAATAAAATAAAATACACAGACAGCAGGAAAAAATTCTTTAAGGAGAGATATACTAAGGCATAAATTGTGCAGTTTGTTGCTAGCTCCCTAGCAAGGCAAAGCTCAGCTCATTTAGAGCAAAACCAGTTTCAGCAGAAAAATTACACCACACGAATATAAAATGCAAAATGAAAGTAAAGCATAGAAGTCAGAAGAAGAAACTGCTCACTGAATGGCCTTGGAACTAATCTAAGACACACAGCATGAAAAACAACAGCTGCGCTTCGAGCACTCTGAAAAGTTGAAGACCCACTAGAATGTTCTAGCAGAGAGGTTTTCAACCTTTCTGAGTCTGCAATTCCCTTGACCAACTACATTCTTTCTGCGGCACCCCAGTGGGGCTCAGGAGCCCAGTTATATCACCATTTGCCTTTTTCAAACGCCCTCCCTTGTGCAGTGTTCCCTCAGCCTCCTCTCCTTGGGAGTCCTCTGGGCAGCCGCAGCTGCTGCCCCTGGTCTTTGAGCTACCCACCCTGCCCCAAAGAGAGATGCCTCCTCACACTGCCCCACAGGGGCCTGGAAAGCACCCCCTGGCCAGCCCCAGAGACACCATTTGCCTGGGGAGTTTGTGGTCAGAGCTGCTGCAACAAACATCTGTGCAAGCCTATGGGAGGCAGAGACAGGAGAGGGCCTCAGAGGAGAGAGGGAAGGAAAGAGGGACAGAGGCCAGTGTTGCCTGCAGCACCCCTGACCATCATTCAAGCCACCCCAGGGTGCCACAGAACACTGGTTGAAAACCACTGTTCTAGCATATTCCAGCTTTTACTGGCAGTTTCTGCACGCATAAAACTTCACACCTTGACATGAACAGGGAGCCCTTTTTCAGCTTAAAGGTTGCTTTCCCTTGTGGGGACTTTTCCAGGGGCCACAGGCCTGGGGTGCCTGGGGCCAGAGGCCAAAGGGAGTGGAGAAATGGATGTGATGCTCATTCTTCTACAGTATAAATCAGAGGCACAGGCACACAACTCATCAGCCAGGCCTGCAAGAGGCACCGTCTGAATGATGCACCCCAAGCAGCCAAGGGCAGGGGCATGGCCTAGGGAATGTCGCTCGATAGGCAGGTGCGTTACCCCACCTGTCAAAGTTGGCTTGCAGAGATAAAACGATTCCCCACCCTTGGCCTAGGAAGAGTCCCAGGGGCTTACTAGAGATGCCTGAAAGACCACATCCGCCACCTAGGCCTGAGATCACTTCTGTATCCTGGGGTGAGAAAGGGAGCAGAGTGCCTACTTTGTAGGCTGTATGTAGAGCTTGGCCCTCAGTAGAACCATGGATGCGTAAAAGCTACCTGGGGCTCAAGTGGGATAGCTCAGTTGGTAGAGCATGAGACTCTTAATCTCAGGGTGGTGGGTTTGAGCCCCACATTGGGCAAAATTCCTGCGTTGCAGGGGGTTGAACTAGAGTTGGTCCCTTCCAACTCTACAATTCTATGAGTCTGGAAAAGTACCCCACACAGAAAAAAAGGTAAAGGACCCCTGGACGGTTCCATCCAGTCAAAGGCGACTATGGGGTTGCGGCGCTCATCTCGCTTTTCAGGCCGAGGGAACTGGCGTTTGTTCACAGACAGCTTTCTGGGTCATGTGGCCAGCATGACTAAACCGCTTCTGGTGCAATGGGACACCGTGACAGAAACCAGAGTGCACAGAAACGCCGTTTACCTTCCTGCTGCAGTGGTACCTATTTATCTGCTTGCACTGGTGTGCTTTCAAACTGCTAGGTTGGCAGAAGCTGAGACAGAGCAATGGGAGCTCACCCAGTCTTGGGGATTCGAACCACCAACCTTCTGATAGGCAAGCCCAAGAGGCTCAGTGGTTTAGACCACAGTGCCACCCGTGTCCCTATCCCACACAGAATTCTGTTATCAAACCTACTGTTGTTTCCTAGCAAGTCTCTCTCACCACCTCCATCTTTCCTATTTCTTTGCCGCTGCCGGTTTCCGCCCCTTCTGATGCCCCTTTCTCATTTCACGCCATGTAGGAGGGTTCTGGCCAGTCTTACCATTTCCCAGAGCCATCATCCCAGGAACGATGATCAGACCAACCGTGACCATCTTGAGGGCTGTGAGGAATGTCTGTATGTTGGCAGACCAGCTCACACTCCAGCAGTTGAGGACTATGACTAGGGCTGGAAAGGAGGAGAGAGATGTGACGTGTAAATAGAAAAATGGAAAACGCATAAATATTTTTTTGGGAAAAAGAAAGAAAGAAAAAGGAGGAGAGAGAAATCACCATGAATGGCTGCGACTGCGATGCTTGTGCTTTTGGAACAGCTAGCGAGTGTTGACTTTTTGCTGACATTAAAAAAACCGAACCAGAAATGCTTCTGTGTCATAACAGCCCATGGAGATGGAAATACTGCTTCTCCAGCAAGCTTACTTACTAAAAGTGCTGATCATTAGAAAAAACCCCACAAGCTTGATGGGGCTTTCTGATAGGACTCCAGCATGACTGGCAGAAATGTCAATAAATCCCTGTTGCCGGATCTCTGCAGCAGGTGCCTTCTGTGCCAACTTTTAAATGCCTGCTGAAAACTCTTAAATTCTGCCAGACCTGTGCAAGCAATTAAGAATACATCTTTCCACAATGGCTAATCAATGTCTGTTTTCAACAACACACACACACACACACACAGAGAGAGAGAGAGAGAGAGAGAGAGAGAGAGTTTTTACTGTATGGTTTTGGGTATTTTTGTTTTAAATTGCTCTGATATTTTGAAAAATGAGACAGCAGCCTCTCAATATTTTTTAAAAAATAAATAAAGCAAAGCTGCACCTGCATTTCTGCTGGTCACGTAGCGTAAAGGCCGAGGAGCCCTATAAGGAAGGAGTTTACAACTGTTTGCGTGAAGCTTTCAAACATGCAAGAGCACTGCTGTTTCTAAATATTGCCAGTGAGTGGTGTTTTGTTTTGTTTTTTAACTAGCTGGCTTTTAAATAGCTTTTAACTGTGGTTTTGAAAAGCCCTTTCCTTTGCCAACTGGCTGACAGCATCAAACAAAAAGAAAACCAGCTTCTGTTCATTTACAAACTGCCTTGGATATATCAAGCAAACTTTTTAAAGACAGCAGGAAGAAATCTCTCAGCATTTCATGGATGGCCTGTGAGAACTAAGGCTGCCATCCTAAGCCCACTTACCTGAGTTTAAGCCCCACTAAATTCAGTAGGAATGACTTTTGAGTAGACAAGGTTAGGATTGTGAATTGAGGAGAACTTATCATACGGCACTGGGAACCTCTTTTCTTAGTATAGAGCAGGAGTAGCAAATGTGGTGCCCTCCAAACATTCTGGATCCCGATTCCCAGCCACCCTAGTCAGCATGGCTAATGGGAATGGATGATGGGAACTGTAGTCCAACAACATATGGACTACTAAGAGTGAACTGAGATGCAGCTATTGGGAATGAAAGGCAGTTTCTCAATGAGGCTAAGTAAGGGATTAAAGTGGGGGTAGCCAGCTGATGTGGTGCCTTCTAGAAGTTTGATAGACTACAACTCCCATCATCCCTGAGTATTGGCCATGCTGGCAGGGGCTGGTGGGAGTCCAGTGGCATCTGGAGGGCACTGTGTTGGCTACTGCTGGGTTAAAGCAATCAAGCTCTGAGAATGCACCAACCATAGTGCATGAAGGTTTTAATGTCTGATGTTTCATTGTGTTTTTTTATATTCTGTTGGAAGAAGCCCAGAGTGGCTGGGGCAACCAAGTGATGGGCAGGGTAAAATCAATCAAATTATTATTATTATTATTATTATTATTATTATTATTATTATTGGTACTGGCCTCAGCAGCACAGTCTGATAAATGCCAATTGTGGAGATGCAAAAGTGAGGGTATTAAAAATATATCTCATTATCTCTTACAAACATTTAGGGAAGGATTCTTGACCCATAATAAAAACAAGTATTATAAGCTATGAAGATTTGCTTTATTTGTGAACTTTCTCAGCACATTTATGATATTTTGCTGTGGAAATATCTGCAAATGTACAAGAGGCAGTGAGAAATGTAGTAATATTTGGCAGGTACATTTAGGAAACCTAGACAGCATCTTAAAAAGCAGAGACATCACCTTGCCAACAAAGGTCCGTATAGTTAAAGCTATGGTTTTCCCAGTAGTGATGTATGGAAGTGAGAGCTGGACCATAAAGAAGGCTGATCACCAAACAATTGATGCTTTTGAATTATGGTGCTGGAGAAGACTCTTAAGAGTCCCATGGACTGCAAGAAGATCAAACCTATCCATTCTGAAGGAAATCAGCCCTGAGTGCTCACTGGAAGGACAGATCCTGAAGCTGAGGCTCCAATACTTTGGCCACCTCATGAGAAGAGAAGACTCCCTGGAAAAGACCCTGATGTTGGGAAAGATGGAGGGCACAAGGAGAAGGGGACGACAGAGGACGAGATGGTTGGACAGTGTTCTCGAAGCTACCAGCATGAGGTTGACTAAACTGCGGGAGGCAGTGGAAGACAGGAGTGCCTGGCGTGCTCTGGTCCATGGGGTCACGAAGAGTCGGACACGACTAAACGACTAAACAACAACAACAACATCATTTAGGATTAACTTGCAACCTTATATATTTAGTTCTCTTTGGTACTCACTGATTCCTGTGGTGGTGATCAGTTTCACAGCCAAAGGAGGGACGTTACATGGGGCGAAGAAAGGCTCGATTAAGTACCGACCAAATGCCAAGGACACCACAGCCATATTTGCAGGTCTGAAAAATGAAACAATGGCAAAAACATTTATTTTATTTTGGCCTTTTCTCTGGCAACTTTGTCTCCCTCTCACCTATGTTTTCTGTCTGCTCCTGTTGATGTCTGCTCTTCTAAAACAACCACAAATGAAGACATTCAGACACTCTTCCAAAGCATGGATTGAGGACTGGGAAGAAATTTCTGACAAACTTTCTGACATTAAGAGCTGTCTGATAGGGGAATGACTACAGTGGTACCTCAGGTTAATAACTTACCGTAATTTGTTCTGGAGGTCCGTTCTTAACCTGAAACTGTTCTTAACCTGAGGTACCACTTTAGCTAATGGGGCCTCCCGCTGCCGCCGCACGATTTCTGTTCTCATCCTGAGGTAAAGTTCTTAACCCGAGGTACTATTTCTGGGTTAGCGGAGTCTGTAACCTGAAGCGTCTGTAACTTGAGGTACCACTGTACCTCAGAATGTGGTGGACTCTCCTTCATGGAAGGAGGTTGGATAGCCATCTGTCTGGGATTGTTTTGCTGTGATTCCTGCCTTGCAGGAGGTTGGACTAGATGACCATTGGTCCCTCTCCAACTCTACAATTCCAGGATCCGAATGAGAAGCTGTGAGACTCCCTTTCTGCCAAGTGCAAGGGCAGGCAATTACAGTCTTCCATTTCTAAACTGCAGGAAACAAAAATAATAATAATGCAATCTTATCCAAATCAGACAGGCCACAGGTTGCCCTCTGGCCAGGACCCCAGCCATGGTTAGGGATTCTGATTTCAGGGCAAACCATAGACCAAAACCATTTTCTTTCAATAGCCCGCCACCATTTCATTTGAACTGTTGAACTAATGTTGCTTTGGAGACCAGGGGAGAGAATGGTGGTCCAACCACCAAAATAAGAACCCAGGTTTTTCCTCAGTATGCCCGAGATGCCCCATGGTATTATGGGAAAAGCAAAAGGCTGGTGAGGCTGATGAAAGAATGCCCTGGTGCTGCTGCCCCCCATGGGGGGCGGGGAAGATACTTGTGTTTGTTGATGGTGTGCTGCCCCCAATCCTGACAGTGGATTTTGCACTGCTCTGAAAAGTGATAGGAAATGAAGCCCCACTCCAAGTGGTAAGGGGTTGGGTTTCATTTCTCCGTTCTACATTTGGCCCATAGTATTCATTGGGGAGCTTTCAGCTTGGTTCTTCATACAGTCCTGGGTAGACAGGGGAAATGCACGGGATGGAGCAGAAGGCCTTGAAATGTGGTGATCAGAGCCTCACCAACATCCCACTAGGATTATTTTCAAAGCCTTTTGATGGCCATTGGCCAGTCTTTTACAATAGGCTCCATCAACTCCCCCTCTGGTATGAGGTAGAATGATTTCCCCAGCTCCCAACCCCGCTTTCTCCTCTAAATTCTGCAGCATTTGTGACAACACACGCAAAACAAACACAAAAGGGAACAAGCTTTGAACGGATGGGCCTGACCTTGGTGGGGTGGTCGATGAGTGTGTGTGTGTGTGTGTGTGTGTGTGTGTGTGTATTCTTGTATTTGCACTGAAATAGGGTAGTGGGCCCATGTGTTTGCATTGCTCTGTCCTGCTGCTGCAAGCGGTGAGATCCCTCTCCTCAGGGAAAGCAGCTCCCAGATGTTCTGCGGCAGACGGCTCTGTTTATCTAGTAGCTATCTGGTATTGGTGGAGGGGCAGATCATATATCAAACTGATTTCTATAGAACAAGACCTTTTGTTGTGGCTGCTGCAAAAAAGTACAGTGGTGGTCTTCTTATTGGAAGAAAATATTCATCTATCTCATGTCATGACTGAAAGAAAGGCTGTGTGTGCATGTTTGTGTGTGTGTGTTGTTTTTATTCTCCCATAGGGCTTTCTCTATTATTTCATTCATTCTCTCCCCCCCCCATCTCTTTCTTAGATTCCTTTCCCTCTCCCCTCCCTCTTAACGTCTTTGCAGCCATTTGTTAGATCTCAGTGGTGCTGCATCCACCAGCTGGCTGCTTTTAAAAACACAGCTGGAACAGTGCCCCTGTTGAGAGATTTAAAGAGGCACAAAACTCCCAGTAAAACCCCCTCCGTCTCTCCGGAGAACCTCCCCCTTCTCACACAACAATGGGAAGTTGAGGCTGCCCTTACCGGATCATAACAAATTCCGCCCATAATCTTAGAAAAGCAGGCAGTGGCCCAAGTGTCTCTAGCAGGTAAATGTAATGACCGCCGGATTTGGTGATACATGTTCCAAGATCTGCATAGGACAGGGCTCCTAGAAAGAAAATGTTTAAAATGTAAACCCTGTGTGCATTTCTTATCATCACCATCACCCTTATCTGATGAGTAATATCCCTAATTCTAAGCACATTGATATGAAATTCAGTTGCACTAAAATAAGTTGGACTGGTACCAATGGAAGGATATTTAGAACTGAGATGCATAATCATCATCATCATCAGTAGTAGTAGTAGTAATGGTAATTTCCATTCTTTTGTCCGGTTCTCATTCAAAGGAGCCCCCACTTTTTATCTTCACAATAATCCTGGTTGGGTTGATAGATGATGAATGTCCCACTGTCACCCAGTGGCTGCATGGCCAAACTGGGTTTCAAACCTCCCCAGATGGCAGTAGAGGACTTCAGGGTCTCAAATTTCAGCAGCATCCTGGACAGCACCAATATTGAGCACCCCCCACTTTTCTGTAGGGCCCCCCGAGGTTCTGCATGCAGTACGACTGAACCAGTCACACTCCCCTAAATCTGCCTCTGCACATGGGCCTCTCTCCAATAAATTTCTAGCCCACTCTTTTATTAAAAGGGGGAAAAAAACATGTTTCTTAGCAACATAAAAACGATTATAAAATACAACTAACCAACCCCCATAAAAATATAATGAGAACAAAAAGATTAATACGAAAAGGCAAACCGGGTAAAAGGCAAACCGAGTTCCCACAACAGACAGTTCCAAACCAATTGCAAGAATAAAGTATGGTAGAAAATACATAAGCATATTAAAAATATAATCAACGTAAACACATCCAATCACTGGTGCTACCCAAATGCCCGGGGAAATCAACATCTTTGCTTGGTACCAAAATGTTGACAAAGTTCATTCATACCAGTCGGGCCTTCCATGGGAGAGAGTTGCATAGATGGGGAGCTACTTCAGAAGAAGCTCGTTCTCTTCTTGTGACTCAAAGAAGAGCCTCAGATGATGATCTCAGGGTTCGGTTCCTATGCGGGCAGGTGGTCCTTTAGAGGTCCCAAGCCATAAAAAACCAGCACTTTGAAATGAACCCAGTACAAATTGGCAGCCTTTGTGGTCAGGCCAGATCCAGTGTTATATGTTCATGCCGTCTTGAGCCTGTTAACAATTGAGCTTCTGCATTTTGCACTAGTTGTAGTTTCTGAACCATCTTCAAAGGCAGCCCCACACACAACACATTGCAGTAGTCTAACCTGGAGGTTGCCAGACTATTGACAACTGAAACCAGGCTATCCTCCATCCAGACATTTAATAGTAATAGTAATAATAGTAATAGTAACAGCAATAATGCAATTCTCCAGTCAAGTAATGTGTACAAAAAATACATATAGTAAGGTAAAGTGTGCACAAAAATGGATATATTTGTGGAAATAGCATACAAAAGTGCATTGTATTAGGGGAAATATACATAATAAAATATGCTTTGCCCAAAAAATATGTGCATTGCACAACATTGCATACAGAATTGTGTATATTAAGGGAAAATTCACACTAAAATGTGGATGAAATTTCATGAGGACTATTTAAAAAAATAAATAAATCACAAACTGATGTGGAAATGTGGAGAACTGAATTTAATATTGGTGTGTGTGTGTGTGTGTGTGTGTATGATTCTCCCACTGTCCTCCACAGAAGCCCATTTTGAGGTTCCATCATCCCCAAGAGGACACACCCTAAGTTGTTATACCGCAATTGCCACACGCTGGGGTGGGAGAGGAGGCTTTCCCCCTTTATGATTGTTAGAATTCCTGCTCCATGATTGCAGTCATGGGATTTTTGTCTATCACATGAGGGTGTATGTGAAAAAGGAAATTAAACCACCAAGCAGCCAAACAACTCACCAAATAGTGATAGGATCCCACAAGCCAGCCACACCAGTAAGGAGACCCCCACGTTGCCTGAGTTTTGCAAGACTCCTTTGGGGGAAATGAAGATGCCGCTGCCCACCATGGTGCCCACCCCCAAGGCAATGACGCGGGTGAGGGTGATCTTCCTCCTGAGGAAAACGGCCTCCTTCACCTCTGCCGGTGCTTTGCTTCTCCTGCAAACTCCCATGCTTTATTCTGTGTCCCTGCTGAACCACAGGAAGTTCCCGTATGAAGCACAGCTTGAGTTCCTTTCCGGACCCCTGCGTCGTGGCTCAGTTCTCCTCTCATTCAGTCTCTCGCTCTCTCTTTGCTTAGCAGGCAGAGTACAGGTTGTCTGGGAAGACTTTGGAATAACAGGAGCATGAAGTAAACAAATATTTAAACAAAAATATCAGGTGGGAGGGGAAACAGGAGCCCAAATCCCACGAAACGGAAGTCTGCTGCAGGGCTTTGTCCACAGCTAGTGATACGTGGCGTGGTGCAAGTCCAATTCCTGGCTTTTCACACAAACAGTTTGTTTTTGATCAGGATGTGCTCCACTTGGTTTTACAGTATGTACAAGCTCCAGTCCTAACCATGGATATTGTCTCCATGTCTGGTGGATGACGTGAGCTTTTTAAGGAAGAAATGTCAACCAACGGTGGGCCCAATGGCCAAAAAGGTGGTTTCTGCATGTGCTGCAGACGGAAGCGAGGGGCAGATGGGTTTGTCAACCTCGGAAGGGAGCCCATCTAGGAGAAAGAAAACTGTGATCCTAAACCCCCTCTGCTTTCCAGGATATCTTGAGGAGAAGGCTAGGGAGTAAACCCTACACAAATCCAGAACAGAGTCCCTAAGATGGCGCCTTGTAGGCCTCCTTCTGGCAACTCCTGCAGCTAAGCTGGTGTCAAACACATTACTCTGCTTTCCTTTGGACCACATCAGCAAGGCTGAGAGGGGGATCTTTTCATCTGGCCAACCCAGGACTTCCATACACACTGCCCAGGCTTGCGCCCCCAGGAAATCACTTCAGTGCTGTTAACACTGTGGTTTGACTTCACCCCTGGAAGTGCACTCCATTGTATCTTGAGGCAGATGGATGCCAACAATTTACAAATACATGCCCTCCAACATTTCTCCGATGAAAATAGGGACGTCCCATTCCATAACGATAATTTTACTATTTATACTCCACACATCTTACTGGGTTGCCCCAGCCACTCTGGGCAGCTTCCAACATATATAAAAACATAATAAAACATTTAAAAAAACTTCCCTATACAGGATTGCCTTCAGACGGCTCGGCAGTCAAATAACTCCATACCCTCCACCATTTCTCCAATGAAAATAGGGACGTCCTAAGGAAAAGTGGGATCAAATCAGAAACCGGGAGAACTTCTCTAAATGAGGGATGTCCCTGTGTAGCAGGAACCCCCCACCCCAATCATTCAGTTTGTACAAACTTCACACACTCACACTCACACACTACATATGCCACACTTCTGTTATAAATTCATTCCAAAATCAACCATACATTGGATTTGCACTGTTCCATTTTTATTTTACTCCATATGACAAGGACTATCAAAGGGGGGTGGCTTGGTTCTGGTCAGCCATAATCCCTTCACCATCCCAGCACATCCACAGGAGCCCTGCCCAGTTGCTATGCCAACCCTGATGGTCCTAGACAGAAGACCATCAAGATCACAAAGAACTTGCATATGGGAGTGGATTCAGCATGGACTGAAACAAAGGACAATGATCAGATCTTCCCTCTGGGGGCAGGAAACTGCCAACTCCCCTTTGTCTCCTGGAAGTGACTCATGGGGAGGGGGAAAGGAGGAACCAGCCAGGTGACAGGACACTCAGGTTACCACCACAACTCCTCCCTCAACCCCTCCTTTCTGTAATGTATGCATGATGTTTCTGGGGGTGGGCTTGACCTAGAGGATGGGAATTTCAAAAGTTTTTATAAGGTCTTGCACACCATTTTCTGTGTCTTTTCCTCTCTCCTGCAAGTGAGGGGAACACCCTGTTGCAACAGTTCAATAAAGGCCAAGCCTACAGGCTGCTGATTTGCTCCAGTTTACTCTGGTTGGTGTCTTTACTTTTTGTCCAAGGGAGCCCTCGGATTTTTCCGGTAACACCTGGAAAATAGGGACACTTGGAGGGTCTGCAAATACATACTTAAGTGATGCCTTCATGCATCTGATAAATGTGGGCAGCTCTGACTCCTGAAAGTCAATGTCCAGTATATTTGTTAGTCTTTGGTGATTTTACGATGAAATTAACACAACGCCCTGCCTCCCGCCATGAGTTTGAACAGTCTGTAAAAAATTGTGAGAGGGTAGCAAGGTAACCCTACCTATTCAATGATTATTGCAGTGAGGACTGGCGGGGGGAGGCTCTGGAAAGGTGGGGAAGCAAATAGTGTTTTCTCCATATGTCGGAAAACATTATTCACCCCAAAGGAGTGGGATTTTGCAAGGCTGACCTGTCCTATTGTGCTAAGTGATGGAGAAAGGAAGGGGATGTTTATCGGCTGCCCTCCCGGAGATCATATTAGTTCCTGCGGCACGCAATGCGAGGACTTTTCTCTTAGCATGCGTAGCCGCTAATGGGGTTATTGGTCCTCAAGCAATTTAATCCTTTATTAAACCCAATTAGCATCAGTGGCCTCCTGTGGCAGCAAATTCCACCGTCTGCGTATCATGCAGGTTTCATGCCTGCGCCGTGTGCACCTCTACTTACACCCCTTCCCTTTTTGTTTGCTCTAAGGGCATCTGTCGGTGATGATAACAAACAAAAAGCTCGAGGGCAAGAGGCGGAGAAGGAGTCCCAAAATAAATACAGAGAGGGAGAGGGGCCTGCTGGGAATATGGATGTCTAAGCCCATCAGAGAAATGGGACACAGTTATTCTAGTTGCCAAGAGAGTGTTTACTCTCCCAAAGTCGACTCCTGAAACACGGCAAAGGCAGACAAAATGTCTGTCTCATCCATTGCCTCAGTGATAAAATGCAGGCCTTATGTACAAAGCAAGACAATAAAACAAAAACCCATCAAGTCTAATAGGGCCGTGTTCATAGACCTTTTAGATGACTGGAGTTAAACAGGCCGCCCCTATCATTAGGCAGAGTAAGATGGTCAGATCAAGTGGCTGGCTCTGGGTGACATGAAAGAGGCAGAAAAGCATTAGCTTTTCAATTTGTTATCACATGGTGAAAACTAGTTGTACTCAGAGTAGACACACTGAAATGAATGAAGGTAAGCAACCACTCCTGTTCTTACTGCCAGAAATTCAGAGAGGTACTCTGATTCAGGTACCAAAATAACACTATAATTATTCTTATATTATGAATTTTATATTGAGTAGAAAAAGACAAAATATCAAAATATTCCTGCATTGCAGGGAGTTGGTGACTTGATGACTGGGGTCCCTTCCAATTCCACGATTCTATGATAATAAAAAACCTTCTTGTTGCCTCCTATGCCAACCACGTGAATGCAGGCAATTCAGAATACAGCCTTCTACAATGGTTAATTAACCACAATGTCTAACTGATGTCTGTTTTTAAGTTTATAATGGGTTTTATTGTATGGTTTTAAAGATTTATTGCTGTAAACCTCTTCGCTATGACACAGTGGTATGCAATTTTTTAAATATAAATAAATATACACAAATAATAGTTTGAAAGATAGACAAGTAAACATGCAAAAGGTTCCAGACTGGTGCATAAAAAGCCATTAGGTATATACCCCGGCATGTGAGCATCATTGCTGGTGTAAGGCAGTATGTACCACATACTACATGTATGTACCACATACCACATACAGAGGCAGGATGTACCACATACCACATACAAAGCACCATGCCTTTGGGTGTGGGAAATGCATTTGTTCTGCCTCAGGCAGGGAAAGGGCTGTAGCCTAGTGGCAGAATGCCAAGATCCAAATTTGGGGCAAGTACTCTTAGGTGAGAAAACCCCAGCAAAATGTTTAAAATCACAAGATACGTAGCAAAGCAAAGCGTGGAAATAACAGCTGCTATACCTTTAAAAATGCCCTTCCAAGTTCCAAGACCACATGTTTGGCAAGTTAAAAATGGTTTACTTACAAACTCTCCAAAGGTCATATTCATGTGCTTTGCCATGCAGCATTCAGAAAAAGTTGCACAGGTAGTAAAACTTAACTTAGTTCCTAGATTATTGGTATAGGAGCTCAAGAGTTGCTGGCAAGACCCATGCAGTTGAGCTGAAGTTTCTCGGGTAGATTGGAGGGAACCATGGGCTTGATTACCTATTTCCTCCCAAGGTAAGGGAAGTGACATAGCTAAGCCTGGCAGGATAGTTTACTCTATTGTATTAACCCCTTCATGCATGAATTAGACTGCTTTATCCCTCAATTACTTTCCTCCTTTACCTTCTGTCTTTGTTTGTATCAGATTTCTTAATATAACAAACAGTTGGGACCATGTGAATTAGAGACAGAAACAAATCTGGTTAATCAAATAATGATTTTTTTCAGGCAATGAAACGGGGAGAATATTGTTAAGAACATAAAAAGAGCACTGCTGGATCAGACCAAAGGCCAGCATTTTGTTCCCACAGTGGTGAACCAGATGCCTATGGGAAGCCCACAAGAAGCAGATGAGGCTGTTGAGCATAATTGGCTTAATTGACACTGAAATGAAAATGCATGTGTCTTGATGAAGGTTTAAAATGGAAAATGGCTAAATGTGTATTGCTAACATTGGTGGTTTTTCACAGCAGATTTCTAAAGGACTCTGAGCTGTACCTAGTTAATGATTAGCTGTTTATTGTTTCCCTACTCTATGCTGAGAGTGAACCTTAGATCAGGTGACAAAGGTACTGAGTTGCAAACTCGCCATCTTGAAAGCTGTGGTGTTTTTAAGTCTTCCTGGCCACAGGGAACAGAAAACATAAACATAGCTTTCAAGGAAAAGATCTCTAGAAAAATGGATGTAGCTGAAGAGAGAGAGAGACCTTTGCTTATCGGTCTGTTTGGATTATTTCGTATTTTCTAAGATGCCGAGCCTGTTCTGGACAGCACAATACATTTTGATTTTATCTTTGATGCTTATGTTCTGTTTTTAAAGAGTTCTGCAAGTAAAAGTCTGACTAATATTTTTATGGGCCCAAACAGTGGTTTCTTCCAAAAGGAGTCAGTTCTTATGCTTCCAGTCGCTTCAAACTGTGCAATACTGATATCTGCAACATGGGCCAATACAGTTGTTGCTTTCCGGCAACTGATATTCAGAGCCATACCACCTCCAATACCAGAAGCAAGATTATAGAACAAACACTGAAATGTTTTCAGTTCATTTCATGCTGTTCTGTATTATATAAGATGTTTCTGCTTTGCAGATTTTATAACCCTCAGGGTGAAGGATTTGAGAAGAGGCCAGGGTTGAAATCTAAATAGAAAGGTTTTTTTAAAAAAAGTCCTTCTGACCTTCTGACCATGATCTGGTTATCTGGGGGAAGGTTGTTTCCAGAATGGGAAGACAACTCTTGCATTCTTTAAACAAAATTTAACTGAAAAGACCTTTCACATTTGCACACAAATACCCCAAATAGATGTGTTATTGATTTCCCCCTCCCCTCTTCTTGGTCCATGTCCCAAAGGCCTGAAACTTTGTTTGCCTTTTGGTAAAGAATCTGGACTTCCCCCAGAGAGTTTATTGGCAAATTATAAATCTGTCAGGTTCTTCTGCTCCAAATAATAATTTTAAAAGGAATTGAGTCCAACTACATATTGCAGAGTTATGTGTGTCTTACCCCCATTTAAAAAAACTGAAAAGCAGCCTATTAGGCTACCATGGGGAGGGAGAAGGATTTTTAAAAAACAAAAACAAAAAACCATTGCCTTTTCTGCCATTTGTTTGCTTAAAATCAGCCCCCCCCGCCCCACCCTCACAAACTGCTTTCCCACATGCGTGGAACAGTTACGGGGTTCTCTGTATCTTTTTCCCTCACAAAGAGAAAAACTGTTGGGTGGTGGAAACACAGACAAACAAACGGTAGGAAGGGAAGGGGTTAAGTAGGACCTCACTTCCTGCTACAGTGGTGCCCCGCAAGACGAATGCCTCGCAAGACGGAAAAACCGCTAGACGAAAGGGTTTTCCGTTTTGAAGTTGCTTCGCAGGACGAATTCCCCTATGGGCTTGCTTCGCACGACGAAAATACCTTGCGAGTCTTGAGATTTTTTTTTCGCTTTCCCCCCCCTTTATCTAATCTGCTAAGCCTTTAATAGCCTTTAATAGCCTTTTAGCAGCTAATCCTTTAAGCCTTTAATAGCCGCTAAACAGCTGATAGCGCTAATAGCGCTAATCCGTCAATGGGCTTGCTTCGCAAGACGAAAAAACCGCTAGACGAAGACTCTTGCGGAACGGATTAATTTCGTCTTGCGAGGCACCACTGTATTTTCCTTTCCAAAGCAGCCTCAGAGGCTGCTTTTAAATTTATTTATTTATTTATTTATTTATTTATTTATTTATTTATTTAAAAAACACATACAACAGAAACTTACAAAATTGTGTGTAGCAAGAAATAGCCATGGCATATACGTATACTGGCAAATCCTGCAACAAGAATTCCACCATGAAATTCCCTCTCTCCTATCCCCCAATTGCATAATGCATATAACATATTACATTCAATACAGAATGTAAACATGAATTGAAAGTGGAGACACCGTATGTACTTTTATGTGTTTGTTTGTTACACAAGGAAGCCTTTAATAAAAACTACGGTAATTAAAGTTTGGCGTCCGTGTACCACCCTTCATCCGTAGATCTCAGGGCAGTTCAAAGCACCTTGACCACTGGCCAGGGCCGTGTTTACCCGGGGGTGCAGGGGGTCCTGTGAACTCTGGAGGGCGGCAAATGCATACTGGTCCCTCTGGATCTGTAGCCCCTCTCTGTTGCTCTCGATTCCCCCTCCCCAAAAAAGCTCAACAACTCCCCCCCCCCCGAAAAGGGAGCACTGAGTGGATCTTTGCTAAAGACAGCTCTGCCACTGACCTAAGCAAAGATATCAAAGCGGTGCACCTTACATGAGCTATTCCTCACAAATAAAAGCATGCGCAGTGAGAGAAAAGAACATTGCTGTAGATGCTGTCCTAAGAAGTCAAAGCGACCGGTACTAAGAGCCATAATCATTGCAGAATCCAGCAAGGCAGGGCCAGACAGAGCTGAGGAGAGCAATCAAATGGGCATTAATTTGACAAGCAACTGAATTTCAGCCCAGCCACTACCAAAGCCAGGGCTGGAGAGCCTCCAGCCTGTGGGCCATATTTAGCCTGCCAAGACTCTCCATTTGGCCTCCCAAATGGAACCTCAACATGTGCCATTCACAATAGCTGACCTTTGGTGACGAATGATTACAGCCCTCATACTGACCTGGTCTTCAGTTTTCTAGGTATTTTCTTCAGAAAATTAAAGAGATCGTTGTTTTCTTTTGAGAAGAGATTGAGGCGGGGGGGGGGGAGTTAAGCCATTGTAGCAAGGCGACAGCAGAGGGAAATGGTAGGTGCTAGAAGGGAATTATTCTAGACCCACGTAGCTGGCAGCGCTGCTGCATGTTGCTAACTAATTTCATGGCTCTTTGCCTCAATTTCATCACCTATCAATCAAACGAGAAAATAGTATTTATCTATCCTTCACAAAGCTCCGTTCGTTAATGTTTGTGAAGTTCTCTGAAGGATGAATGCTCCGGAGTGCAGGCAGAAAAGCGATAGCTTTCTTGGAAACAACGGGGACAAAGAACTTCATTAGTTTAAAAAACGAAGTGTGTGTGGGAAATTGGTGTTTTGGTTGTAACTTGGTGGTGTCAGGTAAGTGGAGGTGTTTTCAGTCTTCCTTTCTTTGGGGTTTCTCTTCCCGTTGCTGTGAATAATACTGCATGGACGCAGTTAGAGACAGTGTAACAGTGCATAGTTAAACTATGGAACTCATTTCCTCAGGAGGAAGCAATAGCCATCAACTTGGGTGAGACAAAGTCAGGAAGGATGAGGCTGCCAATGGCTATTAGCCATGATGGCTGTGCTCTACTTCTGAATAATAATAATAATAATTTATTATTTATACCCTGCCCATCTGGCTGGGTTTCCCCAGCCACTCTGGGCAGCTTCCAACAAAATATTAAAATACTGTAGTCTGTTAAACATTAAAAGCTTCAGTAAACAGGGCTGCCTTCAGATGGCTTCTAAAAGTCTGGTAATTGTTTTTCTCTTTGACATCTGGTGGGCGGGCGTTCCACAGGGTGGGTGCCACTACCGAGAAGGCCCTCTGCCTGGTTCCCTGTAACTTCACTTCTCACTGTGAGGGAACCACCAGAAGGCCTTCGGTGCTGGACCTCAGTGTCCGGGCAGAATGATGGGGGTGGAGACACTCCTTCAGATATACTGGACCGAGGCTTTAAAGGTCAGCACCAACACTTTGAATTGTGCTCAGAAACGTACTGGGATACTGAATACCAGTTGCTGGAAACCACAGGAGGGGAAGGGTTCTCTTGTGATCAAATCCTGCTCCCTGGTTTCCCACAGGCATCTGGCGGGCCATTGTGAAAACAGGCTGCTGGACTAGATGAGATGTGGGCCTGATCTGGCAGGCTTTTCTTATTTTCCTGTGTTCCCAGAACATGGCAATCGGAGATAGACTGCCTCTGAATATGGAGGCTGTATTTAGCTGTCACAGTTTAACCACCATTTATAGAGCTTTCCTTTGTAAATTTCGCCAGTTCTCTCTAAAAAAAGGAAGGTTATTTATGCGAATGGACATCACCCCTCTGGTAGGCATATGAATTCCTTGTGGCAAGCGTGTTATTTGAAGTAGGGTGTCCTTTTAAAAAACCACAATTGTTATAGAAACTGCTTTTAATAAAAAACTGAATAAATGAAAGGACTTTGCAAACAACCTTTCACCCCCTTGGGAATGGAAATGCATCTTTGCACATTGTACTCCATGCTCAGCGTGACTCCATGCTCAGTGTGCCTAAATTTGCCTTATCCACAAAGCAAAAACGCATCAGTGCTACTTCTGCTGGTTTAAGGTTTTCTGATTTGAGGCCATGCCTTGGTGAAGAGACATGGCAGCAAGCTGATCAAAGCTGGGCATCACATAACAACAGTCGGGGAGGTGCTAAAATAAATAAAAAACAGTGATAATAATTGTTACATACTGTATTTTTCGCCCTATAGGACGCACTTTTTCCCCTCCAAAAATGAAGGGGAAATGTGTGTGTGTCCTATGGGGCGAATGCAGGCTTTCGCTGAAGCCTGGAGAGCGAGAGGCATCGGTGCGCACCGACACCTTTCGCTCTCCTGGCTCCAGGAAGCTATCTGCAAGCCTTGCGCACCCGGGGGGAATTCCCCCGGGCACGCAAGGCTTGTGGGCTGCAGTGCGGAGCACGGGGCGCCCTCCGGAGGACGCCCCGTGCTTCGCGCAGGTGTCCACAAGCCTTGCGCACCCGGGGGGAGATCCCCCCCTGGGCGCGCACGGCTTGCGGGCGGCAGCCTGCAGCGCGGAGCACGGGGCGCCCTCCGGAGGACGCCCCGTGCTTCGCGCAGGTGTCCCCAAGCCTTGCGCACCCGGGGGGAGCTCCCCCCCTGGGCGCGCACGGCTTGCGGGCGGCAGCCGGCAGCGCGGAGCACGGGGTGCCCTCCGGAGGACGCCCCATGCTTCGCGCAAGTGTCTGCAGCCTGCCGCCCGGCGTGTGGGGCGCCCTGAAGCAGAGCGCCCCTCACGCCGGGCAGACATCGGCCAGCCCCACAAGCTCGGGGGACAACGGGGAGGCGCAGCGCCATCCCACTGTTCCCTGACCTGGTTTTGGGGGGGAAATAAAGGAAAAAAAATTTTCCTTTATTTCCCCCCCCCCCAAAAAGTAGGTGCGTCCTATGGGACGGAGCGTCCTATGGAAAGAAAAATACGGTAACTTTTCAGAGGGTCACAAAAGAAAATGTGTTCTCTCAACCATAATCTGTGCTTATGGCTTTATATAAAAAATAAAAAATGAATAGCAGCTGAGCTGAGAGACCAACAACAGAAAGGCACCCAGTGGTGATCTCTTCAGAGGAGGAGTTTTGCTCTGAGGGAGAATTAAGGGACTGAGCCAAGTGAGTTAGTGCCTCTGCGCTGGATGTTACTCATAGACACCTACCTTGGAGCTGGGTCTGCAACAATATGTGAGTGGTTTAAAATATCTCTGAGATTACTGAATAAATTACCTTCAGGTCCAAAGCAGTTAAGGGGAGCCACTATGCTGGAGTTGATAGAGAGCTGGAAAGAGGCCAGGGCCAGGGTTGCCAACTTTTCCTCACTGGCTCCTGCTCCTCCACCTTTAATTTACCGCACAATAAATGTTTATATTCATACCACGAAGAGCTCCACATGCTGATTTCTAAAAATCAAGCTGCTGTAAAAAAAACAACAGAACAGGTTTGACAACATGCATTTAATTGCCTTATTATTAAAATTTTAATTAGGTGAAATAAAGCAGAGGAGCAAACTACTTTTTTCCCTCCTGGTCAGCTGGCAATCCTAGCCAGGAAAGTCATTCATCAGCACACATTTTCACAAGGGATGTTACAAATGTACACTTGTAATTAAGCCTCTCCGTACTTGGTGGAGTTTTTACTTTTGAGTAAACATGCATGAGATCAGAATGTATGGAATTTTGCTTAGTTTCAAATATATCCTCTCAAAACATTGCGAAAGCTGTATAGGAAACTGAAGAGTTTTTTGGTTGTTTTTTTAAAGGAACATTGTTTTTAGTCAATATAGATTTCTCATTTGCTTTACAGATGTGGGAAAAGCAAAAGCCGTTGAACTGTTATTTGTGAAGATTTCATGAAAGTCGCTGCAGACAGAACATTCCAGGGCAAGCAAGAAATCAAGTGAATGAAATACAGTATTTAAAACAAAGCAAGGTCAAGACAAAGTAAGTTGGGTTATTATTTGTTATCAAGTTCATAATAATAATAGTAGTAATAATAATAATAATAATAATAATAAATGCCAATATATTTAAATGGTGACTTGTCCCTTCGTTTGAGGAGTCTCATGTAATAATGGCACCAAATATTATGGTTGATCAGTATTTCAGTATTTCCACATCTTTCACAATCCAAGAATGAGTTAATAGGACAAATGTTAAAAATGAGCGCAAGTGCTTATCTATGCTGAAATCGGGACTAGAAATTTTACTTATTTACTCATTTGTTGAATTTGTATACCGCCCTATACCTGGAGGTCTCAGGGAAGTTCACAGAACAAAATCAAATTGTAAACCCACAAAATATATAATCAAAATAAAAACAACAACCCAATAACATCCCCGCCCCCCGGTAAAGAAATGCACTTTAAAGGGAAAGGTAGACAGCTCGTGAAGTGCGCAGAGCTTGCATGTCTAGATGACAAGGTGAAAATGAAGACTGCAAAATACTCATTGTTCGCAAATCCTTTACAAACTTGGCCTTGAAGGTGGCTGGCAGGGAGCTCACATGACTGCCTTTAGAGTAACTCCCCACCCAGCAATTGCTTTCATACAGACAGCATGCTTGCACCAAAGATTCATTGCTGCCACACTTGTGTTTTCCGCAACAAACACCCCCATGGTGAATGGCAGATACGTGACCTGTGTGCTCACCCCTGGGAGCTCAGGGGGGTCACAGCTCCCCGAAATAGCCACAGAGGGATGTTTTAGGGGCTGCCTTTGCGGAGTCCAGAGAAGCATGGGTGCAGCTGGGCGGGGGGCAATCCTGCCCATGCAGAGAACCTATCGGAATTAATGAATGGGGCCTTCCCACAAAATTCCAAGAAGTGCAAATTTCAAAGGGTGTCTGAGTTTCGGTGCGAATTAGGCAGATTCGCCTTTCAATGTGAACCGCCTCGAATTCATCCCCATCCTGAGCCCCAGGGGCTCCTGCGTCCTATCACCAGAGCCGAAATGGTTAAAGGGACAAGAATTTCTGGGAAAGCTGTTGCCTGCTCAAACTTTGGAACCCTGCAGGGGGACGCTTTGCTTTATTTTTGTTTTCTCCGATCCAGCTAAAAAAACAGTTTGTGCGAGGAGGCAAAGTCTCTCATTTTGACCCCGGGGCTTGTCCTAGCGAGTGAAAAGAACTCGCTCCCCACCCTCACCAGGTCACCAACAAAGAGGAAGGTCATGAGGTTCATCAGGGAAAGGCGCAGCTCTTCTGGAACATCTGGAACATCTGCTCATAACTTATTGAAGAAGCGACAGTGCTAAGCTAGCAGAATGCCAAAGTTTTGCAGACTTCCGCAAACTGCAAGGAGTGACTGTCAGATATTTGGAGTATGAAGGCCAGGAGCTTGGGATTCCACAGTACCTTGAGTTAGGCTGCTTTCTTCCTAGAAAGAGGGAGCAGGTTGCTACAGTGCAGAGCTTTAGTAACCTCTTTGAGCCTTCTGGCTCCATAATGCTGGTAGAAACCCTGTATGGCAAGGGTAGCCAATGTGGGGCCCTCTAGAAGTTGTTAGACTAGAACTGACATCATGCCTGACCATTGGTCATGTGTTGGCTGGAATGTGGTTGGTTCAACCACATCTGGAAAGCACTATTTTGGTTACTCTTGCTGTAGGGAGACTGATGGTTTGGGCAAAATATTCTCATTACAACCCCTCTCCCCAAGGAGAGTTGGAGCATGGCAGTGTATCTCCTTGATCATTTTGGTTGCCCTTTTCTGAACCTTTTCCAACTCCTTTTTGAAGCGAGGCCACCAGAGCTTTACACAATATTCCAAATGCATGCAAGGCAGATGCTCTACCACTGAATTATGGCCTTTCTTCTGTACTTATATGAGGGATCCCAGTGGTCACTCCCTTTTCTAGACCTCCCAGTATGTTTCCTGAGAAGCTTTCTTTGTCTTTAAGGAACACTTGTCCACCATTAATTATAATCTGAACTAAGGAACTCCAGATAATCTTCAAGGTAACCCCAAACATAGAAACCACTGCACTATCCAGCTAGTCACAGAACTGTAGAGTTGGCAGGGGCCACAAGGATCATCTAGTCAAACCCGCTGCAAATGCAGGAATCTTTTTGCCCAACGTGGGACTCGAACGCCCAACCCTGAGATCTCATGCTCTACCAACTGAGCTGCTCAATTATTGTTAGCGCGTCTGTTCTCAGCTACTCTTACTGTTCAACAGCTCTGGAATCCGACTTATCTGCAGGGCCTAAAGCTCTTGCATTCCTCACTTGCTTTTCTCGGAGAGTTTTTTTTATTTCCCTTCGGTTCCTGGCTAAGTTTAAAGAAGGGTCAACTGCAACTTAGTGTTCTGCCTACCGGTATTTTCACCAACAGGCATTTGGTCTAAATGAGAAGATATTTTCAGTATCATTCCATGGGACCAATCCTGCTGCATCAACACATTATTATGGGGCTCCTTTAACTTTGGGGTAAGTTTCTTCTCATATTTATGCACGGTTGCCCATGGGTGCTGTGACGGGGCTCAAGCCATACTATGTCTTTTGCACTGGGACATAGATCTCTTGCCTTTTCCTCTCCCCTTAAAAACAACAATGAAGAACTTTCTCAAAGCTTTTCACAGCCAGCTGGGTCTGCTGCAAAGCACAGTGCTGGAAGACTCCAGCTACCTGCCATCTTGATTTGTGGAGGCCCAATCCAGTTACAGTGGAGAGCCAAAGTCCCTTACCCCCGTCCCTCTGAAAGCCACCTAAAATTCACATAAAGCACACTATGTAAACTTTATGTAGATTTGTGTCACATGCCTATGCCCTGAGTTTTTATGTACATACCATTGCTCCTGGCTGTTGCCATGTTTGGCAAGTGTTTGACACAAATAGTAGATGTTTGTGAGGTGTCAACGAACCATTAGAAGCCTCTTTTGTATGGCTGACAGATATCAGATCACAATATCTGTGGAACGGGCACTTTTACACAGGGCTTTTTTCCCCAGCCAGAACTCACTGGAACTCTGTTCTGGCACCTCTCAGGTGGGCACCATTGCCATTATAAGAAAACAAGGGAGGGGGCCATGGTGAGTTCCCGCACCTCTTTTTCTAGAAAAATAGCACAAGTGCCACATAACATTCATTCAGCACTTGTGAGAAATTGACGTTTCAGTGCAGCACTACCAAATCTCTGGAACTCCCTGCCTATTGATATCAGGCAGACGCCTTTGTTGTACTGCCTTTTGATGCCTGCTAAAACCTGTTTGGTCTCAGCAAGCCTACCCAGACCTGTATTTTTATTGCAGATACCTGTTTTTGAAGCTGTTAACAGCAGTTTCCTTTCCTGAAGGCCCCTCCTCACCTGGAGCTGGCACTGCCTGTGACTGTGTGTGTATTTAATGGCTCTGTTCACAGAGGTCAAAACTGACATATTTTCAGGTCCATTTATGTCAGTGACCTAGAGTTCTATCAAATTCTGCCTTTTTGCTTATGCTTCAGACTTCTGCTTGGGCAATGGAACGTCTCCTCCTTCTCCCCTACAACTCCCTCCCCCACTCTCAAAACGTGCTCCAGGGGGCTGGGGGTCCCTTTGGATCAGGTTTGGGGGGTCAGGATAGGGGGAGTCCCATTGCATGAGCTGATCACCCTTTGCGCAGTGTTGGATATAACTTCTAGTAAAGCCTGTGCTTAATCTTTCCCATTGCATACCCTCCAACATTTCTCCAATGAAAATAGGGGTGCACTATTCAATAATAATATAATTATAATTATATGCCCTTCATCTGACAGGGTTGCCCAAGCCACTGTAAGTGGCTGTCTTTAGATGTCTTCTAAAGGTTGTATAGTTACTTATCTCCTTGGCTCGGAGGTTGCATAACTCTATACCCTCCAACATTTCTCTGGTGAAAATAGGGACGTCCTAAGGAAAAGTGGGACATTGCAGGATCAAATCAGAAACCAGGACAGCTTCTGTAAATCTGGGACTGTCCCTGGAAAATAGGGACATTTGGAGGGTCTGCCATTAACATAAATTGCATCATTTTGGCTGGATTGTGGTGACTTCTTCTTCTTCTTCTTCTTCTTCTTCTTCTTCTTCTTCTTCTTCTTCTTCTTCTTCTTCTTGTTTGAGTTTGATACACTCTCTGTTTCTGTCCCATACACTCTCAGAATCCACTGCATAAAGATGGATACCATCCCCTTTTTTGTTCTGTAAAATGCTCAGAAACAGGAATGATGTGTCATGTAAGATTTCTTCATAACATATCTTTTTTGCCAGTTAAAATTCCATCTGACTCTTCAACAAAAAGGGCAATTTCGTTGAACGAAAGTTATCTGTGTCAACAGTCAACACAGTGTAGGAAACAAAAACGAGCTTTGTAAATATTTCCTTTATTCCAAACACATGCAGAGTGCAGCTGCGAGGATTAACATACTTGCACTTTAATCTGTTACGTAGAGCAACTCAGCTTCAAAGCCAAGATGCTTTACCTTCCCAGTGGACCGTGCTGCGACTAGAGGAGAGGTAATATTTTCCCCTAAGACACAAGGCTGTTTCGCACAACATGGTACGATTCCTTAGCATTCATACAGTCTTGCTGAACCATACTTTGTTGTGCGACCCAAGAAAACTTTTTGGATTACTTCCTGATTTCCAAACGTTTCTGGATGAGTGATGTTGAGACTAACCAGGACTGGTCCGAGTCATTTAGCTGCCTGGGCAAGATCCACAGATTGAGGAGCACCCAGTTAGGATAGGCTGGGAGTGCCCCTCTGCCACGATCAACACAAGCCTGGGGCTGACGTGGTTCTTCCAATGACGGAATTAGTGTCAACAACAAAGCTCAACAACTTTCCTTTAAAAAGTACTTTTTGTGTCTGGATTTTTACTTCTTGGAATATGGCGACCCTACATCAGAGCCAATATAGAACTGGAGTCAGAAGGCTCGACTTCTTGGCTCAGGGAACCATGTGCCTTCCTCCTATTACGAGTAGGATTAGACTAATGTTCATGAAAATAGCAATAAGTGTTGAGGGGTCCCTAGTATCAATTATTATTTTCTTCCTCCAGGGGGTTGGACTAGATGACCCCTGGGTTCCCTCCCAACTCTACAATGCCACGATTATTTCATTTTGTTTTATTGCTGCAACAGTTGCAAGCATTAGGAAACTGAGTGAAACACAGTGGTCCTAACCCAGCCCAGAGCTGATTTCTATGGGCTTCAGTGTGCTGGACTGTGTCTCCAGAATGGCACTCATCAATTTATTGACTACAGCTATCATGCCTAATCTTACAAGTTACTTCATTATAAATGAAGGGGAGCAGAAAATCAACTTTTTTAAAAAAAAAGATAAATGGGCTTCCTTTATTACTTTCCGGAGTTCTATATACAGAGAGACTGAAAGAGGAAGCAATACTTCTTATTAACTGTGACATCCATTCAGCTTTGATGAATGGATGTATTGGCTGCGTCCTTTCCTATTCATAGTGGTACATAATGAGAATGAATTACTGGCTGATAATTTGATGTATAAATATTGCATTTAAATGTGTTAATGTCTTGGGTTGGGTTTTTTTAAAGAATTGGCACGCACACAAGATGTGAGCTGTAACATTTTAACCAGCAAAAAGCTAGAAACAAATACTTTATGTGTGCCATGGTCTCCCAGCCACCTGGTGCTTGGGTACTTTACAAAGCACCATAAAAATGTTTGTGGTGCTTAATGTGCAGTAATTTTAAAAGCATATGCATGTGCTTAAACACATGTTTAAAGGGAAATGGGGCAGGGCGGGGAAGGAACACTAATGTTTAAAACACCCGGAGGATACAATTTGTTTCCAGGTGAGGAACAAAGACGGATAACTGGAGGGGAAGGGCTAGGACAGTCCCACGCCTGAGAGCCCGGAAAGCTGTTGCCCGTTAATGTAGACAATACTGAGCTAGGGAGGCTCATCATCCACACATTTTTAAACTGGGTTGGGGAAAGGGTTAAGCATCCTCTGTGGCAGATAATCCCCCTGAAAGTGGCACTCTGCTCCTTCTTTAATGCAAGCATAGGTTTGAGAGTTGTGTGCTTGCTTCATAACATCCCATCCCAACCTCTAAGGGTCTCTTTGAAAATGCTCTTCTTTCTTTTTAAAGCTAGGCTGATTTGAGAGATCACTTCCACACCACAAATCTTTGACACCTGAAGGCTCTTCCAGAGGACCACACAGGCCATGGGGAAATTGAAGAAGAACGAGGAGGCTGTCTTTCTGAGGAAGAAGATCACCCTCTTGAGAGCTTTCTCGCTCCTCATAGGGAGCATGGTAGGCAGCGGAATATTCATCTCTCCCCAAGGGGTGCTGAAGAACTCCGGCAATGTGGGCCTCTCCTTAGTCGTCTGGTTTGCCTGTGGGATCCTCTCTATGTTTGGTGCGTGGTGAGTTTCTTTCCTCTCCTTTCTCAGCTCTCGGAGGATGAGAAACCCTATTGAGACTGTGTTTCACCCCATCACTTAACAAATTGGTAGCTGCAGTAATGAAATCTGTATTGGCCCAGGATCCAGAACTGAGACAGCATTCTGACTCAATGTTGTCTTTTTTAATATACAGTGGTACCTCGGGTTACAGAAGCTTCAGGTTACAGATGCTTCAGGTTACAGACTCCACTAACCCAGAAATAGTACCTCAGGTTAAGAACTTTACCTCAGGATGTGAACAGAAATTGTGCAGCAGCAGCGGGAGGCCCCATTAGCTAAAGTGGTACCTCAGGTTAAGAACAGTTTCAGGTTAAGAACAGACCTCCAGAACGAATTAAGTTCTTAACCCAAGGTACTGTATATATAGAAAAGAATTTCCGTTATAGAAAATAAAGGAGCAAAAGAAAAAGAGAGAGAAAGTGCAAAAATATAATAAAAAGATATAGTATAGTATGTGATATATATTCAGTAACATTTCCATACATTATTATACAGTGGAACCTTGGTTCCTGAACTTAATCCGTTCCGGGAGTCTGTTCGATTCCCGAAACAGTTCGGGAACCAAGGCACTGCTTGTGATTGGCTGCAGCAACTTCCTGCAGCCAATCAGAATCCACGAGGGGTGTTCAGTTTCCAAAGAATGTTCGAAAACTGGAACAATTACTTCTGGTTTTCATTCGTTCGGGAGCCATAACGTTCTGCTCCCAAGGCGTTTGGAAGCCGAGGTTCCACTGTATATGTAATATAAATAATAATATTGTCATAATACGTATATGGTTATCAGTAAAATACTATATGCAGTATAAGCTCGTTCCAAATGTCGATATTGTTTGTCCAAACAAGGTCTGCATCCATAAGCAATTTGTTCATATGTTGCGAGTGTTGTCTTGTCGTCAGCCCATTGATTAAAGGGGACCATATCTTTATTCTTCCAGTTCAGTGTTTTCCAAACTGGGGTCTCCAGCTGTTTTTGAACTACAACTCCCATCATCCCTAGCTAGCAAGAACAGTGGTCAGGGATGATGGGAGCTGTAGTCCAAAAACAGTCCAGACACCCAAGTTTGGGAAGCTCTGTTCCAGTTCATCAGTACCAGTCTCTTGCCCAAAGAATCCACTTTTGTTGCCCAATTGCATCCTGACTCGTGGTTAAAGGAGGAGAGACAATAACATAAGAAGCTGCCTCATACTGAGTGAGACCACTAGTTCATCCAGTTCAGTATTGTCCACACTGACTGGCAGCAGCTCTCCCGGAATTCAGGCAGGGGTCTCTCCCAGGGCTGCCTGGGACTGAACCTGGGACCTTCTGTTGGCAAGGCAATTGCTCTGCCCCTGAGCTGTGCCCTTTTCTGTACACACTCCAATCCTGCCCTATCTGTTTTCTGAGATGTACTTGGGCACCTGATGTAACTGAGCAGCCCCTGGTCCCGTGACACCTCCATTGCACCTGCGATGCTGCGAGCCTTTGTTTCTGCCTTGAACTTGGAGCAGGCGCTCCCAAAGCCACATGGAGTTAATGTGTAACTAATCCGAATTAGAATCTTATCAGAAGAACCCTGTGAAAGAGGCACCCTACCCCCATTGCATGATGAAACTGGGAAGGCCATTTCAAAGCCCTTGACCCATAGGATTCCCAAACAGCAGCCTTCCTAACAGGCTCTTGTATCTCAGGCTCCTACATCCTGGATAGCTCAGTCGGTAGAGCATGAGGCTCTTCGTCTCAGGGTTGTGGGTTTGAGCCCCATGTTGGGCAAAAGACTCCTGCATTGCAGGAGGTTGGACTAGATGAGCCTTGTGGTCCCTTCCAACTCTACAGTTCTATGAATCTTATGTATTTCAGCGTAACTCTCCCACCTGGGAAGTCTAAGAGGGGCATGTACCCTCTCCACCTGCAAGTCCCACAACCCATGTGATACTTACACAGCAAGGGGGAGGAAACTGATTCTCCAGCTATTGCCCAACAACAACTCCCATCAGCTCTGGACCTTTGGCCATGCTGGCTGGGCTGAGAGGAGTTTTAGTCCCACAACAACTGGAGGACCACGGGTCCCCCATTCCTGCTACAGAGCAATGTCGTTTCTGTGGGGTCTTTTAATTACATAACCACACCAGTCAGCTCAAATGTCCCTAGTATCTGCCACCTTAACTGAAGATGCCAAGGACTGAACATAGGACCTCTGTCTTCAGAATGTGTGCCTGTGTACATACCATACGTTTAAAACGTATTTAAATTACATGGCTTCCCCCCTCCCCCAAATCATGGGAACTTTTGCACTGTGAGGGGATAAACAACAGTTCCAAGGATTTCTGTGGGGGGAGGGGATTGATGTGCTTTAAATACAGTGGTACCTCAGGTTAAGTACTTAATTCGTTCCGGAGGTCCGTACTTAACCTGAAACTGTTCTTAACCTGAAGCACCACTTTAGCTAATGGGGCCTCCTGCTGCTGCTGCTGCTGCTGCGCTGCCACTGCACGATTTCTGTTCCCATCCTGAAGCAAAGTTCTTAACCTGAGGTACTATTTCTGGGTTAGCAGAGTATGTAACCTGAAGCATATGTAACCTGAAGCATATGTAACCCAAGGTACCACTGTATATGATTTGTACACAGCCGTGGCCCCTCTCATAGCTGTCAACCTTTCCCCTTTCTTGCGAGGAATCCTATTCAGAATAAGGGAATTTCCCTTTCAAAAAGGGAAACGTTGACAGCTATGGCCCTCTTCTGCAAAAGGGAATATAAATGGCCTTATACCTGAAGGAGCATCTCCACCCCCATCATCCAGCCCGAACACTGAGGTCCAGCGCCGAGGGCCTTCTGGCAGTTCCCTTGCTGTGAGAAGTGAAGTTACAGGGAACCAGGCAGAGGGCCTTCTTAGTAGTGGCGCCTGCCCTGTGGAATGCACTCCCATCAGATGGCAAGAAAATAAACAACTATTTTACTTTTAAAAGACAACTGAAGGCAGCCCTGTTTAGGGAAATTTTTAATGTCTGATGCTGTATTGTTTTTAATATTCAGTTGGAAGCCGCCCAGAGTGACTGGGGAAACCCAGCCAGATGGGCGGGGTATAAATAATAAATTATCATTATAAATTATTATTATAACATATTTATTTTACATTTTCATCTGACCCTTCCCAAATAACATATGCATATGGTTCTTATCCTGCCCATTTGATCCTCACAACAATTCTGCGAGGTAGTTTAACCTGAGACAGAGAGTGATTGGACCAAGTCACCCAGCAAACTTCCGGTAAAGCCAGTTCTAGTCCAACACACTAACCACGGCATCACACACAACCTGTGTGGACAATTGCCCACACAAAAAAAGAGTAGATAGATTGCTAGTTATGCTGGTGTTTTGCAAAAACAAACAAACAAACAAAAACACCCTACCCAGTGGTTTTTTAACAGCACTTTTTCATCAAAGAGAACTGAGAGTAAACCATGAGAGCCAAAATGGAGCCCTCCTCCCATCTGCCCCACAAGAAATTGGAAGCGAAGGCTACAATCATATACTTAATTTCCAGGGTCTCAATGGGGCTTACTTTTCAATAGACATGTATAGAATTACCCTGTAAAACCCCCAAAAAACAATCAACTTTCAATGGAAGTGTTCTCCAATGATAAATACAGGGGGTTGTGATTCTATCTGAATGGCCTCAAAACATGAAAGTTTGCCAGCTGAAGTTTAGGATAAAAATAACCCAGGCTAAAATCTAAGAAAGCTGTTTTTTGACCATATGGCTCCATTGTGGGTGCACATATGGAGTCGTCATGGATTTTTCACAGCCTCCAGGTTCAAGTTCAGGTTGTCAATATGGATCATTCCTAATGTCATAATTTCCATGGGTGGGTGAAATGGTTGCACAAACACTTCATGCAGATATGGGTCATTCCGGTTTCCCTAGTTTCAGTAGCTCTCTGACACTCTGAAGGCTTCAATCCTTAGCCAATGTACTAGGGAGCAAAAATGCCAAAGAGTCTTGTGGCACCTTGAAGACGAACGGGTTTTTATGATTGCCTTTGCCAAATAATAATAATAATAATAATAATAATAATAATAATTTTATTATTACGGTCAAAGACCAGTTCAAAAAGCACACCTGAGACTACTTTCACAAAAGTGAAATAGACATTTAAAATAGTATAAAATAACAGCTTATAGATTAAAATTGAAATAGTCGCATGTACACGAAAAGACCTAATATTAGACTAACACGCAGATTGACCCTGGGACACCCAGGAGGCCGGATATGGCAGTTCTCCGGGTGGTATTCTGCGCCGACAAATCTGTGTGCAAAATCTCGCGACCATCCAGGTCGTCTTGTGGTTTTTGCCTAAGAGGAGAAAATTGAATTTTGGCTTGTCTGGAAGGTCAACAAGTCTCACCAGATGGGGTCAATGGTATCTTTATGTGCCTCATCGTAAAAAGGACATCTAAAAAATAAGTGTTCAGGGCTTCCTATTTCCCCTAATGGGCAGGCGCAAAGTCTCTGGGCGTACGGGACTTTTCCAAAAGATCCTTCCAGAACTGGTGAGAGCAGAGCCAAACATGGATCATCATCATCATCATCATTATTTTCTAATTTCTATACAGTCATACCTCAGGTTATAGACACTTTGGGTTGCACAATTTCGGGTTGCGCACTGCACTGAACCTGGAAGTACCGGAACGGGTTACTTCTGGGTTTCGGCGCTTGCGCATGCACAGAAGTGCCAAATCGTGCATGTGCAGATGCGCCGCTGCGGGTTGTGAACGCTGTGGGTTGCGAATGTGCTTCCCACACGGATCACGTTTGCTACCCGAGTGGCCACTGTAGTGCCCTATACCTGCAGGCCTCAGAGCAGTTCACAATATAATATCACAATATAAAAACACAAAATACATAATCAAAATAAAAACAAAAGCAACCCAATAACACCCTCAACACATTTTAAAAGACTAGACTAGAGCCTGCTTCATCAGATGCATGAAGTGTGATCCCCAATAGTCAAATATATGCATGTGCAGGAGTGACAACAAGGGCAGGGGAATGGAAAGGTTGGTGTTAGATGGCAATGGAAGACCCCCCCCCCCAAAAAAAACCCCAGTCTGTGGCCATTCTGCAAATGTATGAGAAATGACTCTTCACCACTGCAGTAATTAGGGATGACTAGGGAGCAAGGTCCTTTGAACTCAACAGAACTTACATCTTAATAAAAAGGGTTCAGGGGCACTTGAAGTGAAACCTCAGAATGACAGCTCTCTCTGTGCATCTTCTACTGATACACAGAAATAGTGGTGGGAACATAGGAAGCGGTCTTAAACTGTGTCAGACCATTGGCCCATCTCAGGGCTGGATTAAGCATTAAGCAAAATAAGTCTGTGCTTAGGGCATCAAGGGAAGGGGGCACCACAGAAATCTTCCATTTGCAGGATTTTTAACATTAATGGTCACAAATGAAGCAGGGACTTGACCCCCTGTTTAAAGTCTAGTGCCTTATCCACTACAGAAGACTTTGCAATCTGGGTGACTTTTAAGTGAGGATTTTCACGAGGGCCCTATTTTTCTCTGTCATGGGCACAACATCACAGGATACCAATAGCCCGTCAATGCGTGAAGTGAAGGAAAACTCTTTAGGATGGTTTGCTTACGCTCTTTCCTACCTGAACACTTCCAGGTGCTCTGTGTTATGCTGAACTTGGCACCCGGATCACAAAGTCTGGAGCCCATTACATCTATATCTTGGAGACCCTGGGCCCTCTGCCAGGGTTCTTGTTCCTATGGGCAGAATACTTTGCTATAAGGTAAGCTTTTCCATCTGCAACCTGCTATAAACTTAAAGGTGAGGTCGGAATGCTTCGAACCATGTGGCGCAGTTGTGTATATAATCTATGCCTTTAAATGTCAGTGAGAGAAACTGCGCATGTAAGAAGCAGATATTAAAGGCAGTCCAGGCAAATGGCCATCTAATATTTCTGGGTGAATGGCAGCTGTTCATAACTAACTGAAGTTTGTGTCCTGCCTTTCTCTGAGTTGTGTCAGCTTCGCCCATCAGGAATAGCAGCCCAGATGAACTAGGCCAGGGGCAGATAACTCTTTTCAGCCCTAGAGACATATTCCCTCCTGAGCAATTTCCAGGGGACACTGAAAACAGGTTAAATAAGCCGACTACCCAGTTTCCTTGACTTTGCAGGAATGTGGCATCTTTGCATGGAAAAAATAAGAGTTTTCTTGAGGTCTTGTCACAGAATGCATAAGCCAGTTTTCCCTTCCAGGCCAGCCAACAGTGCAGTTGTTGCACTGGCATTTGGACGCTACATCCTGGACCCCTTTTTCGCACCCTGTGGCGCTCCACTTCTGGCTGTGAAACTTGTTGCTCTTCTTGGCTACTGTAAGTACGAAGCAGGAACTGTGCCCCATTTATTTCCTTGGGATGCTACTCAGTCAAATCAATGGGAGTCTTATTATTAATTTCGTATTCTGAATTCATCAGCTAAACTAGATAGTCCCAGCGTGCAGGTCAAATGCCTTTTTTACCCTCTCCAATCCAGACATTGTCCTAATCCTGAACTCTTGGAGTGTCAGCTGGAGTGCCAGGCTTCTGACCTTCTTGTCCATCGTCAAGCTGGTAGCTCTCACTCTCATCATCGTCCCAGGAATGATACTTTTAGCTCAAGGTAATGCATTATTCTCATTGTTATTAGCTATAAAACATCACCACCATCAAAATGCAAGGACTTGCCTCTAGAAAATATTCTGCCCTGAGAGCTGCCTCCCCCCACACTTGAGTGACAACAGTGGTCAGAGTCTGAAGTTGGGTGGGTGGGTATAAGAAACAGGGCCTTTCCATTTGTGGCACCTGCTTTGCAGAATGTCATCCCTAAGGAAGTCTGCTAAGAGCTCAGGCAGAATGTTTCCTGCCCCCTACTACATCCTAACCGATCTTTTAAAGTGGAAATGGCATGGGTTGAACTTGGAGACTTTTCTGCATCCAAAGTATATGCTCTACTCCTGAACCATATCTCAAAGATGTATATGGTAAAATGAAGCTTGTTTACATGCTCATCTTAGAAACGTGTCTATGTTTATCATACTTTGCTCTCTAACTGTATGGTTTTCTTTAGGCCATACAGAAAATTTCCAGGATGCTTTCAATGCTCAGACCCTTGCTTTGGACAAGCTTCCTTTGGCTTTTTATGCAGGGATGTTTGCCTATTCAGGATGGTATGCATAAATGACATACATTTTTAAGATATTCACTTATAAACTGTCAGGGCCACTGAAATCTGTTCCTTTCCCTCCCACGATGCAGGTTTCAAACTAGTTTTGTGCGAGAAGAACTAGTGAAGCCAGAGCGGTGAGTCAAAAGACCAGTTAAAAAAGATCTGTATTTGACCCTGCTTAATGTATTTCTGAAGCTGTTTTGAACAGGGATGGATTATTCCGTAGGCTAACAAGACACAGGCTTCATATATATAATAAAATAACAATACAATGAAATTTTGCATTTACATGGGAACAGTTGTACTGACTATTCTTTTCTCTCCCCCTCCCCATTTTGTTTGTAGAAATATCCCTCTGGCAGTGATTGTGTCTGTGATCACTGTGATTGTGGGTTATATGCTTACTAATGTTTCCTATTACACGGTACTGACAGCAGCAGATGTTCTGGCCTCCCAGGCAGTAGCTGTGGTGAGTCGAAAGCCAATGTTGTAGTTAATATCAGATTAATTCCCCTTCTTCCCCAAGAGGGTTCAGTTTTCAGTAGATGGAGGGGAGAGGACTGGAATGTAAGACAGTGGCAATTAAATTCAGCCTCTGCAGAGTGGGGAGTTGTCATCAAGAAGTCTCAGAAGAGCAAACCATTGTATGTGCGCCACCCCAGTCTCTGAGCAGTGCTAGATTCCGGGGGTTCCAGGGTTCAGTTTCCTTGGAATGAGGGTCAGCAGAGACTGTGGTGTCTTTATGATATAGAGTTTATTTACACATATAGACAACCTGAGACTATGATGCAGCGGCTCGCAGCATTAACAGCCCAACATACAAACAGGCATTATTTTAGGGGGAATTGCTTTGCAGAAATGTATATATTAGGCAAAACTGTGAGGAACACATCTATTAGGAGAAATTTGCATTAAAATGCTGGTGAATTTCCAGGAGGACTTCTATATATATCTATAAAAGAATTCTCAAAGGAATGTGTAAATGTGGAGAGCTGAATAAGACTGAAAATTTGAGAAACTGAAATGGACCGATTCACCCATCCCTAGTTCAGTCCTTCATAAGCTGGGAGAAGGGAACCTGAGGCCCTTCAGATGTTGTTGGACTTCAGCTCCCAGCAGCCTTGCCTATTGGTGGTGCTGATGCAAGTCCCCTCACATATCTACTGTTCCCTGAGAGATTTAAGAGTCAACCCCTCTTCCCAGGGAGCTCTGGGAATTGTAGCTCTGTGAATGGAATTAGGGTCTCCCATCAACTTTCATTGCCCTTTACAAACTACAGTTCCCAGGACTCTTTGGGGGAAACCATGCCTATTTAAAGTGGCATGGTGATGCTTTAAATGTATGTCTGTTTTGGGACTACAGTTTCCATCATCCCTGACCGCTGGTGTGATGGGAACTGGAGTCCAAAAGCTGCTGGAGACCCAAGTCTGGGAAAGCCGTCGTGCTGATAGGGCCTTGTAATAATGTCTCTAAGCCTTTTGTAAAATGAGTAAGACAACAGAAAATCAGGGATTTGGGAGGCATGGAGAACAACAAGTAAATATGAAATCAGAATCTGTAGCATATCACGCCTGCTTTCACTGAAGGCCACTCAGTGGTTTTCCTTCACCAATAATTATAAACCTCACATTTCTGAACACAAACATGCCTTTTCTTCCAGAGCTTTGCACACAAAGCTTGCCGGAGTGTTATCTCAATGGTGCCTATCCTGGTTTCCTTATCTTGCTTTGGGACCATGAATGGAGGAATCTTTACATTTTCAAGGTCAGTGACCTCTTTTTAATCTTGTTGAGGGCTGAACTACATGCTACATATCAGGGCTGGGGGACATGTGACCCTCCAGTTGGTGCTGGACTATAGCTCCCATCCCCCCCAACCATTTGCTGTTCTGGCTGGGGCTGATGGAAGTTGTAGTCCAATAACATCTGGAGGGCCAAAGCATGAAACTGAGGAAGAGAACCCCAGCGCCGGGCATCTCTCCTAGAGGTTCCCCACCCCTGCAGACCGATTCATTGCGTTCTTTCACTGCTTATTTATTTTCTCCTTCTAGGACCTTGTTTGTGGCTTCACGAGAAGGGCAATGGCCTCCCCTCTTCTCTATGATCCATATTCAAAGACATACACCCCTACCAGCAGTCATGTTGATGGTAAGAATATGGGTTGACTCCATCCTAATCATTCTTAGAGTAGACCCACTGAAATGTTTAAGATTTGTTGTTGTTGTTGTTGTTGTTTGTTGCCTCCCGCAGTTTGGTCAGGCTCATGTTTGTAGCTTCGAGAATACTGTCCAACCATCTCGTCCTCTGTCGTCCCCTTCTCCTTGTGCCCTCCATCTTTCCCAACATCAGGGTCTTTTCCAGGGAGTCTTCTCTTCTCATGAGGTGGCCAAAGTATTGGAGCCTCAGCTTCAGGATCTGTCCTTCCAGTGAGCACTCAGGGCTGATTTCCTTAAGAATGGATAGGTTTGATCTTCTTGCAGTCCATGGGACTCTCAAGAGTCTCCTCCATCCTAATCATTCTTAGAGTAGACCCACTGAAATGTTTGATACCCATGAGTAATTTAAGGACTTTCAGTCTCAATGGGCCTACTCTAAAAGGCTGTGTACACATTACTGGCTTAAAATGCAGCTAGGTCATTCTTTTTCTCAATTCAGATTGAGGCTGAACAGTATTTCCTAAGAAACTACAGGATATGGATTACGGCTAACGTTTTGTGCACACTGCTTCCCAAACCAGGAGTGGAAGCACACTGGGTGCACAGAAAATGGGGGTGTGTACACAAACTTGCAGTCCAGCAACATCTGGCCACAAGTTCCCTATCCCTGTTCTAGGTTTTCAGCTATGTCTGTGTGTTCAATCTGAGATGGTGGTTTACTAAATCTATTTCACCTACTTCTACACCCCTCAGTTCCCTTTGGTCACTGCCATGATCTGTGTGGGAGATATCTACCACCTGCTGAACTTCTTCAGCTTCTCCCGGTGGCTCTTCATAGGATTAGCCACCCTTGGGCTGATAGTTCACCGCTGCCGTCATCCTGAGATAACAAGCCCATTCAAGGTAAGGGTCTGCTCACCTGTTTTCTCCCATGATTCTCCCTCTGTCGCTCTTTATTTTAGACGAGGTATGTACTAAGACCCATCTCTCTGTGCTAATAAGTAAGAGTAAGTAGTTAAGAGCTGGAGCTGTGAGCCAAGTGATCCCTGGTTCAGATCCCACCTCAGAGTATGCCCAACAAATATCACACCCATCAACAACTGATCAGAAACAGTTAAGTGGTTAAGGGTGTTGGACTATGACCCTGAAGACCTATGCTCAGCGCCCCCATTCAGACATTTTAAAAGGAAATTCATATAGCGCTCCATATTTCAAAGAAACCTCTGAGCAGTTTAGAGCATCATATGGCATCTTTGAGCTGTTTACAGCATCTTGTGATCTCAAACCAGGCACACTCCCTCTCAGCCTGACTGGGGGTTGTTGTGAGGATAAAATGGGGGGGGGGCAGAATAGGGATGGAAGGATCTGGCAATTTTGCATCTCTCAGTTTCTCATTTATCCATTATTAAATTTTGTTTTCTGTGTTCTGCAGTAATTTGCATTTTTTTAAAAAAATACCTCATGAAAATTCTAAGCATTTTAGGGCAATTTTCTCCTAAGAAGCCCATTTTTAGATGCACTTTTGCCTAATGTACACATTGTTGCAAGTTATTTCCCATAATATAATGGATTTTTATATGTCATTTCCCCCAATGTCTTCATTTAATGTGCACCCTCCCCCAATATGTCCATTTTTGTACACATTGTTCGGAGAAAGTGTGAATTTGAGAGATTCTGCTTTAAACGCATACCGAACTGAATTTCTCCTCTGCCCCTAGGGAGGAGAGCTATGTACCCTGCCCTGTGTTCCTTGAAGGAAGGGGGGTGGGATACAAATAAACAACAAACATGAATTGCTTGTTTGCTTAGAGAAGAAATATTCGCCCTACTTCCAAGGTGTCCCAGCGTGGATTTTCATTATCATTCTTTGGGTGACCAGAGGAGAAAAGAGGACTCCTGTACTTTTAATAGCTGTATAGAAAAAGAAATGTCAGCAGGTGTCGCTTGCAAGAGAATCCACACCAGCTGAAGTTCCACCTTCTGCGTCACTATTAAAGGTGCAAGAGCCCAGGATTCCTTTTTTCACCCGGCTACCTTATTTTCCACATTCAGGAATAACATGCTCTTGGTATGTCTTCATAGCCACTACCAAAAGCACTTCGGAAATGCGGGGTAATGCTTTGCTGTTTTTTTAGCCGCTCACAAAACTTGGAAGGAAAAAAACACCAAGAAGAAACCATACAAATTAAATTTGAGAAGACCAGTGCTTATAGTATGTACATCTACTGCCGCCTTGTGGACATAAGCCAGAACCCTTATTTCCACACCTTTTAAAGCAAAAGAATGCTTGCATGTCTCATTCGTACGGAGCTTCTCTTCTCAAGACTTGGGTGCACAGATTAAGTACATGCAGCTCCTGTGCCCATCTGGAAGTAATAATAATCCTTATGTGGATTATTATTAGGATGCATGGCACAGGAGAGGAATTGTAAGCTTAAACTCCCAATTACAGTGGTACCTCGGGTTAAGTACTTAATTCGTTCTGGAGGTCCGTACTTAACCTGAAACTGTTCTTAACCTGAAGCACCACTTTAGCTAATGGGGCCTCCCGCTGCCACCGCGTCGCCGGAGCATGATTTCTGTTCTCATCCTGAAGCAAAGTTCTTAACCTGAAGTACTATTTCTGAAGCTTATGTAACCTGAAGCGTATGTAACCTGAGGTACCACTGTACCTTGTTTTCCCCTCAAGGATATCCCTGTAGAACTTGGGACTTGGACCCCACAGTGTGTAGGCAAAGCTCTCATTGGGTGTGTTAGATTTCCCCCCATCCACCCAAAGAAACATTTTAATTAGAGTTCTAACAATTACATTCAGTCCTTTGTCATGGGTCAAAGGCCTTTTATTTGCATTGCAAATACCTCCAGGTCTTTCTCTAGGAGCTTTCATTTTCCTCCAGTCCTCCTTTTGCTTCTCAAATGTTTTGAAGTGAGATCCACCACCTGCAAACTTCCTCAGCCTTTCAGGGCCCACTTGTAAAAGTAACTCCACTTTTGGAACTCTTTTCTCCTATCCAGGTTCCTCTCTTCGTTCCTGTTTCCTTTACAATCATTTGCCTTTTCACTGTGGCGATGTCTTTCTACTCGGACCCAATAAATATCAGCATTGGCTGTGCCATGGTTTTAAGTGGGTTTCCCGTTTACTATTTGTTCATCAACAGGTCAATGCCAAAGTGTTGCAGCACCACATTCTGTGAGTAGAAACTGCTGGGTAATTTTGAATGCTCATTTTCAGTATGGTATTCTTTAAAGATTGCTGCATAGCCAGAGCTTGATCTGGCTGTCGAGAGCTGTATTCCCTCAGGAATCGGGGGGAGATTGATTATTGATTGATTTCAATGCTTCGTGATTGTGTGTGTTGGGGAGGAACCCGCAAAGCAGCATACAGAAAAGAATAAAACAATCAAACTATGAGTAAAAACAGTTACAGATAGATATTTATAACATTCAAAAATAATTAAAAACAACAATAAGCTAAAAGCAGATTAAAACATCCATCAACATTCTATATCTGGGTCTTGTCTAAACAAAAAATGTCATTCGGCAGGGGGTTCCAATGTGTGGGTACTGACACACTGAAAGATGTGGTGTGTGGTGTAGTGGTTAGGAGCGGTAGACTCATAATCTGGTGAACAGGGTTCGCGTCTCCGCTCCTCCACATGCAGCTGCTGGGTGACCTTGGGCTAGTCATACTTCTCTGAAGTCTCTCAGCCCCACTCACCTCACAGAGTGCTTGTTGTGGGGGAGGAAGGGAAAGGAGAATGTTAGCCCCTTTGAGACTCCTTCAGGTAGTGATAAAGCGGGATATCAAATCCAAACTCTTCTTCTTCTTCTTACAAATGCGAAATGAGTATTATGGAGTACACCTAACAGCTCCAGTTGTGTTTCCAATTGCTTATTATGGAATTGAAAAACCCAATACTTTAAAAAATGCCAGTGGGGAAGGCATGGTTGCCGTGGTGTGTTTAATTTGCAGCTTCATTAATTATATTTTTGAGCGTTTTCAAAATGTTCTGCTTTGGGGGGGGTTGTTTTTTTGTTTGGTTTTTACAATGAAATCAATATTTTGAGTTCCTTTGATCAAAGGGGAATTGCAAGAAGCCCAAAGGGAAATGTTGCTTGGGAGGGGGATGAGGAAAAACCAAAGAGGAGCACCCTGTACAAGCAATTGACATTCAAGCTACAAGCCCTGTGGCTACTTCTAAAGAGGGAGAAATGGAATTGCAAACTTACCGTCCAATATTATGGGGGCATTTCCAAGTAGCCCTGTTTTGAGCAATCAAATAATTATATTAATAATGATGCTAAGCATCCATAAAGTACTTCTGAGAGTAACATGCCTACATGTATTATGTCCTTGTAATCCTTACATTAACTTCTTAAGATAAGTCAGTATTAATATCCACATGTTGCAGATAGGGGGCTGAGGAAGGGGTTCAAATCTGTCCATATTTAATTTGTGCCATTTTTGCTTCTTCTTTTTTTGTAACCCTAATTCCATCCCATTCTGTTTCCACATTAATTTTTCCAATTTTGGAAGAAACATAATTCGTACTTTAGGAACACCAGAACATGAAATACTCTTGCCCTTATACATCTAACCCCTTACTATTACAGATTCTCTTACACTGAAGCTTCAGGTCCTCTTGAAGGTGGTGCAACAAGAAATCAGGACTTACTGAGAAGCATAACGAGAGCTGGAGGGGTGAACCAGAAGCCTGAACTTCAAAGCTCTGATTTTGTGGTGACTTCTCCTAGCTTATATTTAATGCCACCCTCACAACTCGGAGCATGCCTGCATTGGAGCATCTTCTGCTTCCAGTTTGGTGTTTTCATACCAGATGGAGAGTTCCTGAAAAATCAAAGGCACAGGAAACCCTGTGCAGATGAGTCACACCTTTGACTGTGCAAGCAACAGCCCATGTGCATCCTGATCTGGCATGCAGATGGGCATGAGAGCATCTGGACCTTGAAGAAAGACTCCTAGAGATGTGTTTGTCTGAATGCATACGCAATCCCTAAATGCTGGCTGTGTAGAGGCAATAGCTATTTGTAGATGTTGAAGTGGTACTGCAGAGCTGTTAGTCATCAATTTACACAGGCTCATTTTTTTAAAAGTTTGATTTGAGCAGTGTACCTTGGCCAATGATAGTTTTTGATGTACTCCAAGATGGACTCTAGAAAACTGAAATAAGCCTTGCTGAAAAAGACGTGTGTGTGTGATTATAACAGGCATCTTTAGAATGGTAAAGAAGCCCTCCCCAAATCTGAAACTTCTGATTTTGTTTTGAGTATACACACACACAGACACACAGACACACACACGCGCGCACACACACACACACACACACACACACACACGTTATTACTGTTATTATTAATAGTGTGTAAAAGGACGGACACATATAATTCCAAGTGGTCATATAGCCTGTTGCAAAGTGGGAGGGAGGAAATTTCCTTTTTGTGAAATTGACTAAACCAGATGCAGCTTTCAAGCAGCCAATTTCACACCTCTTTTGAAGTTCATAGTACTGGTAGAATTAAGAATATGGATATGATTATATTCTCACAGGCGATGCTTACTGCCTTCAGTTATCCTTGCTAATGTTTGATCAAGTCTAGTGCCATCGCACCAGTTAGGGGGCATTACCCCCATTGATCCTGAGAAGAAATAATCATTTGTGCATGATGCATGTCTTTGCAAGATGGACTGAGATCATGCTGTAAATGGCACGTGCTTATGTATTAACTAGTAATGATAACATTAGTTTTGCAACACAGAATGCAATTTGAGAGGGTCACAAACCAAAACACTGAATTCAGCACCTGCAAGCATGAAAAATCAGAATCATATCAAATATAACACAGTCTGTACATGGATCAATGTAAAAGTGTGGGGAGGGAGGCTAAATAATGTATGTTTCAATTCATGTGATGCCATATACACCTATTTTATTTTCTTTAACATCCTTATCTCTTCTGCAACAATCCTGCCAAAAATTTGCTCCTCTTGATGCTTGCTATCAGCCATGGAAGGAAAGCCTTCATTGGCACCAATGGGAGCTTTCTTTCTTTCTTTCTGAAATATACTCGGAGTCGAGAGTGGATTTCATGCTCTTTATTCTGCTCATAGTGGTGAGGAGGAAAAATGGAAGTTCCCCCAGAATGTCTGCTTTATATACATTATTTACACAATGGGCCCCACGTGATTAGCTAATTCCGGGATTCACCTGTAGGCCAATGAGGTTCTAGATTCACTTCCACCTGAAGCTGGATTGGGTGGCTCCTGTGGACCAATCAGACTGCTGCATTCTGGACCCTATTGTACTAGGACCAATCACACTGCTGCATTCTGAATCCTATTGTTGTAGGACCAATCAGACTGCTGCCTTTTGAATCCTATTCAACTCAGTACATAACTCACTCTTTCTTTCTTTCTTTCTTTCTTTCTTTCTTTCTTTCTTTCTTTCTTTCTTAGTCTCCAGAACTTTTGAAGCAGATTTGAGGGCGCCCCAGGGTGGGGGTGAGGTTGTGGGAGGGAAAGGAAGATGCAGTCCCATTGCACTAGTGGAGGCCTCTTCTGTTTGTGCACTGGATACAGCCCAGGTCACTTCCAGATGACCTTTTCAATGGGCATTTTATCCTTATTTGTTTGCACAAAGTTTGCAGGAAGATCAGTCAGCATTGGTTTTTTATTGCACATTCATTCTGATTTGTGTGTGGGAAGGTTAGACGACACTGAATCAAGAAAATGTTATCCCTAGTGCATTTTCCCATCACATTCCTTATTGCAAAAAGTCTGATTTTGGGTGGGTTGGGGAGTGAGTTTGATGCCCAAGAGCACCAAATAAGTTCTAACTGTGCAACCTGAATTAGCTGGTAGTGATGGAATCCCACCTGGAAAATGTTTCATACACATATGAAAATCTGACTGATGTGTATGATTGGCTGGTTTGAATGATTTAGCATCATGTAGCCAAATAGGCAAGCAACTTTGAACTACTTTCTTATTTGTGGTTTTCTAAACTGTGTCTAGTAAGCTTCTTTCTGTCAGCACTGAAGACCTTAGCAGATAGTGATTACGTAAACACTGACTCTGTACAGTCGTTGTTGAGATATAACATTTTGTATAAAATGGTAGACAATCGCAGGAAATGTTGAACTTCCCATTTTAGTTTGCTAAAAGATGTGAAATGTTTTCTATGTTTTTGAGGGTAAAATGCCAACCTCATCCAAGTTCACAATGGAAACTTTCATATTAAAGTGACATTAAGTCCAAAATCTAAGCAGCATTTCTAAGCTTTTTATACACTCAGTGAACACCTAATTAAATGGTTTGAAATAAAGCACAGTTTTCAGAAGTTATTAAAAAATTTTCCTGGCCATCTTGCATATGTTATCATGCTAATGGAAGAGTTGAAGCGTTGGGTCAAAGCTGCTACCTTATTCATTGTAACCAGACTTTAGGTTGTAAATTGTAAATTGGAGGTAGACGTAGTTTGTACACCATCACTGTTGTCCAAACACACATACTTTTCTTTCTTGTGAAAGTTCAGGGAGGTGGGGGGAAGGGTTCTGCAAATATTTGATGTTGTTCCAATTAGACTGGAGAAACCTAACTATAGGCTAATAATGTGACATCATTAGCAAATAATAATAATAATTATATATATATATATGGGTCGCAGGTGGCTCTGTGGTGTAAACCACTGAGCCTAGGGCTTGCCAATCGGAAGGTCGGGGGTTCAGATCCCTGCAACGGGGTGAGCTCTCGTTGCTTGATCCCAGCTCCTGCCCACCTAGCAGTTTGAAAGCATGCCAAAGTGAAAGTAGATAAATAGGTACCGCTCCAGCGGGAAGGTAAACGGTGTTTCCGTGCGCTGCTCTGGATCACCAGAAGTGGCTTAGTCATGCTCGCCACATGACCCGGAAGCTGTCTGCGGACAAACGCCGGCTCCCTCGGTCTATAGAGCGAGATGAGTGCCACAACCCCAGAGTCGTCCGCGACTGGACCTAACGGTCAGGGGTACCTTTACCTTTATTATTTATAACCCACCCATCTAGCTAGGTTTCCCCAGCCACTCTGGGTGGCTCACAATCAGATATTAAAAACACAATACCGCATTAAACATTAAAAACTTCCCTAGACATAACTCTAGGTCCAGCTGAGTTGCAAGTTCTGAACCAAACTGGGGGAAACTGAGTGTTAGCTGAGTCAGATTGAGAAGCTCTGCTGCCCTGCCTTAGGCGGCAAAATATTTGGGGCTGTCCCTGGCATGGGAAGCAACTTTCCTTTTCAGGAGGCAACATGTGACTATCTCTGCAAGCATATACACACTTTCCTGGGAGTAAGTCCCACTGAACTTAGTGGGGCTTGCTTATAAGTAGACATGTGTGGGACTTAGGGATGGGTGAATCTTGTCAATAGGGCTGGGCAATATCTAGTTTTCAACATTGTGATGTATCGCCAGGTAAACATCACAATATACCGATACATCACAATGTCTGAAAGAAGAACGGAGCTATGCAGAGGCATTGACTAGCTTCCTGGTTTTTCCTTCATCATGATTTTTGCCAGCGCCTGCTCTTGTAATTCGCTGCCCCCTGCATGAGGCAGGGGAGAACGGAGACGGCAGTTTTAACAGGGGCTGCAGGAATTGAGAGAAGCATTGGCTGGCTTCACAGTTTCCCCCCACATTCTGATTTTTGCATAGCACACACACATCATCACCATCATCGTGATTCGTGATATATTGCCAGGACAAAAATTATATAAACTGATATCATGATGTGGATTTCAAACCAGTTTAGGACAATATATTGATATATTGCCCAGCCCTGCATGACGGTTTTAATTTATCACTTTCCCAATCCTAAATTATCACATTTCCACTTTGGTTTGCAAATCTTTCTTTTTTTTAAAAAAAAAAAAACCCTCATAAAAACCCATCAATGTCAATTTATCCTGCAATACACATTTTTATACTCAAATTTGCCTATTATGTACAGTTGTGCAAAGCAGTTTCCCTTAGCTTTGGAGGATACAGAGGCTAAACAGCTCCCATTTCATGCTAATTGGGCAGGTCTAGGATGCTGGAGAGGAACAAGGGTGGCTCTGTGGTCTAAACCACTGAGCCTAGGGCTTGCCGATTGGAAGGTTGGTGGTTAGAATCCCTGCGACAGGGTGAGCTCCCGTTGCTCGGTCCCTGCTCCTGCCAACCTAGCAATTCAAAAGCAAAGTGCACATAGATAAATAGGTACCACTCCGGCGGGAAGGTAAACAGCGTTTCCGTGCGCTGCTCTGGTTTCGCCAGAAGCAGCTTAGTCATGCTGGCCACATGACCCAGAAAAACTGTCTGCAGACAAACGCCGGCTCCCTCGGCCTATAGAGCGAGATGAGCGCCGCAACCCCAAAGTCGTCCACGACTGGACTTAACTGTCAGGGGTCCTTTACCCTTACCTGGACCCCTGGTCTCTCTCCCCTAGCTGAAGAGAGGACCCCAGCTGTAGAAATAGTAAAGGGTGCTTGACCCACTGCAACTCCAGACCACTACACCATGAACCTTCCCATTGGGAACTACAATTCCCTGGGAAAGGGGATGCCTGTTAACCTAGTTTAAGTCTAAGCAAGAAGATCAAACCTATCCATTCTTAAGGAAATCAGCCCTGAGTGCTCACTGGAAGCACAGGTCCTGAAGCTGAGGCTCCAATACTTTGGCCACCTCATGAGAAGAGAAGACTCCCTGGAAAAGACCCTGATGTTGGGAAAGATTGAGGGCACAAGGAGAAGGGGACGACAGAGGACGAGATGGTTGGACAGTGTTCTCGAAGCTACCAGCATGATTTTGACCAAACTGCGGCAGGCAGCGGAAGACAGGAGTGCTCTGGTCCATGGGGTCACGAAGAGTCAGACACGACTAAATGACAACAACAACAACAGCCCTTCAAAACTAGCCACCCTAGCTGACAGCCCTGTTTTCCTTAGCCACATTTCTCAATGGCAGAAAGGCATTGGAAAGAGTTAACTGAGCCTTTGACTCAGAGACAGGTGATCCAGTTAATTATCTAGCCAGGAAAGCCAAGAGGCTGGAGGGTGGGGCTTGCAAGGCTGGGCTGATTAGAGGGCAGTTGAGTTGGAAGGCGATCCATGGGAAGTCAAGGCTAGAAGGTTCTCCTGATTGAGATTTCTGTTGTTGTTCTCCTTTGTAGCTTTTTTTATTATTGTTCTTTTTTAAAAAATATTACTCTGCCTTGAATCCTACCTGACTTGGTCTCCTGTTGAATTGGCTTTGGACTAAATATGACTCGATTGTAACAGGATTGTTTTCACACAAGAGGGGCAAGGATAACAAGTCTTTTCCCCCCCGCTGGCTTTCCTGTGAGATGCGCCACAGAACGTCTCTGGCAAAGACTGAAAAAGGTAAGTGGGTAGAGGACAGCTGTCTCTTTTCCTGAAGGGCTCTCAAAGCGGCAATGGGGAGTCTCTGGCGCTCCAGAAATTGATGGACTGCTGAGCCTATCGGCACCAGCTTGCAGTGGCGTAGCGTGGGTTGTCAGCACCCGGGGCAAGGCAAGTAATTTGCGCCCCCTCACCCGGTAGGGGCAGAGAGCTGCGCCCCCCCCAGCGAGCGCGCCCCCCCCAGATGTTGTGCCCGGTGCGGCCGGCCCCCCCTGCACCCCCCACGCTATGCCACTGCCAGCTTGTGTACGCAAAGGTCGGGGTGTGTGTGTGGAAGCTGTGCTCCAACAATATCTGTCAGGCCACAGGTTACCCATCCCTGTCTAAAAAAGAACATGTTTTAAATAATCTTTGTTTACTTCCGGGTATAGAATCATAGATTTGTAGAGTGGAAGGGACACTGAGGGTCACCTAGTCCAAATTCCTGCAATGCAAGAATCTCAGCTAAAGCATCCATGACAGATGGCCACCCAACCTCTGCTTAGAATCCTCCAAGGAAGGAGAGTCCACAACCTCCTGAGGAAGACCGGTCCACTGTCAAACAGCTCTTAGTGTCCAAATGTTCTTCCTGACGTTCACTCAGAATCTCCTTTCTTGCAATGTGATGTGTATACTTCTAAGAAGCTTGGTGCAGTAAAAGTATATCTGGCTGGAAGGATTGTCAAATGCTTTTTTACTCCTAACGTTACTGCTGAGTAAGCTTGTGAGCACAGAGATGGCAGGGGGACACTCACAGCCTGGACATTGGGAATAGAGACAGCAATCTAGGCATTAAAAATGGGGGAGGTAGACAAACCTCTGCAGTGTTAACTGCTGATTTCGTAGTCTTGAATTTTCTTTTGCAATGGGGGGAAAGCAGAACTCAAAATATGGTCTTAGTTTTGCAAGTGGGCCCTGAGGCATTTTGGAAGTTTACAAGTCAGTCCCACTTCAAAACATTTGAGTGACGCTGCTGTAAGCAAAGGCCAGGTGGAAACCGAAAGCTGCTTGAGGAAGAGGCAAAGTCTGAAAGCATTTGCAACAAAAATAAAAGGCCTTTAACCTCTGGCGGTACTGGATAAGACAGGCATATTTTCCTGGAGTAGTTTGCGCTTGTTATAACTCTGGTTACTTTAAGGGGAAGGTAACACACCAGAAAGCAAACTTTAAGCAACCATTAGGCTCAATTTACAAACCAATATATGGCTAGATGGGTCTTCCAATGGGGTGGCCATTGCTAAAAAGAGAGAGCATAACATGTAACATTTGCATATGCTAATTTATATGTATAGTTGTAAATTTAGAAATGGCTATAATTTGACATTGCGGGAAAGACTGTAACCTGGGTGTGCCTGCTACCCAAGGGCTCAGGGTTGCTGGGCAATGCGAAGGTGCCTTTTCTCTCTCCTTGAGGTTCTTTAGCCTGGATCCGGACTGGCTAGCCCTCCCAAAAGATGATGCCTTCCAATGAAGAACTGTCCTTTGGCAGCTCTTAAAAAAGAGCTTAAAAAAGACACATGGCCACCCTAGTTTCTGGTCAATGCCTCATGACTGTGGTCAGTTCAGTTTGAGTGTAGCAAACCCTCTGCGCTCATAGTCATTCTACGTGGATCTAGTTCTCCTTATCTGTGGCATCTCTCCTCTCCTAAAGTGCTTTATTGCCTCCTGATGCTCTAAAAAACATCCTTCTGGGGAGGGAGCATCATTCAGTGGGATGTCCTTATGCATGTGATGAGTACATACAATTAAAAAGGGAGCAGGTGATGGATGGGTAATTCCTGCTGGAGACCCTGGATAGCTGCTGCCGGTCAGAATAGGGCAGGGGTGGGCAACCTATAGACATCCAGATGTTGTTGGCTGACAACTCCCATCATGCCTGACCTTGGGCCGTACTGCCTAGGGCAGATGGATTTGGACTGACAACATTGGCCTAGAATGAGTTGGTATAAAGTAGCTTCCTGTATAAAGGCATTGGCTAATCTCCTTGACGCGATGCTAATGAATGTCTTAACTTTACGTTTCAGGTTAAAGCTTGGAATCATTGTTCCCCAGCTGGTCCTTCTCTTTCCCGTGCTTATTGAAGTGGGGGAGGTCTTCCAAAGAGGACTAGCGCCAGATGAAACAACAGACCCATCCCTGAACACTCTTAGACTCCATTGTCATGCTCTTAGACTCCATTGTCAGAATAGAATTCATCTGGTATTGGTTGGATGAGGCTGACAGGTGGATTGAGTATGGGAAAAAGGTGAGGTACCCTTCTTCTCCTGCTGAGCCAAATCTTAATGACTCTCACTGAGTGGTCTCTTTTACTGCCCTTCGTAATAGCACAGCTACCCACCTCCCAGCCAGCAATAGTCCTGCTACTACTTTCACGGCCTTCTCCTCTGGGGGAGTCCAACAACACCTGGAGGGGAAGACTGGCCTAGGGGCTGACAAAGACAAGTCGCAGGAATTATGGGAGTTGTAGTCCAAAACAATTTGGAGGGCATCTGATTGGGAAGGCCAGTTTCAAAGTTTGCTGAAGACTCTTGAAAATCAAAAAGCTCAAAGCCAATGGATACTCTGCTATCTCCCTTTCCAACACCTCTCTGTAGCATTTGGAGCACTGTGCTGCCACAATATCATCGGAAGAATTGGAGGCTGCTTACCAGGCAGACCACACAGGCGTTGTCTTCTTCCATGCTGGTACTCAGCTGTACGAAGTAAATTTCCAAGGTAGTGTATCATCCTCATTAAGGTAGGGGGTGGCATAATGCCCTTCCGATCTCTACATTCACAAAACTTGTTGCTGTTTTTGGTATTTCTGCGTTCTACCCGTCCCAACACAAAAGCGTTGCTAGTTATGAGGCAGCAACTTGTTTCAAGAGAAGACGAAATGAAATTCTCCTGCGTATACCTTGTACTTGCAAAGCTGAAACGCAGTGTTTTTGCTTTCAGTATCTAGCAAGGTCTTGCTGCCGTTCTGAGGCCCAATCACTGCCAGGCGCACAAAGGACAGAGTAAAGGGAGGAGGCAGCTGCAACTAATAGGAAGGCCAACACTTAAACAGAGGAACTGCCCACAACCAAATAAATAACTTTTAAAATTGTGCAGGATGATTGAGAACAGCAGCCTTTAGCAGGAGAGATTCCTCTGACATAACTCTTGACTCCCTCTCTTTTTACCACACTGAAGGTGTTCCATGTAGATACCTTGCCATACAAAAATGGTGCTAGTTTCTGAGAAATTTAACATGTGCTAATCTAAAACATGACTCAGTCCTTGGTCCCATTGTTCATAATAATGATTTCTAAAGCTCGAGAACAAGCTGTTTCATTACAATGTCTTCCTCTACATACACTTTGTCGAGTGAGGGCAAGGACAACCAGATTTTTGAATGTGGGCCTGCTGTAATGCATTGGCTCGATGCAAACCTGGTGAAGTCCACAGAGGACTCTATTGCTGTTCTGCACATAGGGATTTGCATTTGTTTGGATGTGCTTCCAGGCAGTCATTATTCTGTAGGAGAGATTCAAATGCATCCTGGAAACTTAGCTTTGTAAAATTAAAGTGGATTAAATGCACTGCCAAAATAGCACAACAGATCCACTTCAATCAACCAACCAACCAACCAACCAACCAACCAGGACTTTCTATAGTTAGGAATGTGATGGGAACATGCACTGAAAAGTGAGGTGAACAAATGATTAACAGGAAGGTGTATAAAAGATAGTGCAAGCAAATCAGGGCTAGTGTTCATTGTTGTATACCGTATTTTTCGCCCTATAGGACGCACCGTCCCATAAGGCGCGCCTAGTTTTTTGGGGGGGAAATAAAGGGGAAAAAATTATTTCCCCCCCCCAGGCGCGGGGCTGGGGCAGGGGAAGCCCGAGCTTCCCCCGACCCCAGCCCCCAGAACAGGCAACTCTCCACAAGCCGTGGGAGCCCAGCGCCGGGCTCCCGCGCCTTGCGGAGAGCTGCGCGAAGCCTGGAGAGCGAGAGGGGTCGGTGCGCACCGATCCCTCTCGCTCTCCAGGCTTCAGCGAAAGCCTGCATTCACCCCATAGGACGCACACACATTTTCCCTTCATATTTGGAGGGGGAAAAGTGCGTCCTATGGGGCGAAAAATACGGTAAATACCCTGCAAAAAAATGGGTGGGGTGGAAACAAATGCTCAGTAAAGACCTTTCCACAGGTTTTGTGCAAACAAATGGGGATGAATGGTCACTCAGCAGGTCCTTTGGAGTAGCCCTGGTTTTTCTGAAGGTGCACGACCAAAGTGAGAGGAGCTGTATTGTGATCATATCTTAGGGAGAAAGCAGGACCCTGTACTGTTCAGTAGTTCTCTGTAATTAATTCTAAGCTGCTGATGCACATGAGATTTTTAACATTGACCACTACCGTTTCCCTCAAGAGATGGTCCAGAGAAACCTGTACTACCGAACCCGGAGAAGAGTCTGCAGGTGGCCCAAGCTTGTGCTCTTTGGAGGAGGACGTGACAATGAGATGGGGTATTGGATATGTTTTCATTCTCAGCCTAGCTTGGTCAATGTCTACTAAACTGTTTGTGCATATTTGAGGGGGGGGGCAAGATATATTTTTTAAATATTTGACTATGTGACTTGGATTGGGCGTAGATTGCCTCGAATGTCTCCTAGCGGTGGGATAGAAATGTTTCAAATAAAACCTAAATCAATGCATGCAAAGGATATGTGTAAAATAGACATAGGATCCCTTTGGTTGAACCATGGCTACAAGCAGCAGATGAGCAAGGTGAGCTTGCTTCTCTTGTGTTCCATTTTTTAGATGATGGGGGGGGGTATGGTTTGCCAGGTGGGTTGCCAAAAAGAAAACCAGGGCAAGGCCTCCAGGAGCTTCTAATAGAAGGGGCTGCAGGGGCTGACATGGCAAACTGCACACTTCAGAAATTATGCATCCATGCAAGTGATAGAACAATGCCCCTGTGCCTTTTATTTCTTAACCCTACATCTAGCTTAAGAGATCAAACATAATGCAAAAGATGCTTACTTGTATTGAAACTTGAGTTAACTGCTGGGCAAGGCTGGGGCTATATGTGTTGAATATTAGAGGGGAAAGTCTTGATCCTCCAACAATGGAATGAATTGCCTAGTAGTTCAACAGTGGAACCAATTTCTGCTTCCTCTTCTCCCGGCTATTAGATGATTGTTTTGTCTCTTGTCTGCAGCAGTCGTTTTGAGTCTTCTCTTCCCACCCCTTTGTTTCCTTCAAGCTGGGACCGATCAGCATTGCCTAACGTAGGCTATAAGGTATTCACATTTTCCCCTTACTACTACACAGCTGACCAAAGGCCTGTATTGGTACATCTAGCTTGGTTCTGGAGAGCTAGCAGTGGCTCTCCAGGTTTTCAGATGGGGGCATCCCCTGTCCTACCTGGAGATTCCAGGAATTGAACCTAGAGGCTCTGGCATGTAAGCTGATGTTCTGCCACTGAGCTATGGTGCTTTTCAGCTGCTTCCTCTGTATGAAAAGGAGAGCAGCCCACTAGCACAAGAAGAGTAAGAAATGGGTGGCAGTGTTGGAGCTGAGAGCTGAAAGGAGCTGAGTTAAGTACCTGCTCAAGTGAATGCATTGCCAGGTGGCAGACAGAATATAGAGACTGAAGTACTATGGGCTAGTGGTAAAGTTAACATTCTAAAGAGACAATTTTTTAAAAGAAAAACATGAAACATGAAAATGAACAATTTCAATCGGTGCGAAGCAATGTTAAACACAAAACAGGGTTTGTGTTGTTTCAGAAGAGTGATGTATAAATGTGAGAAAATAAATGTCTGAAAACAAATATGGAATGGTTCATTTCACTATGATTTGTGCCTAGCTGGTGGAGATCTCTGATTCTGCTGAAGAATACAATGAAATTAAGGAACTCTTTCAGAAGACCATGGAGGGTTATGTTATCCACCGACTCCAAAGGATTCAGAACCCGTCTCTTTGGCAAGTCTTCCAGTGGTTCGTATTTGATTTCCTTCTCCTCCAAGGGATGGGAGATCATGGTATGAGAGTCTAGAAATGGTTTCGTCTCTTTTTGTGGTGAAGGGGGGGTACTACTATAATTGGCTATGACTCCTTACTTGACTGCTATTCCTCGATCATTTGGTGGGAATTCAAATTTTGCAGCCTGGTGTCACAAATATGTAGCTGGCCATGGATTATATTTTGAGGGAAGCACATTGATATTTCTTTGTCATGTTTCAGTCATACAGAGGTTGACTTGCCCCTACAGCATCCACCTGGGCATTCAAAGCAGCATCAGCACAGACTGGAGGATTATGGGGTACCATTATCCAAAGGGATTCCATCTCACTCACCAGGATACCCATCCATGCCAGTGTTGGGATTAGTGTTTGGGACACAGTGGCCACCCAACCTGCTGCCCAGTAGCATCCCTACATGAGTTGGCAGTGGTGGTCTCAGGTGTTGGAGAACTCCCGGACAATTGTTCTGGAGGATTTATTTAAATATGTGACTAGTATCACATGTAGGTTGCCTCTGAAGTAATCTCTTACAGAATCTGACCACCATTCTTTCCAAGAATCCCAGCAAACAGCAGCCTTCCTCAACCTGATTCCTTTCCAGATGTTTGAGTCTACAGCTCCCATCTTCCCTGACCATTGGCCGTGTTGACTGGGGCTGATGGAAGCTGTTGTCCAAAATGTTTGGAGGGCACTAGGTTGGGGGAGTTTGCACTAAGTGGTCTAACAGAAATTGGCCAGTGGCTGCCTAGTGACCATAATCTCTACCACCACCCAGTTCAGCTATAGGAGATAGAATGAGCAGTGAAAACTAGCTGTAAGTTGTACTCCAAAGGTGAGACTGTGCAATCTTGGCAAAGCCTTCAGTCCACAGCAGTCTGATGATTCCCTTGGCTAATGGAAGTGCCCATAATAAATTATTATTCTTAGCCCACCCATCTGTCTGGGTTTCCCCAGCCACTCTAGGCGGCTTCCAACAGAACACTAAAAACAGTATAAAACTTCAAATATTTAAAACTTCCCCAAACAGGGCTGCCCTCAGATGTCTTCTAAAAGTCTGATAGTTGTTTGTTTCTTTGACATCTGAGGGGAGGGCATTCCATAGGGCGGGTGCCACTACCGTGAAGGCCCTCTGCCTGGTTCCCAGTAACTTCGCTTCTCATAGTGAGGGAACTACCAGAAGGCCCTTGGTGCTGGACCTCAGTGTCTGGGCTGAATGATGGGGGTGGGGACGCTCCTTCAGGTATACTGGGCCGAGGCCGTTTAGGGCTTTAAAGGTCAGCACCAACACTTTGAATTGTGCTCAGAAATGTACTGGGAGCCAATTTAGGTCTTTCAGGACCGGTGTTATGTGGTCTTGGCGGCCGCTCTCGGTCACCAGTCTAGCTGCCACATTCAGGATTAGTTGTAGTTTCTGTGTCACTTTCAAAGGTAGCCCAATGTAGAGCGCATTGCAGTAGTCTAAGCGGGAGATAACCAGAGCATGCACCACTCTGGCAAGACAGTCCACAGGCAGGTAGGGTCTCAGCCTGCATACCAGATGGAGCTGGTAGACAGCTGCCCTGGACACAGAATTGACCTGCGCCTCCATGGACAGCTGAGAGTCCATAATGACTCCCAGACTGCACCTGGTCCTTCATGGGCACAGTTACCCCATTCAGGACCAAAGAGTCCTCCACACCTGCCCACCCCCTGTCCCCCAAGAACAGTATTTCTGTCTTGTCAGGATTCAACCTCAATCCATTAGCCGCCATCCATCCTCCAACCACCTCCAGACATAAAGGTTTGCTTGGTGTAGAATTTGGATTTTAATGTAGAGTATACATAGTTACAATATAGTAAGCTGGTAGATCTTGGGAAAGTAATTATTTGACTACTCTGCTAGAAAAAAAGTGTATAAAATTATGCTGGCAAATGTGTAAACAGACTTGCTGATCCTTTCATTGCATTGCCTGAGAGCTGGTTCAAGGAAAGGAGTTTTAATTCTTGGGCGCATTGAGTTTGACTCGGAGTGTGTGTTTATTTTTTTATAAAGTAGATGCTTCTGTTTCTAGGCAGAAAGAGCAGATGAAGAAGATGAATGGGGGGGACAAGGTAGACGAAAGGTTATTGTTCCATGGCACCAGCAAACGCCATTTGCATGACATCTGTGGGCAGAACTTTGACTGGAGAATCTGTGGGACCCATGGGACTCTCTATGGAAAAGGTACCAATTCAGAGCGGGCAGGAAATGTGCATAGCTGTGCATGTTTTCTCCATCTAGTGTGCAATGAACCTGAGAGGAACACACACACAAATTGCAAGGACCGTACCATACCCTGTCTATAGTCTGATATTAAGTCGTCAGCAGAATTTAATCCTTTCCAACACCAATCAAGTACAAAAAAGTGTGTTTGTTGAAAGTCCGCAGCAACGTGGAAGGCTTAGGGGACCTTGGTGATTCTTCTTTTGCCAACTGAATATCTGTGATTGAATGATCTCCTATATCCACTTGCTTCCCTGCCCCTCCTCTTCAGAAGTCTACTCTCCACACCTTTGTGGTTGCCCTGTGCAAGTCACCAAATGGGCTGGCATTGGAGGTAGGCAGAGAAAGCTGCTGTGTGAGCACAAAGGCAAGAGAATATCACAGTGAACAAAGCACACACCCTGCATCCAGAACAGCCTCAATGGGCTATTTTGGAGGGTCCCCCCCACACCAAGGGTTTCCATGAGCCTGTTGATACTCCCTGTTGGGTGTGGATGATGCTATTTTGGCTATGTGAGCAATGGCACTTGCAATGGAAGATCGAAAAGGAAGGGCGTGGTCTAAAATGTTCAAGATGATTATTTGTGCAGCAAACTCACATTGGCTTGCTTGATTCTTACAGACATCTCTTCTTTCAGGAAGCTATTTTGCCAGAGACGCCAGTTACTCACATGCATATTGCCAGTCGGATACCCACATCAGGAGCATGTTTGTAGCTAAAGTTCTGGTTGGAGATTACGTTCAAGGAAATCCTGCTTACCTCCGCCCTCCATCGAGATCTAACCAATCGAACAACTTTTATGATAGCTGTGTGGACAACGTTCTTGATCCTTCTATTTTTGTCATCTTTGAGAAGTATCAGATTTACCCAGCATACATATTTGAGTATCAGCCAGTGTCCCATTGTGTGGTCATGTAAAGGGCAGCAATCCTCCTCCTCTAAACATGGACTTGAAATCCTTTTTTATATATCTAAAACTTTAACGATTTCTTATTTAAAAGGCTACTGTGATTTATTTTACTTCTGCATATTAAAAACGTTACATGTTACAAGTGAACAACCCATATTCTTAGCTGGATTGTTGGCATTGCTTAAAGGTTACTGGAGCTGAAAGGTTTTTGAGGGCCCCATGCTGACCACACCCATCTGGCACCACTCCTGACTGCTTGTATAATTGACCATTGCCTTCACTCTAAAGCAGGAGTGGGAAAATTGTGGCCCTTCAAATGTCATTGGGACAATTCCCATCAGCTCCAGACTGCATAACCCAGAGCTTCCCAAACTTGGGTCTCCAGCTGTTTTTGACTACAACTCCCATCATCCCTAGCTAGCAGGACCAGTGGTCAAGAAGGATGGGAGTGACTGGAGGCCCATTGGTCCCCCAGGCCTGCTCTAAAGTGTAGCCAAAGGTGGCTTTGGTCCATAAGTCCTTTTATATTCACATAAGATGGGCACAAGTGCCAAAAAAACATACAATGAAGGAACATTCTGATCTTGAAGATTCCTTTTTTTACTAAGTAAGCTACTCCAAATTTCACATCCAGTTTTGCTTTGAATGATTGCCACCATCATACTATGTTTCCTAACCTTGCATCCAACTGTTCAAGTTCATCAGAGATTTAATCGAAAATGTTCTTTAATGTTTGTTACACAAGGCAAAAATTTGAGACAGCAAGTCAAAGAGAGATCCTCCGTCTTATACGAAACAAAAACCACAACACCTTGGCTCTCCTCCATCGCAATAATAGTGGCAGTTGAACACTGACTTGAAACTACTCTTCTGAGTGGCCCTGATTATCCACATTTATCTTGGACAAATTGTGGAGGGTTGGCATAGGAGAAATCTAGGGACTTGCAGAAAGATTACAATGATGCTGTTACTAAATTCAAAGCTAAAAGATAACAAGGAACAAAGATCACTAAAACCAAGCACACGGTAGTGGATGCACCATTTTCAGTATTCATCGTGAAAAGGATACTCTGGATGGTCCTGCCACCTGAAACAAATTGAAGTCACAGTTAATAGTGGCAGCTAACACCATAAATAACCACAACAGCAACATCCCTCCACCTTGACCTCAGGCTTGCTATTGGTATGATCTACTGCAGGGGTAATAGATGACCTTTCCAGATGTTTTGAGCGGGAACTCCCATCAGTCACAGCTGTGGTCTGTGGTAGAGTATTGTGGGAGCTGTCGTCCAAAACATCTGAAGTGATCATATTTTATGTACAGTGGTACCTCGGGTTAAGAACTTAATTTGTTCCGGAGGTCAGTTCTTAACCTGAAACTGTTCTTAACCTGAGGTACCACTAATGGGCTCTCCTGCTGCCACGCGATTTCTGTTCTCATCCTGAAGCAAAGTTCTTAACCTGAGGTACTATTTCTGGGTTAGCGGAGTCTGTAACCTGAAGCGTCTGTAACCCGAGGTACCACTGTATTTCAAGGGTTATTTCTTCAAGTATTGCAATTAGGGTTGCCACCTGTCCTTTATAATATGGGGTGGTTCCTTATTTTAAGGGAAAGTGTGGGACTCGTCCCTTATTTTGGCTGACCAAAGGTGGCAACCCTAGTTGCAAGCAGTCCGGAATGTTTTCTTTTAACTGGAAGGTAGGTGGAGAACATTTTCAAATCCCTAGAGTATGGCAATTTGTTGCCTCCAGAAAGAAGTCCCCACACAGAACTAAATGCACCATTTTGAACAGAAAAGGTGATCTGTGCTTAATATGTATGCTTTAAAACTTGGTACAAACAGGCCACCTGCAATATGAAGGATCCATTAGAGTAAGTATTCATATGTAAAAAGATGATTTTACTTATCAAGACACAATCTTTGAATCTGAGAAGGTTTTTTAAGCACAAGTGTTTGGCTTTTGGAGAAAACATGGGTCAGTTTGGGTTATTAAGATCAAACATCTGATTTTCACTAAGGATTCCCTGACTATATGTGGTACAAAGTGTAGCCAAACCCTGCATGTATCCCAACTCCTTGAGTCAGCAAAGGATAAACTTATCTGGCTCTCATTTCTGTTGCCTCTTTCTCCCTCTTCCACTATGAACTGGCAGGCAGCCCATCCAAACCTGGCTGCACCCTCTAATTGAACTGCTGGGACTCAAACCTGGATGAGTTCGGTTTGGTTATGTAAGGGGACATTAATGTCCTGACTGGCTTCCAGGAGTCTTGGGAGTGATGATGTTAAAGCTGGCATCTACTGGTGCATTTGTTTTGCCAAGGCCGTTTCACTGGAGACTTCAGTCGTGCAAGTCCTTGGGCAAGAGCTAGCCAAATGTAATACAATACCATGGGCTCCTAAAGCTGCATTGCAAGTGACCAACTTTCCACATTTCCTAGAACACATGAGGGATGTTCACAAGTTTCAGGATCAACAGAATGGCCATGTTAGGGATCTGCCAGCAAACTGGAGCATAGCTGTGATTCCCAGCTTACTTAAGGCAAGGAAGCACATCGTCTTGTGCAGGAGGACAATGCTTTGACTTAAGAGCTCCCAATCCATGTAATGAAGAAGACAGATCAGCTGCAGCTAGTCTGGACAGACCTAAGAGCATAAAGGAGCTAAGCTACCAGTACTGTCTGGTGAATGGTTTATGGCAGGTGGGGAACCTAAGTCCTACCAGATGTTGGACTACAACTCCCATCATCCTCCAATGGGCCATGTTGAATAGGGCTGATGACAATTGGAGTCCGAGACACCTAGAAGGTAGCAGGTGCCCCATCCCTGGGTTATAGGGAACACATTCCTGTAAGAATCCAAAGCAATTGGTTGATATTTCTAGGGCCAGGGACCGTCAACTTTCAGTGGTGCCTTATGCAATGCAAAATCCTTCATTCTGCAGAATGTTTTGGCACCGCCTGTAGTGCAGTGCCACCTAAAACCACCTTTGCAGGGACTGAGAGAGAGAGAGAGTGGAAGTCATGCATGTGTGAGAAGCAGCCTATCAAAGGGAAAATCTTATCCAAAGCCAAAGAGGCCCTCCCTCCTTCCGTAGAGTGGGTTTTTGGGTCCTGCACTGAAAACATCAGGAAAGGCCCCAGCCCACAGTTAAGCTGCGGTTATCACATCAGTACAACTCATGCTTCTACATGCTGCATATCTAGATTTATACTTACATTAACATCTCCACGTAGCGGATATTTTTGTTCAGCGCTTCAATCTCTTTCATTTCTTTGTCAGTAAGGGAAAAATCAAAGATCTTGGCAAAAGAGAGAGAGAGAGAGAGAGCGAGAAACCACCCATTAGCCTACATTTATGCAACTGATGGCTAAGCCTGTGTCTTAAGTGTGGGCTTGTCCACACTGACCTTTTGCCCTGCTCGTTCCGGACTTTAGCGCTCCATGTCTGTCAATTTGGGTTTTCTGCAGATTGACGTTTGCTCTGATTGAGCTTTACAGAGCATGTTTTTGTGGAGCAAAACAAAGGGTGCTCAGACCTAGGGCTTTAAATTGAGAGCTGTGCCCTTAGCCTCGCCTCTGGCCTAAAAGGTGATGGATGCTGGACGGCAGGCACACCCTCATTCTCGCAGCCCCTGCAAAAGGATCACACGAGCAGCACATGATAGTAAAGTTTGTGGTGGAATGAGAGCAGCCATAAGGGCCATAGCTCAGTGGCAGAGCATCTGCTTTGCGTGCAGAAGGTTCCAGGTTCAATCCCCAGCATCTCCAGGTATGGCTGGGAATGCCTTAAATCCTGGAGAGGCGCTTCCAGTCAATGCAGACAATACTGATTCAGGTGAGCCAATGGTCTGATTCAGTATAAGGTAAATTCCTTAACTAACCAGAATGGAGGACAAATTCATGCATGGGCACTCAATATTTGATGACTTGCATAGGGATCATCTAGTCCAGTTCACAAGTACCCTGCAAGGTAGGTTAGACTGCGAGTTTGTGACTGACCCGATTTCAGCCAGTGAGCTTCAATCCCAAGAAAAGATCTGAATCTACAGCAAGCCAACCACTCTGTTCCCTACGCCAGAGTGGTGGGCTTGCTGTAGATTCAGATCCTCAGATCCTTATTATTTTGGAATAAAGGCAGGTACAACTCCACCGAGGGCCGCAGCATGTGGAAGAAGGCATTATGGAGTGCCCCAGGACCAGAGGGAGAATCACCCAAAGGAGAAAAGCCATCTGTGGTCCCTCCAGTGTTCACTGGTATTCAAGAAGTGGGCTAAGATCCACTGCTGGGTTGTATCCTGGGCCAAGATTATATGCCAACGGCAATACTATCATCAAAGTAAAAAAACAACAACCGAAAGTGGGTCCCAAGCACATGGCTGGGCTAAAGGCAGGTCCCTGGTTTGAAAAAGTTGAAGAAAACGGAAGTTGACAATTAATGTATTGGTTTTGTTTTTGTAACGGTGGAAGTTGTTTTTAAAAAATGGGGGGGGGGGTAGAATTGAACTGGTTGAAGACTGCAGACATGGAGTGCTATTTCTGCCTTGTTGTCAAAGACCCTTTCGGAAGTTGCAAGGCTAGTGGGCTTTGCTACCTTCTAGTGAGGTGGGGAGAAAGAACAGCAGGTGATTTGTCACACAGAGCAGGCTTTTTTGAAAGCTTACCTGGAAGTTCTCTCTAATGCGCTCTGCGGTGAAGCTCTTAGGGATGACCACCACCCCTCGCTGGATATTGAAGCGGAGCGCCACTTGGGCCGCCGTCTTGTTGTATTTTTCTCCAATGGCCTTTAACACAGGGTCCTCCAGCAGCGGAGGGGAAGACACATTCACCCTTGTTGTAGGAAAGGAAAGGAAATAAGCCTAGATTTGCCTTACATGGCAGTCTGGTGGCAGAAGAAGAATTGCCGTATTTTTTGCACCATAACACTCACTTTTTTCCTCCTAGAAAGTAAGAGGAAATGTCTGTGCATGTTATGGAGCGAATGCCTACAGGTGGCGGGGGGATCTGCTGCAGTCGTGAGCAGAGGATCCATGGTTCCCCTTCCTTCCCTCCTCCGTGGCTCACTTTGAAATAAGTGTGTAAGCGGCTCCTGTCTGGTTGGCTGCTTTAAACTGTGCTCTCTGTCCCTCTCTCCTCCCCACTCAGCTCGCTAAATAGCAGCAAAGCTTTTCAGCTCTCTAAGCCGGGGAGGAGGGAGAGAAGCAGAGCCTGCTTGTTTTAAAGGAGCAAAGCGGGAGAGGAGAGGAGCCTTCTCCTCTTATACCCCTCTTCTGCATTATTAACAGCATCCTTCTCTACCCACCCCACGCGTGTTCCTTGTCCCTTGAGTGCTTTTCCTTCCCTCCCCACTTAAAACGTGGTTACAAAGCACGGATCCACATGGATCCTCAGGATTTTTGCATTGGGCTACCCCAAACTCACCGTCAGATCACATGTCTTTGGCCACAGCATGAACCACAAAAATCATACATCCACTGTTTCATTTGGAATATTTTTTTTCTTGTTTTCCTCCTCTAAAAACTATGTGCGTGTTATGGTCGGGTGCGTGTTATAGAGCGAAAAATACGGTAATGGGGGTGTGAAGGGACTGAAGCAAGACCAAATCAAGTTGTTACATGGTTTTGAAAACCACCCTGCTGAATGCATCCGCAGGCAATATGAGTGCAATACAGCTGGTTTTTAAAGTGGGTCGCCTTGCCTATGCAGGCAGTGTGAGAGTAGCATACTGATGATCTTTGGACCAGGTGAGGACCATGCTTACAGATTTCAAACCAATTTAGCAACAGATGGAGCAGCAAGAGAACAATGTGGACCCTGCAGCAGAGGAAAGAAGGTGAAGTTGTCTCCAGCAACAATTCCCATCATCCCTGACCACCGATCATGGTGGCTGGGTCTGATGGGAGTTGGAGTCCAACCACATCTGGAGGTCTATAAGTCCCCCACCCCTGCTCTAATATTCCTAAACACAACATCTCACTCACCAGCTTTCATCTCTTGATGTTCCTAGAGGGCTGTATCCGACAAGGACAATGTCATGTTGTTTGCAAAATTCTAAAAGTTTGGGCTGGGTGAAATATGGGTGGCATTCAATCTGCAGAGACAGAATGCAGAAGGCTGGGTTAATGACAAAATGTCCCATCAAGAAACCTTGTTCACAAAGTCAACATGTAAATGCCTGTAATTCCCCCCGGGGAATGATTTTCAGTGGGGAAAACTGCTGGAGGCGAAACAGGCCCTTCTCCCCTCATTTCCACACAACCATTTCAACCTGCCTGGATAACTAAACTCTTGACTAGAGCTCACCATGCTGTATGATGAAGCCATCCTGCTATAGCAAGGACGGGGAACCTCTGGCCCTCCAGGTGTTGTGGGGCTACAACTCCCATCATCCCCGATTAACGGTCATAATGGCCAACAAGCATGACCACCGATCAGGGATGATGGGAGTTGTAGTTCCACAACATCTGGAGGGTCAGAGGTCCCCAATCCCTGCCTTATATCTTTGCCACAAATACAGTCCCATTATAAAGCTGTGAAAGGTTTGGGGATAAAATTCTAAGGAAGGAGGGAGAAAACTGGCTTCTCTCAGGGTTCTGCAAACTTTTGTTGACCCCGGGAACCATCTACATGGGCCAATGTTTCATAGATTTAAAAGTATCTATTCCATGGAGCGGTCCCAATTTATCCCAGGACTGATTTATTGTTTGTGAAGTTTATTGCAAGGCTGGTCCCAGTAAAGCACAGCTTCTAGCCCATGTGAATCCTCCTTTGCTCAAACTGGAGCCTCTGGAAGTGGGGATGAGAAAAGGCTTCAATAAGGCTAGCTTATTCAACTGTAAGCTTATGTTGGTGGAACACACTGACCTCATCCAGTTGCCAAGAAAACTGTGTTCCAGCCCTCTCTCTCATTCTCTCAGTGGGTTTTGTCAAAAAAGTGCAGAGTGCTCAGAAATCCATTGTCTCCTAGATTATTCTTTTATAATCGGATCCACAATCTGCTTTTTTTGATGACACAGCTTTTGTAGCTCCAGAATGTCTCGTGTACAGTTCTTATTCAACAAGAAATGGAGCCAAATGTGCAAAGGAGTGGGCTGCAATGATTTACTGTCCTCCATTTTAAGGTGTCTTCTGCTTAGAGGGATCTCCAATTCAAGTCCAGTTTAAAGAAAAAGATCACTAAGATGGGAGAACAGGATGGGCCTGGAAGTTGCCCATCCATAGAGAGCACCTCAGAGGCAAACTGAGCAGGTCACCTGGTCACAGTGACTCTCGGTACGTTGGCTGGGTGAGTTTGTATACACAGTGGTAAACATGTAGTTGGGGAAGTCCATCCATGATTGGCTATGACCACTGTTGACATTTGGTACTTGGTGGATTGACCAACCTTGAGTGCAGCCCTCAGGTTAGCCACCCCTGTCCTAGAGACCGGCTGATTGACACATAGCCCTGTTGCTGCCTGCAGTTTTCACTCTTGTGCCAGCCAGTTCAGGTCTTTTAGCTCTCATTTCCCCCATATCTTCTCCCTTCATGCAGTTACCAAGTAGTTGCTCTTCTCATTTCTTTCACCCACATAAAGATATTGTGTTTTTGTGCTCGAAACAGACAGGTTAGGCTAAGCGTCATATAGGATTGCCTCACTGCAGTTTATGAGTCCATGGAAAATGAACTGAGATTTAAAAATTATGATCATCCTTCTAGCCTCTTTCCTTCCTCCGATCTTTTCCAAAGAGCTGATGGCAATTCACAATATCAGTCATCATGTTATCCTTATTATTGTAATGGCATGTCAAATATTTTCACTGATGAATATAGGGACAAGTTAGGGAATACATAGTTTGTGGGGAAGGGGAGAGAGAGGACTGGAGGTGCATGATTTCTGTGATATGGATTTGGTGTAAAATGAGTGGGGGTGGGGAGAGAAAAATAAGTAAGGGTGTCTGAATGAATGAAGGTCTACCGTGCCACAAGTGGGAATCAAAGGTGGGCTGAAGGCTGCCACACTCAGATCCTATTTGTGAGCTTCCCATAGGGATCTGATTGTGAGAACAAGATGCTATACTAGGTGGGCTCTCATAGAGTCATATAATTGTAGAATTGGATAAGACATGCAACATATTTAGGTAGAGAAAGATGAGTGGAAGAAGAGACATGAGTGCATTTGTGAGAGAGGGGGAAGAACTCTTGGGTAAGATGTATTTTAGGTTTTTTTGGTGGGGGGATATGATTATAGGAGGAAGGAGAGGTGCTGAACGTGAGCCCAATGCTACTCTTGTTGCCCAAAGGGCCCAACAACAATCTGATACTGGCCTTGCATCTTTATGATCTGAAGTGGGGCAGGTTTAAGATCATTATGCACCATGTCTGAAATTACTTAACCACTCATACACTCAGCCATCTGAAGCCATGAATATGCTCACCACTGGGTAGTTCCCTCAGCATAAGACCATATGAAGAGCCTGGCCCATCTGGTCCAGCCTCCTGTCCTCACAATGCCCAACCAGATGCCTGTGGGAAACCTGAAAGCAGGACCTGAGCATAAAAGCACACTCTCCTCCTCTGGTTTGCAGTGGCTGGTATTCAGGAGCATTACTGCCTCTGACTCTGGAAGCAGAGCACAGCCGTCATGGCGCAGCTGCAAGATCATAAGAATGGTCCATACAAGATGCTTTGGTACTCTGATACGTCACCCAAGTACCAAAGGCATACAGTGCATGTCAGATGATGTGAAAGCAACAAGATGCATGCTCATGTCACTGCATCACCTGCACATCTCCATTACCTGGTTGCTGACAGGCTTGTGCTTGAGTCCCGGTTTGTTGAGGATCATCTCCAGCTGCCTACGGTTGAAGTTGGACACCCCAATGGACTTCATTAGCCCTGCGTCTTTACATGCTTCCAAAGCCTGTTGGGATAAAGCAGGCAAAACTGTGGGAAGGCAGCCGAGTCAAAGATTTATAGCAATTCCCCAAGGAGGGAGGGAAGGAGGTAGGGGACTCAGTAGCAACTAAGTGAGGAAAGAGCCAGGATGTAGAGGAGGACAGGAGAAGGCCAAGAAGCTTCTGCAGGGGGCAGACTTTGCTGAAGAAATAGCCTTTGATCAAGAACTTAAATAAGGAAAGACTAGGAAGTGATTTACCTCCACAGCAGAAAAGGGAAAGGGGGAAAGGAAGAAGGAAAAAACTAATAGGCAGAACAGTGAGATAGAGTGTTGAAGGGAAGGTCAGATGAGAGAGGGGAGATAAGGCCCTAAATCTGAGGTAGTCTTCATGGAGCCACAATTCTCCAAAGCAAAGCTAGCTTGGGAGCACTGTGAGGAAGTACAGCAGTGTCAAAATCCAGACCTACTCGACATTGTTCAGCAGCCTCAGGCCAGAAAAATGAAGATAAAGGTAACCAGCTAAGCTGGCCAGGATCTCTGATGGAGGAAGGGGCGTGAAGTCTGCCCACACCTGGCCTTAGGAGATGCAAAGATGATGGTCCCACGGCAGCTTCAGATCTACTCACCTCCCAAGTGGCACATAGGTCTGTCTCATGGTACATCCATTTCCCATTTTCATCCTTTGGGTAGAAGCGCTCTCCAGGCTGAGGGGAAAAGCACACACAAAAATATGTTTGTGGAAGAGAAATCCACAATGCATAAGTATTCTGTTTTTTTACTTTCCAGGGGAGAGGCAGTGGGTACCTTGGAAAGACAGAAAAGTATGTGTAGAAGCAGGTGGTAAGTGATTAAAAGGATGTCACATAGAGGAGGGAGAAAGGTTGTTTTCTGCTGCTCCAGAGAAGCGGACACGGAGCAATGGATCCAAACTACAAGAAAGAAGATTCCACCTAAACATTAGGAAGAACTTCCTGACAGTAAGAGCTGTTCGACAGTGGAATTTGCTGCCAAGGAGTGTGGTGGAGTCTCCTTCTTTGGAGGTCTTTAAGCAGAGGCTTGACAACCATATGTCAGGAGTGCTCTGATGGTGTTTCCTGCTTGGCAGGGGGTTGGACTCGATGGCCCTTGTGGTCTCTTCCAGCTCTATGATTCTATGATTCTATGATTAAATTGGAAAGAAAGCACATATAAGAAGAAATGTGTACTTAGGTTAACAGAAAATGGACATGGAGGCTGGGCTTTGTCATCTGAAGGTGAAATGTACCTCTATTGCTTGAACACATGTACCAAATTTCATTCTGAAATTCCAGTGGTCTTCAGAGATCTCACATTACAAAACAAACTACCTTTTGCAAGTTTGCTTCCTTGATTCCCAAGACGGGGCTTGGGCTTCAAGTGACATCTGATTTATTTTAACAAGTTACACTCTGCCTTTTGATCAAAATTATATCCAAAGCAATTTACAATACAATACATTAAAACAGCACACACACAAAATAATAATAACAGCAACATCCTTTTTCTGGCCAGCAGCCAATGCCTGCATGCCTTTCTATGCTCATTCACACATTGCTCTGAACCCATGTACAAGCATGCTGGTTTCTCTGTTATCCCACCTACACACATACACCTGGTTGTTTACTACATAGCAGCCAGGGAGGTGATTTTCAGCAGGAAACCAACACACACCCTGATCTGCACTGGGTGTAGGGCATTGAACTGGGATTTTCTATGAAAAGAAAAGTGTCAGCATGAAGCCTGCTTTTTAAAAAGAGCAAATTTAGTAATGTGTAGCTCGGCCCTTAGAAATGACTGTTGGAGCGTTGTGGGATTTGCGGGAGGAGAGGAAAAGGACTGGAAAAAATTCCACGGAGTTGTCAAGATCTGAGGGTACAAACATCAAAGAATCATCTGCCTAAAGGAATTCCTGTTTGCCTCCCCTCATACCCTGCTTGTATGTTTGCAAGGAATGCATATTCTACACAGAAGCTGTATGTCTCCAGTCCTTGCTTGCCAACACTACAGACAGAATGTTGAATGAGCAAGTCGTTAAACCAAAGGTCTCGCTTTGCTTGGCCAATTAAAAAATTCATGGCAAATTTATGTTTTTATAAATTAGTGTGTGCAACTTACCCTATATGCAAATCTGCCTCCGTGTGTGTGTGTGTGTGTGTGTGTGTGTGTGAGTGAGAGAGAGAGAGAGATGCATTTTGGGTGGTGAGGCAGTGGCCTTTCTACCTGTAAATGTGAAGTTTACTCCAGGTATTCTTCCTAGTTCAGACTGGAACACACTAACACACTAGGAGGAGCTCTAACACAACTTTTCTCTTTACCTTAAAAGCCATCGGCAGCTCAATAATGTAGAGATCAACGTAGTCAAGCTGCAAGGTCTTCAATGTCTTCTCCAGAGTTGGACGCACCAGCTCTGGGGGGTGGCATGTGTTCCACAGCTTGAGGGAGAAGAGGAAGAAAACATAAATAAATGCGATAGAACCTTCACCGCAAGAGAACAATTATAAATAGCAAGGTTACAACAAAAACCATTCTTTCATGGAATTCTCCATGAACAATAATTGCAACAGCAGTAAGGAGTGCTTGAAGTCAGATGATCCATTTTTCCTTTGCTTGAGCTCAGGATCCCTGCTGAAAGATGGCTTAATGTCAGCTATCCATGGTGACTGCCTGCTCTTGGCAAGGATTGGCTGCACTTGGGAGTTCCCAATTGGAGAGCACACGTTAAGTATCCTGATTGTTCCTTTGAACCCATGACTTTATCTGCGTGATCTCATATATGAAGGGACAGCTCTGGAGATAATTGCCTCATAGCCAAAATTAGACCTGCTGGGCCAAACTAAATCCCAACACTGATGTATCTAGCAAAAGGAATTTTAGGTCACGAGAGTGTTTGCCATAGTAAATTGTTAGCCTTTATGGTGCCACAAAACTCTTTGTTCTTCTTTCATGGCAGTCCAGAAGTAGCCACTTCAACAGAAGTAAACTGTACTGCTGCAATCCTACACCCAGTTACCTGAGAGTAAATCCCATCTAACTAAATGAGGCTTACTTCTGAGGAGTTATGGATATGGTTCTGCTGCAGGAATAGGACCCAGTTCTTGGCTTCATTTGATCATTTTCAAAGTGTGCATGAATAGCAGCTCCAGAAAACAAAAACAAAAACCCTTTCTAGGAAAGGCTATGAACTCTGGGTTATTCTTTGCATTGTAAATATTAGCTTCTTGTTTCATAATGGGTCTTCTCTCTTCCCAACTCTTTTGTTACTATTTGTGTTCAAGAGGATCTTCTCAGTGCACATAGCAGTCATGTGTCAATAAGTGAGAGCACCAGGTACCTGCCAAATTATACTTTTGTCCCAGGACATCACTTTCTCTGCAAACATTGCTTTCAACTTAATGAAATAGAAGAACTATTGGGGTGGGGGTGGGGAGGAGCAGCCAAACAACCAAAATTTCTGGCAGTGTAGGAACATGGGGGGTGAGGTGGGGGTTGGACCTTCAAGTTCTTTGCATGCAATAAAATAAAATAAAATAATGCTTTGCTTTGAGAACTGTGCCAGAATACAGATGCCGCTGCTTTCAGTCAGCAAATAATTTTTGATTGTGCACAATTATCCTGGCACTTGCGAGTTTGGAATAATTTCTGATGAGTCAGTTGCCAAACTTCAGCTCAACCTTCTTCAAGCTGCCACACTGCAGATGTTGTTGGACTACAACTCCCTTCATCCTCAGCCACTGGCCCAACTGAGTGAGGGTGATGGGAGCTGGAGTCCAAACCTTCTGGAGGGCAAGGCATTATTGAAAGCTGCTTTAGAATTTCTACAGATTTCAGAGATCTAGCTGTTTTGAGTAAAGATAGTTAGAACTGGATTATTAAAGTGCCCTTTGTCCTGCTTATCATCAAAACCTAAGAATTCTAAACAAAACGCTTCCATAAATAGATGGTAACAATCGTAATTATGCAGAAGGAAAAGGAACAATCATATTATCTAGAAATATTCCAACAAACCAACACACTTGTCACTTATAATAGATTGTACAGTGGAACCTTGGTTCTCGAATGGCTCAGTTGACAAACAAATCGGCTCCCAAATGCCAAAAATCTGGAAGTAAGTGATCCGGTTTTCGAACATTTTCCGGAAGCCGAACGTCCGATGCGGCTGTCGGCTATTGTTTCCGGGGTGCCTGCGCCAATCAGAAGCCATGCCTTGGTTTTCTAACATTTCGGGAGTCAAATGGATTAAGTTCGAGAGCCAAGGTTCCACTGTATTAGACCAATAATCAGCAACTTAATATATCCCTTTCCACATCCACACAATGCATTTAAAGCACTCTTACCCCACTTTCTGACTTAACATACTATAGAGCGCTGACCTCACAGAGCTAAAATTTCCAGCACTTTTAACAAAGTTCAGTTCCCAGGATTCTCCATGAATGTTGAGATGATATAAGGTGGGGTTTTTTAATGTATCATGTGGGCATAGCCAATGGTATCTCAAGGAAAATTCTCTACCAGTTTTTTAAACTCAAGATTTTTCTTGTATGATCTGATAAGGGATCTAATAAGGTCCCTGATAAGGGACCCATTACAGTAAGATTTTATTATTTTGCAGGACTTTCCAGTGTTTTGTTATGACAGTGCTTGCAGCTGTTAATGGTGGTGCTAGATATTTTGTGACAATCCTTTCGTTTCCTGTACAAGTTTCCAAATGCTGCCGAGTTAGGCAACTCTACAGTTGATACTTGTGTCACTTTGGTGGGGAATCTGCAGCTGCAGTGAAGACGATTGCCCCACAGTATCTATGGAGCAGAATGAAAGCAAATTTTCATCAAGAACTGTGCCTCATGGCTTATGCCCCAATGGGCAGAAATATCTCTCTCTGCCTAGATTCTGGAATCTGGCAAGCAGAATGGTCTGCGCAACAGGCATAGGCAAACTCGGCCCTCCAGATGTTTTGGGACTACAACTCCCATCATCCCTAGCTAACAGGACCAGTGGCCAGGGATGATGGGAATTGTAGTCTCAAAACATCTGGAGGGCCAAGTTTCCCTATGCCTGGTCTGCAAGGTCTCAGATGAACTAAGGCAATCTTACCAGCGTGAAGAATATGCAAGATTTGTTACTCTCAGCTGGCTAGCAGCATTCGGTGGACCCAGTGGTCAATCCGGATGCCCTATTTAAATGTCATGCTTCTTATCATCTATTTATTGTTATTTATTATGACATTTCTATCCCACCTTTCCTCTAAGGAGCTCAAGGCTGCATACACTGTTCTTCTCCGCTTCCGATTTTAATCTCACAACAACCCTTTGAGGTAGGCTCAGGGTTAGGTTAGGGTTAGGGTTAGGGTTAGGTAGCCTAAGGTCATTCCTGTGTGCTTCATGGCTGAGTGGAGATTTGAACCCTGGTCTCCTAGTCCAGCTCTCTGACCATTACAACCACACGGTCATATAAAAATGTAGCCACATTGTGACTTGGACAGTTTTTGACCGTTTTCTCATGTTAGGAATTCTATAGCTCTCTCTTTCTCATTAGGCACCAACCAGCCACTCAGGAATTGTGAAATAACACTTCATCGGTGGCTTTGAGACCAACTTCTCCATCATTCAAGAGGTTTACTTGACTGGAGATTAATGCTTAAAGATTGCTGTCTAGATTTCAGCGGCCTCCTCTTCCTTTTAAAAAATATAAAAATCAAGACTTAGACACAAGAAATTAGCCATTTCCTGCAGTCTGACACAGATCAATTAGCAGCTTCAGAGACAGAGCCTCAGCCTAAGGGATTCTGGCTTTTATTTTCAGCCCTTCCCTCCCTGAAAGTCAGTTGCTTAATGTGGCAATCTCAAGGGTAATTGGAACCACATTTATACCAACCATTCTTCCCTTTCAGAAGTCCTTGGGATTCTTAGGGAGCCTCCCCACCCCACTTTTCCTACTCTGCAGCTCGCCTCCCAAACTGCATTGTCATAGGTCTGAATTTAAAAAATAAAAAGTAGCATGAAACAGGAACAGCTGGAATATTCCCTTTAGGTTAGTAAACAGCAGTGGAGATAATAGAGACAAGGCTTTAGCAATGCTCTTAACCAGTGGTTTTCAACCAGCGTGCCGTGGAAGCCTAGGGTACCTTGAATGATGGCCAGGGGTACCACAGGCAACACCGGCCTCTGTCCCTTTTTCCTCCCATCCAGTTGTTTTTTGCTTCCCATCCAGATGGATGCTTGGGCGCAACCTGGTGCATAACTAATGGTGAACTTGTAAGAGAGAGCCAGGAAACATTCAAAAACATTGCTGGGTTAGGCAAAGGGGTGAGGGAAGGACAGATGTGCAACAGAGGAAATGGCACTTTTGCAACATCTTTGTTTACGATACACTGGCAAGAATACAGAAAACCAAACAGTTCTATTTAGATAGCAGTAGGCTTGTAGGAGAGCCAGTGTGGTGTAGTGGTTAAGAGTGGTGGACTCGTAATCCAGTGAACCGGGTTCGCTTCCCCACTCCTCCACGTGCAGCTGCTGGGTGACCTTGGGCCAGTCACACTTCTCTGAAGCCTCTCAGCCCCACTCACCTCACAGAGTGTTTGTTGTGGGGGAGGAAGGGAAAGGAGAATGTTAGCGGCTTTGAGACTCCTTCGGGTAGTGATAAAGCGGGATATCAAATCCGAAACTCTTCTTCTCTTCTCGTGTCTCTGCCTCCCAAAGGCTTGTACAGATGTTTATTGCAGCACCCCTGGCTATAAGCTCCACAGGCGAATGGTCCTCTGAGAGGTACCTCTCTTTGGGGCAGAGGGGTCAGCTCAGAGACTGGGGGTGGCAGCAGTAGCTGCCTGGAGGACTCCCAATGAGAGGGTAGAGGAGAAGAGGCTGAGGTTAGAATCATAGAATCATAGAATCATAGAGTTGGAAGAGACCACAAGGGCCATCGAGTCCAACCCCCTGCCTAGCAGGAAACACCATCAGAGCACTCCTGACATATGGTTGTCAAGCCTCTGCTTAAAGACCTCCAAGGAAGGAGACTCCACCACACTCCTTGGCAGCAAATTCCACTGTCGAACAGCTCTTACTGTCAGGAAGTTCTTCCTAATGTTTAGGTGGAATCTTCTTTCTTGTAGTTTGGATCCATTGCTCCGTGTCCGCTTCTCTGGAGCAGCAGAAAACAACCTTTCTCCCTCCTCTACACAAGGGAGGGTGTTAAAAAAAGGGTGAGAGGCTGCCAGCTCTGCAGGCAAGGGGTGACATAACTGGGCTCCTGAGCCCCACAGGGGTGCCACAGAAAGAATGTAGTTGGTCAAGGGAACTGTGGACTCAAAAAGGTTGAAAACCTCTGCCCTTCACTGTTCAGCCACACAGGGTCTTTTTGCTAGAGGACCTTGTGGAGTTGGCCTTAAATAAGAAGTCGAAAATGTTAGGCTTGGGGTCCAAATGTAGCCCTCCATTCCTTTCTCTCTGGGCCTGGGGGCTGTTCCCATGCCATGCTCCTCACTGTCCCTGTTCTGTGCCCTGTTGTTGTTGTTGTTGTTTAGTCGTGTCTGACTCTTCGTGACCCCATGGACCAGAGCACTCCTGTCTTCCACTGCCTCCCGCAGTTTGGTCAAAATCATGCTGGTAGCTTCGAGAACACTGTCCAACCATCTCGTCCTCTGTCGTCCCCTTCTCCTTGTGCCCTCAATCTTTCCCAACATCAGGGTCTTTTCCAGGGAGTCTTCTCTTCTCATGAGGTGGCCAAAGTATTGGAGCCTCAGCTTCAGGATCTGTCCTTCCAGTGAGCACTCAGGGCTGATTTCCTTCAGAATGGATAGGTTTGATCTTCTTGCAGTCCATGGGACTCTCAAGAGTCTCCTCCAGCACCATAATTCAAAAGCATCAATTCTTCGGCGATCAGCCTTCTTTATGGTCCAGCTCTCACTTCCATACATCACTACTGGGAAAACCATAGCTTTAACTATACGGACCTTTGTTGGCAAAGTGATGTCTCTGCTTTTTAAGATGCTGTCTAGGTCTGCCATCGCCTTTCTCCTAAGGAGCAGGCGTCTTTTAATTTTGTGACTGCTGTCACCATCTGTAGTGATCATGGAGCCCAATAAAGTAAAATCTCTCACTGCCTCCATTTCTTCCCCTTCTTCTGTGCCCTACCTGAGTGCATTTGCCTGGCTGGAATATGTCATTGAACTGTGATCATGCCTCTTGCTTACCTAGATGCTTACATTTTTTTTGTCTTTTTTATATTTTTATATTTTATATATTATTATTTTGTTGTTGTGAACGACTCCGAAATCTATGGATGAAGGGCAATATACAAATTTAATAATAATAATAAATAGATGGAGGATGAAAGTGTGTGCATATGTTGAAGCCTCTAAGTTATGTGTGTACAAAACTATAAATAGTATAGTCTCAACATTCCCCCACGGTGAGCAAGTCTCGCAGGTGAGCATGCTACACCTTGTCTTTAAAAGCTTGGCAGATGGGGTGTGTCAAGTTGGACATCTCTGTTGCTTCTGTCCAGTTCTGAACCTCTTGCCCTTCTCTTGAATTCTTGAATCATGACTTCTAAGCCTTTTGTCTGCTCCTGAATCTGTTTCATTATTTGCCCCAAGAAATATCTCTATCTTACTTACAAGTAAGAGCCTCTGCTTGCATGTTTTGGGGGCAGGAGCTGGGACATCCCAATGGCTTAACAGGTATCCGTGCCATTTCTGACTGTGGAGATAGAATAGCCTTATCCTCCATGAATTTGTCTAATCTCATCATCTGTACATGTAATTTGAACCATAACATTATTTGCTGAAATGCTTCTTCTATGATATGCTGAGGCAAAGGTACTTAGGAAATACCGTATTTTTTGCTCCATAGGACACACTTTTTTATTCTTAAAAAGTAAGGGGAAATGTCTCTGCATCCTATGGAGCGAATGTGTGGTCCCTGGAGTCAAATTGCCGGAGTGTGGCACGCTCTTGGACTGCTCTTTCGTGGTGGTGGTGGAGCCGCGCTTGTCTGCCGGCAGCCTCAGCTTCCCCCTGCAGCCCCGGGAAGCTTTGGAGCAACGGGAAGGCTGTGCGCCCATGCCCCGCACTCCTGGGCTGCTGAATGGGGGTGGGGGGTGCTGCTCTGCCAGCAGCCTGCCCTTCCCCTCAAGGTTTGGAGCAGAGGGCAGGCTGTTAACCAATTAACCAACTCTTCCAAACAAGAACTTAGTATTTTTATTAGGAAATGTGTACTCTTCTGTGACCTACGGAACAGCTCTGTGCGCTTTAACAACAAGGAAATTCTGTGTAGCAAAAAAAGAGGAAAGGATCAGTGTAGTGAGACCAGGAGATTCTTTAAAATCCTAAGTGGGTCTATTATCTTTGATTGCACTGGGATTTTTTATTATTATTACGTATATTGTTTTATATTATTGTAATTTTCAATATGGAAATTTTAAGAGGAAACTTGTCAAGGCCAATGGCAAAGACGTTAAGTTGCTGAAGAGCAGAATCTGAAGAAAGGCTTCTCATATCATGACAATATCTTTCTTGAGGGGTGGAGACAGTAAATTTATATATATATATTCTTTTTAAAGCTACATATAAAGCATTTGTGAGAAATGACCCTTGACACCAGTCCATCAGCCAAGCAAATAATTAATGATGGCACAGAGAGCAAGGAGAGGTTTTCTTAGGAGATCGGGACTGTCCGTGACACCGTGAGAAGCCGGGATGGCTAAAGGATTTTCGGGACTGTCCCAGGAATTTCGGGATAGTTGGAGAGAGTGGCTTGTAGCTCCTTCCAATGCTGCTTGCACCACACACAATTTTCCTTTGATTCCTTACCTGCCAAAACCTCCCACATTTCACCTTTGACTTGAAGAAAACAAAATGCAGGTTAAGGCCAACGACATGTGTTCCTGACACTCCCCACCCTCACCAATAATTAGGATTTCTTACCTTGCCACAATAAAAGATGTCTTCACGCTTGACCTTTCCTTCAGAGATCTTCTCCCGGATGGCCTGTCCCACTTCATGTTCGTTGTAATACACAAAAGCACCGTCAATGTGGCGGTAACCTGCATCAATGGCGGTTTTCACAGATTCGGCACAAGTGCCTTTGGGGGTCTGCCAATCAGGAGAGAGAAGTGGGGGGGGGGAGCTTTATTTTTGTATTTATACCTCCTTTCAACCTCCACAGCCGCCTGCCCCCTGCAAAAGAATGGCTAAAGCCACAAAAGGAACAAGTCACGGAAATGAACTTAGGATACCAATCAAGCCACATTTAAATGCAAGCCTGCTAAAAACAAAAAAAAGGGCATATTGAAATATAGCTCCAGAGGCTTTACAGAACAGAAGTTTGGAGAACTTATATCTGGCCTATATGTTTATTACTTTATATTCGACTTTTCCTCCAAGGAACTTAAGCAGATGTAGATGGTGCTTCGCTTCCTCATTTCATGATCACCACAACTCTGCAAGATAGTTTAGGTTGAGAGAAGGTGACCGGCCTGAAGTGTAGGCGGGTTGCCACAAGGCAGGACACAGTGATAACAGCATGAACCTTTATTGAACATGTAGTTATGTAAACTGGGAAACAGAAGCTAAGCAACTACGTATCCCACAATTGGCAGTATAGTGGTACCTTGGAAGCCGAACGGAATCTGTTCCAGAAGTTTGTTTGCCTTCCAAAACATTCAGAAAGCAAGGCACGGCTTCTGATTGGCTACATGAAGCTCCTGCAGCCAATCGGAAGCCACACCGCACGTTCGGGTTCCAAAAGAACGTTCACAAACTGGAACACTCACTTCCAGGTTTGCGGCGTTTGGGAGTCAAAATGTCCGAGTGACAAAGTGTTTGGCTTCCAAGGTACGACTGTAGTTGGGGCTGGGTTTGTTTGTTTGTTTTGTTTTGTTTAGTTTAGTTTATTTGATTGTCCTGTGAAAGGGAAAATCCAAATTAAAGAGGGTGGGGGGAAATGTATTGGTACTTTGATGCCAACGATCCAGCATTCACCTTAAGCATGTTTCAATCTGCAGACATCCTGTGTTTATCATCATCTCATTTTCCCTTAACATTCTAGCCTGATTAACAGCTCTGGAGAAACTCAAAGGCTTGCTCACTATTTTGTGACATTTTCACTGGAATCCTCCACACCACAACCAGCAGGAACCACTATAGCTATCAATGAGTTTTACAGTGAAATCCTATAATGTCTCCTCCTTAAAGTGTTACTTGGAAATTATTATTATCAATAACTATTATTACTATTATTCCACCACATTTATAAATGAAGTTTATAGAAGGTGAACTTTCTTTATTCTTAATTAGAATAATGACAATTGATTAATGAATGGTTTTAAAGTGTGCCTTTAAAGTAGGCTACACCACCTCAATAAAATACAGACATTAAAATCCAAGATTTAAAATAGCAATAAACACACTTAACATTCAAATGCAGAGAAGACAGTTCTCAAACACCGTCATAACACCCAAATGCAGACTGGAATAAATAAATGGGCAAACCACTTAACACCAGAACCAAAATCTGAGGGGTATAAGAGCAGGTCACAGAAAGTGCCTAAAGCGTTTTGAGATGTTACAGACGAGGCAGCTCAGGTTTTATTTTTTAGCAGAACTCTGAAGATGCAAGTTACACGAGGGAGCATTCCCAGAATTTCCATCTGGCAAAAGGTGAGATGTTGTATTTCCTAGAAAACACCAAAGCACCAGAACACACTCAGCTTTTAAGGAGAGGGAGGGAATAATAATGCTGGCAGCCTTCCTTAAGTAATGTAGGCGTCAAGAAACGAGCAAAAATAAATCTAAGGAAAGAAGGAACTCAGAAACAGCAGATAAAAGAGAAGTGGTAACTGGGGTGATGAGTATATGATACAAACCATCTATCTAGGACACACATTGCTGTGCCTTCCAAGATGGCGTCTTCCTTCAGAGCTAGGATGCAGCCCAGTGGTGCCCCTTAAGGTAGGAAACATATGAACCTGGATTATATTGAGTTTATTACATTGATACACTGTTCTCCCTCCAAGGTGACTGAGACATTGTCTATGGTTCTCTTCCTGCCCCAATGTAACCCTCACAACCACCTTGTGAGGTAGCTTAGGTGGAGATATAATGTCTGGACCAAGGTCACACAGCAAGCTTCATGGCTGAGTGGGAATTTGAACCCGCTTCCGCCCACTCTCACTGCTCCACTGCAATGGCTTCACAGTTTTCTGAGACTGACCATTGGTCGGCCAGGCATAGCGGCTGACTTGCTCTGATTGGCTGTGGCTCTCCAGGGTCTCAAGAGAGAACTTTGCTAAGTATCTGCTGACTCTTGAACCTTCCATATGCAATGTTCCCATCCCAACAGAAGGGGCCACGTCACCCCAAAATTAAAAGTGGTACTCATAGAATCATAGAGTTGGAAGAGACCACAAGGGCCATCGAGTCCAACCCCCTGCCATCAGGGGAAGAGTTCTCTGGGTCAAAGGTCAATCTAGGTAGGGGTGGTCCAGGAGGGACTATGAGTGGAGCTCAGAGCAAATGCTATCTGTTCATACCAGAGATGGGGAATCTTTGGTGAAGCTGGTGATCCACAGCTTGCATCATCTGACTATTGGGCTCTGCTGCCTTGGGCTGATGGGAGTTGGCATCCAAAAACAGTCTTTAGGAGAAGTGACATAGCTCCACGGAAGAGCATCCGCTTTGCACACAGAAGGTCCCAGGTTAAAATCTGTGAATCTCCAGGAAAGGCCGGGAAAGACCCCCATCTGAAATCCTGAGAGCAAGTATAGACCAGTGTTTCCCAAATTTGGGTCTCCAGCTGGTTTTGGACTACAACTCCCATCACCCCTAGCTAACAGGTCAGGGATTATGGGAACTGTAGTCCAAAAACAGCTGGAGACCCAAGTTTGGGAACTCCTGGGGTGCCAAATTAGATGGCCCAGTGGTCTGATTGAGTATATGGCAACTTCCTTCCTAACCTTGCCTTTCTGATCCGAAAACAGAAACAAAAGAAGAAACCCAGACAGGCCTTTATAGCTTTAAAAACTAACCATAGGAAAAGAACACAATGCATCTTGTCTTCTGTCCAGCGCTGTGATTGGGTGAACAGAGAAAAGGGCTGTTTCCTTTGGTGAATGAGCAGCACCAGCATGTAGATTTTGAACCATGTGCACCTTGATTATTCCCATAATATCAACTTAGTTTGCATAACCAAAGATATAGTGCCATCCAGTTATGTGGCTTTGTAGAATTTGGCTAAGGCAAAGTAAGCCTTTGGCTGTTGTTGTTGGCTAAGTGCAACATGGCTATTTCCCTGAGACTCGTACAAAATTGCAGGGTTGGCGGTTCCAAGGACTGTCTGTAACTTTTCAGAAAAGATATACCAATTTAAAAGAGAGATACCGTATTTTTTGCTCCACAAGAAGCACTTTTTTTCTTCCTAAAAAGTAAGGGGAAATGTCTGTGCATCTTATGGTGCGAATGTGTGGTCCCTGGAGCCAAATTGCCTAGGGGCAAAAAGCAGATCATGCTTTTCTTTTCTTTTCTTTTCTTTTCTTTTCTTTTCTTTTCTTTTCTTGAAAGAGGAAAGTGAGTGTTGAAACAAAGCTGCTGATCGTTTGTGGGGAGAGAGATAAGGGACTCTAGAGATAAAGGAGGTTAAGACACAAGATTTACCCACACTGGAGGAATGGCAGATTAAATTAATGGACTATATGGAATTGGCAGAAATGACTGGCAGAATCCGTGACCAGGGAGAAGAGTCGGTGGAAGAAGATTGGAAGAAATTTAAAGACTATTTACAGAAATATTGTAAAATTAATGAATGTTAGAATGATGTTGGATTGAAGTTAAGTGGTTTCTAGCTGTATAGGTACAAAAGAATATGGAAAAATTGGTTTTTAATATGTAAAAATCTAACGTTACAATATATCAAGACTAAGGATTAGGATTAAAAAGGAGGGAAAGGAATTGTTGGATTAACAAATTGAATTAGAATACAAAAGAGGGAGGTATGAGGAGGTCCGGGAAACAAGTAAACGTAAAAGAAGTGAGGAAAAGATGGAATTGTTTTTAACTGTTTTTTCTTTTTTTCTACTTTGTATTTTTCCTTTTTATTGTTAATTTTTTTTTATTAATGTGATCTTTTTTTCCTTTGAAACTTTAATAAATATTATTTTTTTTTAAAAAAAAATAGAGATAAAGGAGGTTGCCTGGGAGGGGGGGAGGTAAAGATAGCAAACTTGCAAAGGGGGGGAAACAGGAAGACTAAAGCAATAAGGAGAGAAATTAGAAGAAAAGGAGGAGCAAAAAACTGCTCCAGCTAAGGAAAAGACAGTAAGGCAAACAAGAGGGAAGGGAGTGGTGGGATCCGAAGAGAGATAAGGGACGCTAGCGGAGGCTGCCTGGGAGGGGGAGGTAAAAGCCCATGGATCCTCAGGATTTTTACATTGAGTCACCCCAAATTCACCATCAGATCACATAGCATGTCCATGGCTACAGCCTGCACCAAAAAAATCACACATCCACTGTTTCCTGGGGCTGCAATGGTGCAAAAATGAGGTTACAAAGCACGGATCCACATGGATCCTCAGGATTTTTGCACTGGGTCACCCCAAATTCACCATCAGATCCTCCTCCAAAAACTAGGTGCGTCTTATGGAGCAAAAAATACGGTATACTGATTTAAACCCCAACCCCATCACATGCAGCCTTCCTTTTGAAGGTCTGCAGGTTACTGCTGCAAAACCCAGTCTTCTAGAGAGAAAATTAAGGGGGGAAAGGGCACTCCTCGTTTTGTACTTCAAAGACTTGCTGACAGCTTGGATGTACAGAGCACTCTAAATCTGAAACATTTTGGAGCCTGTATGTGTCCAAATTGATTAAAAGCAAACAAAAACTGGAAATACTTCTGGATGTAATTTTTCTATTGTTTTCTATAACTGAGTGGCAGACCATCTGCTTTGTACGCAGGAGGTTCCCACTTCAAACCTCAGCACCTCCCAGTAGGGCTGGAAGAGACTCTCATCATCTGAAACCCTGGAAAGCTGCTGCCTGTCAAAGTGCACAGTCAGTTTTGGGTTTGGGAAAGCCATTCCTTCATTAGCAGGCAATATTGAGCTAGATGGAGCAAAGGCCTGATTTGGTGTTAGGCAACTTCCTAGTTTCCGATTCTTATTTGGATCCAGTAGCTCTCTTCCTAAGTTTTCGTGCCAAAACTGTGGCAGGTCCACCATGTCGCAATTGTACATGGAAAGGGTCGTTCCGTCCTGCTTAAGGGCAGAACAACTAATGCGCCTAAAGATAAGGGAATGCGCACGTGTGACAATGACACCAATTATCCGTTGTGCACATGGGTTTAATTGTTTGGTTACTTAATGGCACCAATTAGCCAGTTTAAAATTGACCATTTTAAGCTGTGGATCTGAAGGTTTTGGCGTTCTCTGGGAAACATTCTCTTAAAAGTGTGACTCCTTAAATAGAAGGGGAAATGTTATTTTGCAACATTTTCCCACTCTATAATCCTGTTCTTTCCAACCTCACAGTTTATAGCTTATTGCCAACATTTCTTTCATGAAAGAAGTTGCCTTTGCCTTTTTTATTCTTCTAATACCCCACCTGAAGCCATAAGCCCTTGACTTTGAGGCCTAACAGCTGGGGCTGATTAGCACAAAATGATGCCCAGATCCCCAAAAACCTCCTGAGATTCCAAGTTAGACTTTCATCCCCCTTCATTTCTTACAGTTATAAATGCTTTGATCTCCTTCCTGAGCAAATACCAGAGGACTGGTGGGTTTTGTTTTGTTTTGTTAGCAGTTCTGCGAGTATATCTGGTGAAGTAGGGTGGAAATATGGACAAAAGAAAATGCCCAACCCTTGGAACGCATGCATCTTTTCAGATGATGGGGAGGAAGTGAAGGCAGATCAAACACACACTTTAAAATACATGGAACACCGGAAATACAGAAGTAATAAAGCGGTATATACAGCAAGTGAATTGGCCAGTTATAATAAGCCTCTTCCAGTAGAGATGGGTGAATATGGCAATTTCAGTTTCTCAGTTATACATTCTTAAATTTGGTTTCCACATTTCCACATCAGTTCCGGGTTTTTTAAGCCATTGGTATTTTAGTGCACATTTCTCCTAACATATATATGTTTGTATGCAATTGCAGAAGAAGAGGAGGAGAAGGAGGAGGAGTTTGGATTTGATATCCCGCTTTATCACTACCCGAAGGAGTCTCAAAGCGGCTAACAATCTCATTTCCCCTCCTCCCTCACAACAAACGCTCTATGAGGTAAGTGAGGCTGAGAGACTTCAGAGAAGTGTGACTAGCCCAAGGTCACCCAGCAGCTGCATGTGGAGGAGCAGGGAATCAAATCCGGTTCACCAGATTATGAGTCCCCCGCTCTTAACCACTACACCACACTGGCAAAGCACTTTCCCCTAATATAATGCATTTCCCCATGTTGTGTATTTGTGTATATGTATTTTTATGCACACTTTATCCCAGCATATACATTTGTGTACACACTACTTGGCTGAAAAACTGTCTTGGAAAATTCCGAGAACTGTACATTTTAAAGGACCTAACTTTGCATCTAAAACACACGTATACTACTTTAAAACAGGCACGGCTTGCCCCAAAAGAATTCTGGGAACTGTAGATTTTTTAAAGTGTGCTGAGAGTGGTTAGGAGACTCTCATAGTCCCCTGCACCCTTAACAAACTAGTTGACGTGACCAATCTATCAGAGTTTGTCCCGAAAGAGAAGAGAAGAAGTCAGAGAGGAGGTGAGTGGGCAGGATGTCAAAAGCCTCCTGAAATTTTCTCTGAAGTAATTGAATCAATAATCCCTTTTTTATAAAATAAAAAATAAAATAAAAATGTATTGGATCATCAGTCTTGAATAATGAACTACCTGAAGTCCAGATGTTATGTCAGTGCTTCTTAAATAATTACTTTTCACTAAAACAAGGCATTTGAATTCAAATCAGGCAGGAGTTCCCTACCTGTGACCCTCAATAAAACTGCACTGAAGCTGCAAATACCGTATTTTTCCATCTATAAAATGCCTCCATGTATAAGACGCCCCCTATTGTTGTGGCAACAACCAATGGCCAGTCCACCCTCGGCAATATCCATGTATAATATTTTTGACATTATTTTTTAGGGGGGGAACCTAGTCTTATACATGGAAAAATACGGTATATTCTACATGCCATGCTAGCAAGCAATATTGAGAAAACTAGCTGAACCAAGTCCCTTCCCTATTCAAAATCTGTTTTGACTCTTCCAGAGATAAGAATGCAGCAAGTGAAATGCAAATGAACGAATATCTCAAATATTGATTAAAAAAAATACTGAGCTTAAAAGAGGAAAAAGGTAGCTGAAGAATGCAAAACTCCAAGGCCTTACCGTTAAGGCCTGTAGTTTTTGCATGTTTATAAAGCTTTGTAGAAGGCTAAAATGCCACATTTTAGCCACAATGGCTGTTCAACAGTGGGGGTAGGAGACGATATGCCTCTGAATACCGGTTGCTGAAATCCATAGGAAGGGAGAGTGCTGTAGTGCTCAGGAGGCCTCACTTCAAATATGGCAAATTTCCTTCCCCCCCCCTTTGAAAATATTGAGTATCTCAGTCTTCAATACCACATTGCAAATCTCATTAAAAACAGTTGCATGGTCTTTGAACCTGAACGAGACAGGAATTTTAATTTCAGAAATAAGTTTTCGCCATGTGCAGTTGTGCCAAATACCACAATTCACTTGCCAGGGAGAACTACTGCAGATACAACATAGCTAGGGGCTTAACTATGGATTGCACACTTTCATCCGACCTCCCAGTTCTGAACCAGAATTCTAGCCCTGCCCCCTGCCCCCCAAAAACCAACAACCTGTGCTTAGTTGGCTTGACTGATAACCGTATTGAAATTAACCTCTGTTAGGGACATCCTCTTAAAAATCTGAATTTTCAACTATTCCATGAAGATTAGTTCTCAAAAAAGAAGTCTATTTTCACAGCCAGGTCTTAATTCTGTGTATTTGGAATTAAGTCCCATTGATTTCACCCAGATTTACCTCCTAAGCAAGCATGCTTCAAACTGAGTCTTAAATTGTAAGGTATGAAAATGCAATGGTGGAATCACAGTGGGGAACACATAGAAATTGATTCCTGAAGCATCTCTTGCAAAGGTGGAACAAATGCAAGCATGTCTTGTTCCCTCTGAGCTAAATAGAGCTGCCTTGATTAGGAGACCTGACGATTAAGCCTTGCTCCCTTGCAATGTCAATCACAGCCATGAAAATGGGATCGATGTCTTCTAAGTCAGGGGTCACCAACATGGTGCTCAGGGGTGCATATGTACCAGCAAGAGCCTTCCCTGGTACCCGCAGGGTTCCCTTCCCCCTGCTGAAATTAGATTAAGCATCCTCTTGTAGCCAATAGACTAGGTTGTGGTGCATGCTTGGATGTAGTTTGGAGGTGGGTGTATATGTGGTGTCCATGACCGTTTTTCCAGTTTGCAGATGTACCCATGAGCCCAAAAAGGTTGGTGACCACCCCCCTTCCAAGTGGTGTAAATGTAATGTGATTCATATGTCCAATACCATTCATATGTCCAAATAGGTCTCTAAACGAGATAGATAATTGTAAGATATACATTCAAATGTAGAAAGGGTAGTAAGATCTTCAGACCACTGAGGAAAGGGTGGTGGTGCTTGTTCTTCCAACCTAGAAAATTAAGGTTGCATTTGCATCGCTGTTTACTGTGGCTCTAGCACACTCCCCTCCCTCAGCCACAGTTTTTTAAACAAAATCCTCCAACATTCAAAAGTTGCAGAAAGTAGAAATGGGTTCAATACTATGAAGACATTCCTAAATGCCATACTTGGTGCTTGTTTAAACAAATAGTTTTAAGGCAGATGGGGGGAAATCAATTTTAGCTTTTGAAGAGGTGGGTAGATAAACATCTGTCAAGAATGATTAATCTATAATAATAAAGTCCTCCTCAGTTCAGGGGGCTGGTTTAGACTATTCTAAGATCTTTCCCAGGTTCCAGTGCTTTGATTCTATTATTCCTGTTCGTATGCAAAAAAGCAGGCTTAACTTTCCATTAGGCATTCTTGTGTGACATTTCCAGTATAAGGAGGACAAGAAACATTCTTCAAAACAGTTCCCTTTCCTCCGATTTCACGTCTTGGTCTCTTCTTTTCCCAATAATGATTGCTAGAAGAAAAATTCCCCTTTCAAACTCGGGTTCCTAATGAAAACCACTACCCAACTCTCTCCAATCCATGGTCAAGGTGACCGATCAATATCTCATGGCACACATTTTTGTTACTTTCAGATTGGAATTGTGTTTATTGCAGCGTGATCTACATGTGGCAACCAAATGGAAAATCTGATTGGTCCAGAACCAGGCAGCAAGAATGCGAGTGCTAGCTTACCCATAGGTGAGCATATTATACCCAGTTTGCAACAGCTGCATTGACTGCAAGTTCATTTCTGTGCAAACATTCAAAAGTGTTGGTGATCCCATTTAAATAGTCAGGATACTCAAGGGACCACATATACCCATCTGTACCCACCTGAGCCTTAAAATTTGCAACAAACAGCCCATAATTTGGTGAGAGCTATTGGGTTAGTGAGTTCCAGGGCCTTCTCCTTGGTGGCTCCTCATCTGTGTCTGTTCCAAATATATATGTATCTGTGGAATATATGTATCTCTTAGTTGGTTTTCAGAAGAGCCCTAAATACTTTGTTTCATTCTAGTCGGCTTATGTTTCAATAATAGTTTTCTCTACTGCCGTTATATTAATGCTACTTAATGTTGCTGTTGGTTTTGCTTTATGGTTTCAAAAGCTAACTAAATAACAAAATAAATAAAATCTTTGTTTCACTGGTTGCTTTTTGTGCCACCTTTGGAGGCTACAAAGCCTAGAAGATGGAATAAACAAAAATATATTCAGTCCCAATAAAAGTACCGTGAAGCTGCCCACAGTGGGGACTGGGGCCCATTAGGGCTGGGAGGTGGAAGGAACGGAAGTCAAGAGCAGATGGAGTCAAGAATCAATGATGGGCACGGCCAGCTTACTCTAGTTTTGTCCCTATCCACAGCAGCAATACAGAGATTAAGGCAGAAGCAACTGACAGCCAGGGCCCACCCCCCTGGACTGGGTGTAAGCAATAATAAGGCAAGGCAAGGGAGGGTTGGCCAAGGTTGGTGGGGCAGCACCCCATTTGCCCTAATGAACCGCCACCCACGGCCCATCTCCTTTCCACAATATCTGCTGTGAAGACTCTTCTTTGTGTCTTGACAGTGCCTGAGGCAGCACTGGCTGGGCCGTGGGAAAGGGCCTTCTCTCTGTGGCTAGGCCTAGATGGTGGAATGCCTTGCCTCACAGAGACCACCACAGAAATTTCTATTGCGCCCAAATTCTTTAAGGCCACTCCCTTTTTTAAGATAAGGGCAGCAGACAGGGGCACAAACCCAGGGTTTTGTTTTTGCAAAAATCACCTATTACAATATGAGGTGTATGAAGCATACGTGTGGGGCAACAAAACCACCACTGTTGTGGCAAGATAAAATGTCAGAGAGGTTTCCCAATCTTCCCACACAAAGGCATGCATTATTTTAAGTTTTTTGCTCTTCATTCTTAGCCTGGGCACTTCAAGTACTTGGGACACGTAAAATGTAGTAATTTCTAATATGGCTATTGTGGCAAAGTAATTTTTTTGGGTGGAGCGGCAATACAGCTCCTTGCCAAGGGCGTGAGTGATGCATCTGGCTGCTTAAAGAAGAAGAGTTTGGATTTGCTATCCTGCTTTATCCCTACCCTAAGGAGTCTCAAAGCAGCTAACATTCTCCTTTCCCTTCCTCTCCCACAACAAACACTCTGTGAGGTGAGTGAGGCTGAGAGACTTCAGAGAAGTGTGACTGGCCCAAGGTCACCCAGCAGCTGCAGGTGGAGGAGCAGGGACGCGAACCCGGTTCACCAGATTACGAGTCTACTGCTCTTAACCACTATACCACACTGGCTCTACACCACTAAAGCAGAGGTAGGATGGGATGGAAATATTTATTACTGATAATAATACTGGAGGAACAAGTGAACTTGATCTGAAGAGAGTAGAAGAAGAAGAGTTTGGATTTGATATCCCGCTTTATCACTACCCAAGGGAGTCTCAAAGCGGCTAACATTTTCCTTTCCCTTCCTCCCCCACAACAAACACTCTGTGAGGTGAGTGAGGCTAAGAGACTTCAGAGAAGTGTGACTAGCCCAAGGTCACCCAGCAGCTGCAGGTGGAGGAGCAGGGAAGTGAACCCGGTTCACCAGATTATGAGTCCACCGCTCTTAACCACCACACCACATTGGCCCACACACCCTTTTAAAGCTGCCAACCTTCCACCTTCTTATAACAGTTGTGGTTGGTGTCTCTTGGGGCAGGTCAGGACTCATATGTAGGAATTGGAGCCAAAGGCAGGCACAGACTCTGCTTCGAGTTTTATCCCTGATAATTTCCCTCACGAGTTCATGTTCTTATATAGTTACATTGTTTTATACTTTCTGGTTGTCCTACAATCACATTATAAAGAAGCTGTTGTTCTATGTTATAAATCAAGAACGGCTAGGAGTTGCTTCTTTTTGTTTTCCAATGTAGTTCTTGCCAATAGAAAAAAATCAGTGGGATGCAAGAAAAAAAATTATTCTCAAAGTGTGGTTCAGAGAAAAAAAGTTTGAGAACCATGGCTGTAGGTGGAGTGTTTCCCGCTGAGGTTGGGTGAGTGGGAACCCAGCTAGGATCACCCCCCTGCCCCTTGCCCCCCAGTTCAGCTTCCAAGGTATGTATTCCAATGACCTTCTTGCCTTTAGTCTTACTTATTGAGCCATTGTTTCAGAACACACACCTTATTGCTGACATAGAGGACAGTGATTTTTCACTCGGAGTATCCCTGGTTCATATATAAGGATCAGGCATTTAAATTGGCCTTACCCTCCCACTGCCCCCAAGCTTTTAGTCTGAAGCTCAATATTGTGGGTACCCCTCCTCACTTTGGTCTTGCCTGTTTTGCCAAGAGATTGTGGTAGGTTATAATAAAATGAATTTCAATAGGGACAAATGTAAGGTTCTTCACTTAGGCAGGAAGAACCAGATACACATATAAGATGGGGAACACCTAGCTTACTAGTAGGACATATGAAAAGGATCTAGGGGTCTTAATGGATCACAAGCTCAACATGAGTCAAGAGTGTGAAGCAGCAGCAAAAAAAGTGAATGCTATTCTAGGCTGCATCAACAGAAGTATAGTGTCCAGATCAAGGGAAGTCATAGCACCACTCTATTCTGCTTTAGTCAGACCATACCTGGAGTACTGTGTTTGGTTCTGGGCACCACAATTTAAGAAGGATGTTGACAAGCTGGAACATGTGCAGAGGAGGGCAACCAAGATGATCAAGGGTCTGGAAACCAAGCCTTATGGTGAGCACTTGAAGGAGCTGGGTATGTATAGCCTGGAAAAGTGGAGACTAAGAGGAGATATCATAGCCATCTTCAAAAATCTCAAGGGCTGTCATATGGAAGAGGGAACAAGCTTGTAGGACTCAAACCAATGGCTTCAAGTTACAAGGAAAGAGATTCTAAACATCAGGAACAAGTTTCTGACAGGAAGAGCTGTTTGACAGTAGAACAGTATCCCTTGGAAGCTGGTAGACTTCCTTGGAGGTTGGATGGTCATCTCTCATGGATGCTTTAGCTGAGATTCCTGCATTGCAGGTGGTTGAGTTAGAAGACCCTCGGTGTCCCTTCCAACTCTACAATTCTATGATTTTATATATAAACAAGAAATGCAAGTTGATGGGGTAACTTGCTGATTCACACCATTACAGAAATAGAACTACAATGATTTGCAAGTTTTACTTGCCCACAGACCCCAAGAATAGATGATTCATGATGTGTTTATATGGACTGCAAACCTTGCACAACTGCTAAGGGTAGCCAGCGGTATGGAAAACATGTCCTATGAAGATCAAGTGAAGGAACTGGCTATGTTTAGCCTGAGAAAGCAGGCCCAGAGAGAGGGGTGCCTTGGGGAGACTTTTGAGGGCCAGATAGAGAGGCCCAGGGGGCCATGTTTGGCCCTAGAGCCAGAGTTTCCCCACCACTGATGTAGTACCATCAGAGTGCATAATATCTTAGGAAAACACTGCTGGGCAAGCCCCTGGGCCAAGGAGCTTCGCGGTCCAAACTGCAACATGAAAAGTCACAGGGGAAAGGGTTTGCATGGGGAGAATATGCATTTATTTCAGGCACATGAAGGGGCAGCATCTCCCCTCCAGGTGGTGCTAGACTCCAGTTACCATCATCCCTGACTGTTGGCCATGCTGGCTGGGGCTGATGGGATTTGGAGTCCAACAACCTCTGGAGCGTGCCCAGTTTTTTTGGGGGGGAGCTGCGCAACATTACTGGGACGAAATATCATGCAAAATATGGCATCACCCAGATGTTCTGCAAACCTGAAGCATTTTTGAAGACTCCCTTTTTTTTAAAAGAGTCTTCTGAAAATGGGAAACGAGAATAATGGTCAAACAGATGTTGGTTTGTCAGTATCCACAGGAAAGTTTTAATACATAAAGTAGGAGAGCATTCAGAAAATTAGTAGCCAAGAGTAGTACAGACCATCCTATCCACTCTCCTCCCTCGCCCTCCCACCCCAGTATGGCCCACCTTAGTGCTAAGCAAACATGGGCTGAAAGAATCAGCCTGTGAGCATCAGGTATGCTTTGGTAGATATTAAGGCTGTCCAAAGATGAAGATAAACTCTAATGCCCAGTGCACCACATCAAGAGGCACACACAGATGCCTTGGCGTCTTCCGACAGTTGGTTTTGGCACTCAGTTTGAGGAGCCCCAGCAATTGGGGTGATGGAATCTGGGCTTTTGTTCCAGGGGCATTCCTTTGAATGCATCAGAGCCAGCTGCGAGAGGCTCCGGCACATTTCTTCATCTTTTATATTTGTTCAGTGCAGCAGGATTGGCAGGCAGCAAACCTTAGAAAGCACGTCTAGGGCTAGGGAGTCATACAATCCCATTCGGTTCCCACCGAGTTCACTTTGTGACCTCGGGTTAGCAAGGGCGTCCTTGGGCTGACATGCCAATCGAGGCAATTTCCACACCTATTTCTCTTACCAACGGAATTCTCAGCCATCCTTATTCACTTATCTCTCTCACATTTACCACTTAAAGAGTTTTAAACTATGAAGCTGTTTATAAATGGGTTTTTTTGGGGGGGGGATGACAAAGAAATAAATACATTTTGTAGCCTGCCTTTCCCGCAAAGAGATCAAGGAATTATCTACATCGTTCTCCCCCTCTCCATTTTTATCTTCACAACAACTCTGTCATCAAATGCCGCGTGAGTAGTCAAGGGATAAGAAAAGTACCGGACTGTACTAAGAGAGATGAGCTGACCTTAAAAAATGTTACAAAATAACAGGTTTTAACCATTCAGAACTGAATAACCTTATTGTCTGGACACGTAGAAGCCCTTCATCTGACAAAGCTCCTTCTCTCATGTTGTATTGCACATGCATGATGGAACACCAGCCGGCAAACAAAAGGATTCCCTTTCCCTCCTTTGGAGAAAAATTCCAAGGCTGAACAAACATGTGCCGCCTGATCCTTCATATATTTACTCAGAATTAAGCTTTGCTTCCTGCCTTGGGACTTGCTTTCATGCATATATGGAATTTATTTAGCTATTTTGAAGAGTTAGACCCCCACCTTGCAATCAAATCATTGTCAAGGCTGCGATAATATGCACATCAGCAGGCCTCTGGCTTTGTTCCTCCAGATGTTGGTGAGCAAGTCAGCATAGCCAACGGCCAGGGATGTGGGGAAGTTGTACTCCAGCTCTTGGAGGGAACCATATTGGCTCCCCTTGCAATCAGGGGCTGGGTCCAAGACATTCTGGTGCCCGAGGTGGAAAACAAAATGGCGCTCCCCCTTCTCACCAGGGAAGAAGGGGTGAGTGAATAACTACATCAGGAATAGCTGGCTGGGTGGAATAAAGATCTATACTGGGATCAGCTGTCCCTGTGGATCCTTGCTGCCTGAGCTGGTCATCTCACCTTGCCTTGTGCCTGAATGCAGGCTTCCTTTTGATTCTGGAGTCCTAGGACAAGCATCCCCAACCTGCGGCCCTCCAGATGTTTTGGACTACAATTCCCATCATCCCTGACCACTGGTCCTGTTAGTTAGGGATCATGGGAGTTGTAGGCCAAAACATCTGGAGGGCCGCAGGTTGGGGATGCCTGTCCTAGGACATCTAGCAATAGAAACAGAGCGTTCCTTATTTCATTGATGTACTTCATTACATTTCTGTGCCCCCCCCCTTTTCTGCAAGAAGCTCAAGGGTGGCATACATGGTTATTCTCCTCCTCCCCATTCTATGCACACAAGTACCCTGTGAGGTAGGCTCGGCTGAAAGACTAAGTGGCCCAGGGTCAGCTGCATATTCCTGCATTACAGGGGGGTTGGACCAGGTGGTCCTGGGGGTCCCTTCCAACTCTGCAATTCTATGATTCTTTGAATTGCCTCGACATGCAGAAAAAACTGGTCCACCAGGACCATCAGCAATTTTCAAGTGGTCCATGGTAGGACTGGGAGGGAGGTTGCATTAGGACTGGGAGGAAGGTTGCATTGGAGGGAAGCATTGGGAACTACTGGTCTACGCTGGCTGGCAGGGGCTCTCTGGGGTTCAGGCAACCTCCCTCCCAGTCCTACCTGGAGACACCAGGAATTGAACCTGCGACCTTCTGCATACATAGCAACTGCTCTTGCATTGCCCTTCCCTTAAATAACTCTGCAAGGAAAACCAGGTGGGGACTTTCGAGGGAGTGCAGATCAGTCCCGGTAACTGGGGGCAGGTGGGGGGGGAGCTCCTGGGCTCAGCCCCTACTTATACGCACCCTGCTCTGTAATTCTATCCGTTAGTGTGTGTGTTGTATCTGGCTCCAATGTATAGCTCTTGAGTTTCAAGTTTTTATCAGGCTAAAATCTGCCTACCCCTGATCTACAGCAGGAGTGAATAGGTGGGATTTGTTGGGAGGCAAGAATACAAGGAGAATTGATGCTTTTGAATTATGGTGCTGGAGGAGACTCTTGAGAGTCCCATGGACTGCAAGAAGATCAAACCTCTCCATTCTGAAGGAAATCAGCCCTGAGTGCTCACTGGAAGGACAGATCGTGAAGCTGAGGCTCCAATACTTTGGCCACCTCATGAGAAGAGAAGACTCCCTGGAAAAGACCCTGATGTTGGGAAAGATGGAGGGCACAAGGAGAAGGAGATGACAGAGGATGAGATGGTTGGACAGTGTTCTCGAAGCTACCAGCATGAGTTTGACCAAACTGTGGGAGGCAGTGGAAGACAGGAGTGCCTGGCGTGCTCTGGTCCATGGGGTCATGAAGAGTCGGACATAAACGACTAAACAACATGAAGAATACAAGAAGACCCCCTGGATCAGTTCAGTGGCCCATCTAGTCCAGCATCCTGTCGCCTCGTAGTGACCACCCAGATGCCTGTGGGAAGCTTGCAAGCAGGACCAGAGCACTAGCAGAAAGGGGGGGAAATCACTCTCCCCTTCTGCGGTTTCCAAGAATCGGAATGGTATGCATCCAACAATGGAAGGAGAATGCAGCCATCGGAGGTTAGCAGTGGCCACAGAGTGTCTTTCCCCCCTTTAAAAACCATGTAAGTGTGTGTGATTGCTAGCAGAGTCCTGCTAGAAACACCTAAGAGAGGCTGCTGAGAGCTATCCCACCCCCAGTCTTTTGTGTGAGCTCTGTACAGTTCTGGCGATGGAAACAAAGCCCTGAGCTCAGCATGGGCTGGGGAGTGTGCCCAGGGCTTCCGTGCTAACTGTATGTATGTCTTTCGCCCCAAGCTCTGACTGGTGGGTCTTGGGGTCCCAGTGAGAGACAGAGTCGATCCTACAAGTCTAAAGCCATCTTTAGCCCTGGTCTGCCATCTATCTGCACAATCGATCCAACCAACATTGAGCACTTATCCATCGCCCTGATTTATGTAGGTGAGAGATGAGTACTTTCCTTAACTCACAATTCTTTATCAACGACACTTGAGCAGAGCGCGACTCTATAAACGGGCTTGCAGCCAAATCTCTTGCACATTTAAACTCAGAAGAAAAGTCCCACTATCAGCGTCCAAGCCTAGGCAGGTTTACTCAGAAGTAAACCCCACTGGGTGGGGTTTACTTCCCCACCCCACTAAATCACACTCGCTGAAATCACTGCGTTTAGAATCTAGGACTAATTTCTTTCCGTGGGAGTGTGGCCGAGTTAGATATCACGCACAAAGCTTTCACTGGGGTTTACAGTATTCCCAAGTAAGTGAGCATTTAGCATTGCCGCCTCAGGGTGCTTAACCCTCAAGTCTACATGTGTAAGAATGTAGCCTTAAGAGTCACTTGAATTACATCAGAGTCAACAGCAAACACCCACAACCAAGTTTAAATACACATGATGTTCTGGCTTGTTTGATTTGTGCTGAATGAATTTTGCAAAAGAGGCCCCAGAGATTGGCTTACTGGTTCACCATATTTAACCCTTAAAGGCTGATCATATCTCTGCAAGATAATTTTTAACGAGTTCAGGGGGGTTGGAAGCATGCAGGGGGTTGAAATGGGAGGGGAGAATATAAGTCCAAACAAGTTTCAAAAGAAGCTGGGGGGGACAGAGACGCTTCCTTTCAAGAAAGAGAACCTTAACAATGAACCGCTATGGTGAGTTCATATTCATGCGAGAGGGAGAAAAGTAATAAATGCTCTTACCGTTTTAGGGTCGGAGTATGTCCCAAGTCCAATCACAGGGATGCTGTTCCCATCACTGAGCATCAAACGGTGATTTTTAGCGGTGAGATTAGTGGTCATGATGCAAAATAAAAACTTCGATTTAAAAAAAACAAACACAATTATTATTAAAGAGACCACCAAGAATTCGGATGCACGAGACTCTTCGGAGGGAATCCTGCCTTTTGTGTGCTTCTGAGTGCTTTGGGCTGCAGCCCAGTCCTAGCGGCAGAGGGCGCAAGAGAGCAGCGAAGAGAGCCGGCCACCATCTGCCTCTCGACCTGCACTGGGGCCCGCGATCAACTCGCCATCTGTTAAATACGAGCCGGCGGCGCGCGAGCTGCGGGATTTTGTGGGAGGAAAGTCTTGGCAGCTGCTCTCCGGGGGATCTGGATCCCCGAGCTGCTGGCAAGGGCTTCTGGCTGGCTGGTTGGTTAGATCTGAGGACTGGAGATCCTTTGCTCCTGAGTCCACCCCCCCCCCCGTGCGCAATCGAAACGGCGGCGGAGTGGGGTGAGGAGGGTGCCCCATGGCAAACCCAGGAAACACAAAGCAACCTTTGTACCGCTGCCCTGCGGCTCTTTGCAAGCTCTTATTGCCCCGCGTCATTGCTTTACAAGGCAACCCTAAGCGCTCGGCGGAGGTCAGGCCCTAAGTGCAAGCAGAAAGGCTTCTTGGGACGCGTTCACACGTGACGCTGAGGAATCCTTTTTGGGGGCTCTGAACCCTCGCCTAAACGCCAGCAGCCGGGCGGCCAGCTGCAAAGCGGATCGGGGCTCCTCTGCCTTTCCTGCACGGGCATAGGAGAGGAAAGGGGGCTAGCTAGGAGTCCAGCTGCACCTGCCGAACTCCTGGCTGCTGCTGCTGCTGCTGCTACACGCCTATCATAGGCGTGGAGGCTCTCGTTTGAGATTTTGCCACGCTGGTCGCTCTACCTAGGCTATTAAATGCTGTGAAGAATGGTGGAAGTTCAACTGGTAGAGCGCTCTCTCTCTCTCTCTCTCTCTCTCTCACACACACACACACACACACCCACACCCACACCCCAGAGACAGACTGGTGAGGGATGCTCATGCTCCCCACTATAGGGTTGTACTGCCGTGTTTCTTCTTTTCATAGAGGCAGGGGAGATGCAGGGAGCGCAGTTAGTGAATCACCTGCTTTTCAAGAGGAAAATCCCTCGTTTAATTCCCAGTTTAAAGAGTGACAGATCAGGGACGGGAAAGAGCTGGTCACTCTTGATGTCATTGCAAAGCCACCTCGGCCCAAGCGGATGTGTTCTTTCGCAGCCTCGTCTCTGCTTATGGGATGCCCTACCTTCCATGCGCTGGTGCCCTCAAGTAATGAAACTGGCAACTGGAATAAAGCCAATTATGTGTAATGCATTTACAGTGGTACCTCGGGTTACAGACGCTTCAGGTTACAGACTCGGTTAACCCAGAAATAGTACCTCGGGTTAAGAGCTTTGCTTCAGGATGAGAACAGAATTCATGTGGCGGCAGCAGGAGGCCCCATTAGCTAAAGTGGTGCTTCAGGATGAGAACAGCTTCAGGTTAAGAATGGACCTCCAGAACGAATTAAGTTCTTAACCCGAGGTACCACTGTATAGGCCACCTCTTTCTCCATGGATCTCAAAGTGGTATACATGGTTCTACCCCTCATTTAATCCCCACAACCACCCTGCCAGGGAGATTAGGTTGAGAGGCAGCGGCTGGCTCAAGTTCACCCAGTGAGTTTCGTGGTCGAGTGGGTATTTGAACCCTGGTCTCCTAGGTCCTAGTCTGATGTTGGAACCAACTACACCACATAATAAATTTACATATTAAAAGTTACATACCTGTGTAGCTAGCTTACTGGTAAAATAATATTTTTTAGCATGCACCAAACGCAGTACAGCGAAGGCACATTCCAAATATGAATGGGCAGGGAGGGTCAGTGCTGCCACACTGCAGCATCGTTTTTGCACTTTTCACAATGTTATAAGAAAAAAAAAAGGCTCCTTTTTCCCTTATGGAGTATCCAAGAGCCGGTATACAGTCCTTATGTAGGTTCTCTATTGGTAGGAGAAAATAACAGAGGCCAACCTGAGGGTATTGAGAAGCAAAGCAGCTAGTAAGCATGATCTTTATTAACCTATTGCAACAGAGTCCCCCACTCATCCCATGCAGGGAGGGAGGAGAGGAACCCAGAACATTGCTGTGCAAGCACTTGTATAGACTTTTGAAATTGCCTACCCTGTAGCTCAAGACCACCCCCCAAAACATCATACATATATCACAGCAAGAGGTGTTCCCAGCAGAAATTTGAGGCTGTTGCTTCTCTCCTGTCTGCCAGGATACCTGATAATGCCTTATTTGAGTGCCTTTTCTGAGTAGCCTGGCCATTCCTTTGAGATGGTAAATACTTATTTCCTGAATCTCTTATGCATACTGATAGTGTGCTCAGCTTAACAGATACTTGCCAGACTGTATTTACAGGGACTGTGTCTATGGCAAGTTCTTAAAGAAATGGGAGTGCCTGATCACCTCATCTGTCTCCTGAGAAATCTCTATGTGGGACAAGAAGCTACAATTAGAACTGGATATGGAACAACTGATTGGTTCAAAATTGAGAAAGGTTGCCGACAAGGCTGTATATTGTCTCCCTGCTTATTTAAGTTATATGCAGAATTCATCATGCAAAAGGCTGGACTGGATGAATCCCAAGCCGGAATTAAGATCGCCGGAAGAAATATCAACAACCTCAGATATGCAGATGACACAAGATTCATGGCAGAAAGTGAGGAGGAATTAAAGAACCTTTTAATGAGGTTGAAAGAGGAGAGCGCAAAATATGGTCTGAAGCTCAACATCAAAAAACTAAGATCATGGCCACTGGTCCCATCGCCTCCTGGCAAATAGAAGGGGAAGAAATGGAGGCAGTGAGAGATTTTACTTTCTTGGGCTCCATGATCACTGCAGATGGTGACAGCCTGCTTCTTGGGAGAAAGGCAATGAGAAACCTAGACAGCTAAAAAGCAGAGACATCACCCTGCCGACAAAGGTCTGTATAGTCAAAGCTATGGTTTTCCCAGTAGTGATGTATGGAAGTGAGAGCTGGACCATAAAGAAGGCTGATCGCCGAAGAATTGATGCTTTTGAATTATGGTGCTGGAGGAGACTCTTGAGAGTCCCATGGACTGCAAGAAGATCAAACCTCTCCATACTGAAGGAAATCAGCCCTGAGTGCTCACTGGAAGGACAGATCGTGAAGCTGAGGCTCCAATACTTTGGCCACTTCATGAAAAGAGAAGACTCCCTGGAAAAGACTCTGATGTTGGGAAAGATGGAGGGCACCAGGAGAAGGGGACGACAGAGGATGAGATGGCTGGATAGTGTTCTCGAAGCTACCAGCATGAGTTTGACCAAACTGTGGGAGGCAGTGGAAGACAGGAGTGCTTGGCATGCTCTGGTCCATGGGGCCACAAAGAGTCGGACACGACTAAACAACTAAACAACAACAAGAAGCCCTACAGCCCAAAGACAATTGGAAAGCTTTTCCCATTTCCTTCTTCCTTGCAGAGAAATGTTTGAGGTCAATTTGGCAGAGTCAAAATGGCTTCAGGCTTACTCTCCTGTACGGTCTCAGACACTATACTTATGCATGTGTGTTTGCCTTGTACATTTATGAACATTTATTTTATCTATATAAGACCTTAGAATTCCCATAACAATAGGAATGTGGTCTGTGGAAATCAGCAAGTGAAGCCTTTTGCAGCTCATTTTCACCTGCTATTGTTTGCAGAGCAAGCTGGTGTTAAAGGTACAGCTGCGAGGGCTGAAAAGCTTAGTAGAAAGATCAAGCTTTCCCTTGCCTTCTGTTTCTTCCTAACAACCTGGTAAGGAATGATATTTAACCAAGGCATTTCACATTTTTAGGAGCAAACCTGATGTAATGCTAAGCTGGGGGGTGGGGACAAAAAGAAGCTTATATACCCAATTCTTAAGTGCCCACGGATCAAAACCCTGAGGTATATGGGAGGACGGTCAATTAGGGTGTGGTGGAAAAACTCTCTTTCACAGATAAAGTTGCTGCTGGAGGGGTGTGGATCATCTATTGCTGAACATCTCTCCCATGTCATCACCATCAACTCTCGGTCACAGGACCGAAGGTGCCTCCTTCGTAGGGTACTGGGAGAAGGCTTCCGCCCTTTGTTCAAGCGTTTAAATGTATGCACATTTTAAATTGCCCTTTGTCTGCCAGGAGAGGGAGCTAAAGAAGCCCAGCTGTGCAGCAAGTAAAAATGTCAAGCTGATTTAAAGAGAGCCTGATGACACAGTCCTTGCATCCCATGGGACTTGTGGTATTGCACATTAAGGGACTAAAGTCTGGTGCGAGGGTGGTGTGTCCTTCTTTTGCCCCCCCCCCATTCCTCATCGCCATCCCTCCTTGTTTTGTGTTATCTTTTTTTCTGGAACAAATGAGCTTGTACTGCAGTGCTGACCCCAGTTATCAGGGAGTAAACCCTGCTGAATTCAGTTAGTCATGACGGCTATGCCCTGCCTCCACAGTTGGAGGCAAGAATGCTTCTGAATACCACTTGCTGGAAACCACAGGAAGAGAGTGGGTTCTTGGGCTCTAATCCTGCTTGCAGGTTTCCCACAGGCAGATCTGGTTGGCCACTGTGAGAGCAGGATGTTGGACTAGATGGGCCATTGGCCTGATCCAGCAGGCTCTTCTTATGTTCTTCTTCTTGTTGTTGTTTAGTCGTTTAGTTGTGTCCGACTCTTCGTGATCCCAGAGCATGCCAGGCACTCCTGTCTTCCACTGCCTCCCACAGTTTGGTCAAACTCATGCTGGTAGCTTCGAAGACACTATCCAACCATCTCGTCCTCTGTTGTCCCCTTCTCCTTGTGCCCTCCATCTTTCCCAACATCAGGGTCTTTTCCAGGGAGTCTTCTCTTCTCATGAGGTGGCCAGAGTATTGGAGCCTCAGCTTCACGATTTGTCCTTCCAGTGAGCACTCAGGGCTGATTTCCTTAAGAATGGATAGGTTTGATCTTCTTGCAGTCCATGGGACTCTCAAGACTCTCTTCCAGCACCATAATTCAAAAGCATCAATTTTTCGGCAATCACCCTTCTTTATGGTGCAGCTCTCACTTCCATACATCACTACTGGGAAAACCATAGCTTTTACTATACAGACGTTTGTTGGCAAGGTGATGTCTCTGCTTTTTAAGATGCTGTCTAGCTTTGTCATTGCTTTTTCCCCAAGAAGCAAGCATCTTTTAATTTTGTGACTGCTGTCACCAACTGCAGTGATCATGGAACCCAAGAAAGTTCTCAATATGGCTTTATTCTGAGTAGATGGTTAGATTTTGCACTATTAGGTCCTTCACGATTCTACTTCCCATCCCTTCTGGGTCAAATCTGGCCTGTTCATTCTTTCTACATCCTCAGACAACATAACACCCACCACTAAAAACAGGAGGATATGAACCCATACACTCAAAAACAGCATTTGCTGGGTAGTAGCAGCACTTGCTGTTCATTACGAATCTCTAGGTCACAATCATGCAAATGATGTGATCATCATTAAGACGTATACACCATACCTTTAAAGCACGTGC